AGTCGTGGAACATCTTGACCCGGAGTTGGACGCTTTGATTCGAGATCCTATGCTGTCGAGTGCAATTTTGGATGCAATGGACTTTGATGACGAGGAAGCAGATTGCGAGAGTGTTGTGCTCGAGGAGGACAACCAGGACGACCCGGCATTCCGTCGTCTATCTCGTCGAGTGTACGCGCGGGCGATATCGTCAGATGACGAGGAAGAGAACGAACCGGACGAACCAGAGCAACCAGAGCAACCGGTCTCGAGTCGAAGAATTGTTCCAGAGGCGATATCGACGGGTCCGCTTTCTGGACATCAGTCGACTGCGCCAGACACCTTGACTACTATCGACGATCGTCAGCAATCTGTTGTTGCCGACGATGTACACGGCGATCTTGCTGTTGATGCCGCAATGGCCAACGACGAGCATATGTTCGGGATTCGGGACAAGCAACCAGCGCAACCAGCGCGGGTAGAACCAACTCACTCATCAGGTCCTCGATTCGAGACGCCTCCGCGAGAGGACGATCCCATCCAACCGGCCGACAGCTTCTCACCGATACCTTCTAAGCCACCAGCAACTCCACGGGTAACGCGGCAGTCGAAAGACCGGCAGGGCAGAACACCATTGACGCAATTGCCTCCGCCTGTTTCCCTGATAAACAGCGCAACCGCGAGCTCTCCTCTGGTTGACAGCGCCGGAGACACTTCGACGACTGTTCTCGGTCGTCGAATGACAAGGACGCGCTCCCGTACAATCACCGAACCTGCATCTGTCGAGCCACCGAAGCGGAAGCGGGGCCCAAACAAGACACCGCAGCAGCGGGAAGAGGAGGCTGCCGCTAAGGCTGCGGCGAAAGAAGAGAAGGAGCGCGCGAGAAAGGAAAAGGCCGACGCGAAGGTCGCTGCCAAGAAATCTGCAAACCAGAAGAAGAGGAGCGAGGCTCAGAACCGAGTCGAGGATAGCACACAGGACGAACAGAGCAGGGAGGAGCCAGCCACCGCAGAACAGCCAGCCAACGCCGAAGAAACGCCTTCTGTGCCACAGAATACATGGGTTACACTGAACCCAGCATCTTCGCCTGAACAGACGCGTGACGAATCCATGCGTGACGAGCTCCGCTCTAGCAGTGCCCCTTCGGAGCCAGCTGGGCTGTTTTTGCCAATGGAAAGTCAAGACATGGGGTACCCTTATTCGCAGTGGAACGAGAGTCAAGGGAATCAGGCCGTGCCGCAAGATGACTCGGATGACGAAGACGACGAGGACGAGGTCGCTGCTTCCATGCAAGCATCTCAGCGCCAGTATCGGGGCCTGAGCGAGATGATGTGCAGTCAGCCACTCGGATTCGGTCCCTCGGCCCGCCAGCCCGCCTTGCTTCCTTCAACATCTGCGAAGACCAAGAACACCATCAATGACATGTATGGCAGGCAGCCCGACGATGACTCCAGCAGCGATGAAGACTCGGAAGATGAAAAGCCATCTCATATCCCGAAAGGTCGCCGAGCAGGCGCCAAGAAGTAACCGCTACCATCCTGCATAGATAGAAGCATAACCTATCATTAGCCTCAGTACATAGTTTCTTGAAAAGTAATAATCGCCGGCAGCCATCTGTAACGACTAGCCCCAGCCTGTGAGCCGCCCTGACACCGGACCAAGTCACAGGCCCTCACTGCCACTGTCACACCGGCCAGTCACGGCATTATACTTGACGTGATCCAAAATTTTCATTCTTGACTCCCTCATCGGTTGATGGTCTTCACCCAAAACACACGCGACGAGTGAGTATCTCCTACCCGACCTGTGCACTCACTCACTCCCCCCAGTTATATCAGTGACCAAGTCTTCACTCTCCTCAAGTAAACTTCCTGCGCCATGTTTTCCCGCCACATTCTCCTCACTCCTCGATTCGTGCGCGGACTCGCTACCCACACGGGACCCTTAACAGCCGTGCCCGCTGCCCTACATCTCAAAACTGGGCAGTCCTTCATGGGACAATCGTTCGGGTCTCCCAAGAGCATATACGGAGAGACCGTATTCTCAACCTCCATCACCTCTTGTTAGTCATGCCACTCTATCCCCTACATAGCCTAATGGTCCACAGACACTGAATCTATGACCGACCCTTCCTACCGCGGACAGATTCTTGTTTTCACTACTCCCCTCATTGGCAATTATGGAGTGCCTGCCAATACCGCACCCTTCGACTCGCACGACGTTGGCGTGGTCCTCGAGTCACAGCGCATTCAATGTGCCGGCGTCATTGTTGCTGACGTGGCACAGAGATTCTCACATCATTCTGCCATCGAGTCTCTCGCGGCTTGGTGTAAGCGACACGAAGTTCCCGGCATTACCGGCGTCGACACGCGTGCCATCACCCGCCTCTTGCGTGATCAGGGTACAACACTGGGGCGTATTGCCATTGGACAGGACACGCTGGCCGCACCACCCGACAGCGCCGAATACTGGGATCCTTCGAAAGAGAACCTGGTTGACCAAATTTCCACGAAAGAACCATATGAACTAAACACCACGGGTGACGTCAAGATCGCTGTACTTGATTTCGGAGCCAAGGCCAACATTCTGAGGTCCCTGGTCCGCCGAGGTGCAGCGGTCACCGTGCTTCCTTGGAACTACGACTTCAATTCCGTTCGGGATCAGTTTGACGGCCTGTTCCTGACAAATGGACCCGGAGATCCTTTGCATTGCATGGACGCTGCTTTGAAGCTGCGCGAGACCTTGAACCACTGGGACAAGCCTGTGTTCGGCATCTGCATGGGGCACCAGATCATCGGAATGGCCGCTGGATTGGACGCTTATCGCATGACCTTCGGCAATCGTGGCCACAACCAACCTGTTCTCGCATTAGCTTCTGCTGGTTCTATCAAGGCTGGTCGTGTCTATGTCACCAGGTAGGTCATTGCTATGACACAACTGTTACATGCACTGACTGAGATAGTCAAAACCACCAATACGCTCTGAAGTTGCAAGACCCCTTCCCCCAAGGCTGGGAGCCGTTCTTCATTAACTGCAACGACTCTTCCGTTGAGGGTATCAAGTCGACAACGGATTCGGGAAAGAAAGTCTGGGGTGTACAGTTCCACCCGGAGAGCGCCGGCGGACCGCTTGACACTATCGAGGTTCGTTTTTCATTTTATTTCTATCCTGACGTGCCCTTATGCCACTGTAGATGTTTACTGATTTCTTACATGAGTGCCGAACTGTCAAAGCAGCTATGAGTCCTGCTGTGGACGTCACAAGCGCGGCATCTTTGGCTCAAACTCGTCCTCGAATGATGGAGGCCACAGCTTAAATTGAGCTTGTTGTATATTCTGGAATCATATGTATTTTGCACACTGGAGTTGAAACCTGGCGGACTGTGACAATGACATCAATGTGTGAGTGCCATGTGCGAATGATCCCTGCTACTTATTAGGTGATCGTTACTTCGTTGTTACTAGTAACTACTTGCCTTCACCGACTCGACGATATGAACAACTTTCTGGACCCGTATGATCTAACAGCGGGCACGCCACCGCAACAACCTGAGCAGACTCTTGACGAGGAGGTGAACGAGGTGGTCAAGTCGTTCGGGAACTTCTGGGGCAATTTCCGGAAACAAGTACGCTTAGATCATCGTCCAGCTTCCATGGGTGTCTCATGCAGCCGCACCAGAGCCAAACTGCCCTTGAAGCTGCGCGAAAGGATCTCACCGGCGTGGTGACCCAAGCTCAGCAGGAGTTCTCTAAGCTCACTTCGGAAGGTCCGAAAGATGTTCCTACTCAGCCATCATCTGAGAAGGCTGGCGATGAAGTCGAGGCCGGCGAGTCTGCCCCCGAATTGCCATCGGCGTCGGGCTCCACGTCCTCTTCAGTCGGCTCCACTGGCTTGTTCTCGCGCCTCCAGTCGGCGTTGCCTCCCAACATCGTTTCCACCGTCCAAAGTCGGCTCCCTGAGACTCTGAAGGACGCTTCGGGAAACATCGATTTTGCGCAGATGCGCACGACCTTGTCGACAGAATTCCAGCGTGTGCAAGGTGTGACACGGGCACAAGCCGAGGAGTATGTGCAGAAGAGCGAGGCGCTGTTGAAGGAAGCTGTGAAGGAGGCAGGCGATGTGTTACGGGATGCAGTGAAGGTGGTGCCTCCATCCGACTCCCAGTTGACACAAGGGAGCGGCTTGGTCTGGGGTGGCACGGATATGTGGACGTTGCCCATGGATGTTACGCCGGACGCATCTAACAAAGGCAAGATGCGCGCTAATACTGGGGCGGACACGCAGCTTGCGGTGGCGACTCGTGCAGAGGCACTCTTGAAGCAACTGAAACACAACCCTGAAATCATCAAGCTCGATCCGGCTGCTGACGCCGATGGCAAGGGGCTGTACGAGCAGTGGGTTGGCACGGTCATCGTGGACGAAGCATGGGAGGAAAGGATCGCATCTGCACTGACTGGACAGGACGGAGAAGCTTTAAAGGTAAACAAGGATTCGTTGGGTGCGTCTTCTTTCTTTTCATGGCACGGCTGTATGCTCAATGCGCGCAGTCCCTGCTGAAATGACAGAGGACGTATTTTGGTACCGATACTTCTTCCGCGTACACCAAATCGAGCAGGAAGAAAACAAGAGGAAAGCTCTGCTACAACGTATGCCAATCGTTTGCTTTCCTTCTGTCTCTCAAGCTTCTACCAGGATCGAATGAGAACGAGGAAGACTTCAGCTGGGAGGACGATGATGAGGCCGCAACCTCTAAACCATCTGTCACCGGCTCCGCGGACGTTCAGACTCTACCCGTGCCACAGTCTGAGGCCGTAACTCCTGCTACAGCTAGCCCACGTGCCAGCAGCGAGGGAAGCTACGACTTAGTGCCCTCAGAAAAACAAAAACAGGAAGAGAAAAAACCGAGTGTTGAAACCGAATCTGACGGGGATAGTGATTGGGAATAGCCTACATCTCATTTATTCTCTACTTTCCCTCATTATAAGTGCACCTTTTCACTCTCAGTATATCCGAGGCTTCGACCCGAATGAGCGACAGCACGGATCTAATGATTGCCTTTCGCAGACATCAGGTGGTGAATGGAACAGTTCGGCTTTTCCCGACTGACACGTCCGTCTGGCATTGGTGTCCCTGACCCAATGATTCCCTAGTCCCTCAATTTCCGCCTTTCTGCACTCATTCATTCGTCGCGCTGGCAGCGTTCTCGCTAAACAACTCTTTGCACCCCCTCCTCCTCAAGCATTTCCGGAATCCCTGCGCGTCGCGAATATCATTATGGGTATCAGCGAGCGACGCAAGTCTAGGCCGCACACCACTCGGTCCACACGCGTGCTTTCCCGCCGACTCGTATTCCATGGTATTCGGTTCATGTGGGTAGTGGTGCTGATTTGGGGAGAAGTAGTGAGTGTCTGGTGTCTTGCACAAATGGACACGGTCTCATGAACGGCTCAAGGGTGTCTACTTCTGGTCCCTCTCTTCTTGCCGATGGCCCGACCTCGTGATTGTCTTTCTGCTAATGTTGTTATTCGCTCCGTTGACTCCGAGTCATAGCCCGAATGGCGTCGGGTCAAACCCACACACGTTCTTCTCCTCTCGGATCCTCAAGTGCGTCATCCTTCCGCTTGGGACGACCGTCCCTGGACGGGCTTTCTTGAGCATCTGCTGTATGAGTCGAATCTGAAGAGGAGCTGGCACGTCACTCGTCGCCTGAATCCACATGCCGTCTTCTTCCTCGGTGACATGCTCTCGAATGGCAAGTATGCGAGATCAGAAGCAGAGTAAGCGATCGCGTCTTCTAGCCGTTTCTTTAGTCTAACGAGCCTAGATATAAGACCTATTGGCGGAAGTTCCAAGCCCTATTTACTAAAGACGCGTCCTATTCGCAGTATTTTTTACCAGGCAACAATGACGTCGCGTGAGTTCATCGTTCTTTCTGGGAACTTTAGTTGAGGAATTATAGCATGGGATTATCGCATACTTCACCGAAGAATGTCCGGGTGTACTACTCGAATATCGTCGGTCCATTCAACCGAGAAGTCATCATTCGCGATCACGTGTTTATATGCCTGGACGCACCGAACTTGGTGGATGAAGATTATCAGCGTTCGGGCAGTGGGCTGGGCTACGAAAAGTGGTCTCCCATCCGTGGAGGGTCGATAGAATTCGTCAAGTCTGTTTCCGCAGGTGATATGCAACGTTTTCGACATCTCCAGTTGTTGATCATCTTCTCAGCGGGACGACCAACTTTTCTGCTATCTCATATTCCTTTATCTAGACCTGATCGTGCATCCTGTGGTCCCCTCAGAGAAAAAGGGTCGATCCGTCGGGGTGTGGGACATGGCTACCAAAACACTTTGGGCAAGCAAACCACCGCGTTCTTGTTGAAAACACTGCGACCACTGGGAGTTTTCAGGTACGTAAGCTCACGATAGTATCTAGAAAATCCTCACGCCCAATTTCCAGTGGAGATAACAGAGACTACTGCGAATATAATCACACAATAACCGTCGACCCAGCCGATACACCGCTGTCCATCCACGAGGTGACGATAAAATCCTTTTCTAAGTCTAGCCACATCCGACGACCCGGGTTCCAATTGGTTTCTGTCGTCGATCCATTGCCAGGGGGCAAGTCTTTTGCAGACGCACCTTGTCTTCTCCCCGATACATCCCTGAGCGGGTCCTGGTACCCTACATTCGCATTCGGCACGGTTCTGTTCTTGGTGCTTTTCAATTTGCAGAGATCCCGTCGTCTACGGCACATGCCACTGCCCGCAGTGCCCCTTTCGCCGTTGAGCAGTGCTGCAACAGCCACTCCGCTTCATCCAAGCTCTGCCATCTGGTCTCCGTTCACACCACCTGTGGCTTCAAGCCCTCGATCCGCTCTGCCATCAACATTGCGCACCCCGAACGGGGCATCGCCCGGACCAACGATGCGAGCTGCTTCTCGTCCATCGACCCCGTTGGCGACGCCTGGCGTGCTGGGGCCGACAATGTTGTTCCCGCCTGAAGATGAAGAGGAGGATAGTCTCTTCCCTCCACAATACGCCTTCCAGCGCCAAGATCACCACCAGGAAGACTGGAGCTCACCCGAATTCGTGCTGCCAGTCGCAGGGAATCTCAAGCCCACAGCATTGCGTGGCTGGTCCTGGTCTTCCTCGTTTGTCTTGGCTGGGAGAAGGAGAAGAATGACGCTCTCCATCCCAACCTGGGCCTCTTTCCACGACCTTGCTTCCTATCTTGCACCTGGCGCAGATGGGGACATGCTCCTGCGTCGCAAGGGAATATGGTGGGCCACTGTCGTCGACTCTTTCGGTATATTTATGCCCGCTTTGATGATTTGGGCGTTTGCCCTATGGATGTTCTAGCAATGTTGTAGCACAGGGACAATTACTTGGAGACTTGGTACATATTACACGGCATTAGCTGCCCCAAACCTGAGTTAATGCGAACGACACGACGCCCAGCACTGGTGGATCGTTAGTGGCAGATTAAACAGGACTTGAAGGAGGCACGCACAGTATCCTGTAAGTTTCTCTCCGGGGGAGTGGAAATAAAGACTGGTTGTCCAGCTCGCAAATAGCCAGATGCCGACCAGAGCGATACCAGCATACGCGGCCACGGTATGCGGTGTGGACCAGCGCGTCGCGGAAAAAGATGGGGAGAGTTGTTGTGCGAGCAGCAAGATGGACAGCGTCAGGAGGAAGATATGTCCGGAAACATCGTGTCCTTTCCGTATACGGGGTATGGCGAGCCAATCTGGAGACAACGCGAACGATGCGGTTTCAACGAAGAGCGCGGGATGCGTCGCAGGTGACACCGCAGTCCGAGCGTGGCAGAGTTCTGGAGGCACGGAGACGTAATCTCCGGACGGAAGGCTGACGAGACATTCGCCTCCGGATGCGAGGGTGATACGCTCAAACAGGGCTGGCCCGAAAAACCAGGCGGTGAAGACGAGCCATACTGCGGTAGCAATGAACCAGCGACTGAGACGTGTGAAAGTTCTTGCGGAGGGAGGGCCGGTAGACCAGAGGAAGAGGAAGGCAGCTGATGTCCATGCCCATGCCTTTTTTATGAAGTACACGTTCAATGGATTGGCCTTGTTGGCCCAGTAGTGGGTCTTGCCTAATGGATGAGGGAGATGGGCAAGCAAGGGATTCGATGTATCCAGGTACGTTTCTTTCGTGACAGAGTACACTGTCCCGACAAGTACCACGCCAGAAAGCGCGAAGAAAGCAATCTTCGTCAGGGTCATGGAAGAGTGGGACAAGTATGGAGCGATGACGTAGGAGCGATACGCAAGCACGTGTCATATTCGTACAGTCGTTTTACTACTTGGTTTACACTGTGGGCAATACAAGTTGTTGATTAGATTGACTACCACCTAGTCCAACCATTCCAAGAAATCGGGTGTGAAGTATGTCAGAATCAGAGTCGCACCTAGAACAGTGTGAGCAAAAGAAGCCGAACGATCAACGAAGAACGCACCTGCACGGAGCATGCCGTCCACAGACTCGAAAGCCAAGTCACGAAGAGGATAAACTCCAGCAGCAGCACCCGCATGGATCATTGCGAATTCTCCGCTGACTTGGTAGCATGCCAGCGGATGGTCGGGTGCCAATTGGGCTGCATCAGCAATGATGTCGAGGTACGGCATGGCAGGTTTGACCATGATTATGTCAGCGCCTTCAGCGGTATCCCGTTGCTGTGAGTAGTTGAGCCATCCAGATCGAAGGATCCGGCGAAGACTCACAATGGCACGTCTGGCGAGCCCACGGCCAGCTGGTGGCAATTGATAGCATTTGCGGTTGCCAAATGATGGAGCACTGCCAGCAGCATCTCTGAAAGGCCCATAGAGCGCGGAGGCAAACTTGGCTGAATAGGACATCAGGGTGCACTTGTTCCCGTAGCCAGCATCGATGAGTGCCCGCTTGATGTATTTAATGCGCCCGTCCATCATGTCGCTAGGTGCGACGCAGTGAGCACCAGCTTTGGCGTAATTGAGGGCGACCTCCGCGATGCGCTCTACTGAAGGCTCAGTGTTGATCGTCCCGTCATTGTGCAGTAGGCCACAGTGGCCGTGGTCAGTATACTCGCAAAGGCAAACATCGCAAGCGATGTACAGATCTGGGAAAAGGGTGCGAATCTTCTTGATTGCGAGAATGACCGGCCCTTCCTCATCATCGGCGGGAGTTCCACGGAAATCCTGTTGTGGCCTGGCGTCAGTCGTGGCCGGGAAATCATCCGTTCATTGGGCGGACCTTTGGACACGAAAGAGGCACACCGAAGAGGATTATGCTCTGGAGGCCCTTCTTCACCAGAGGGCCCAAGAACCCTTCGAGCTGATTGACGCCCCATCTGCGCTGACCTGGAAGGGTGGCAATCTCATCGCTGGCGTTGGGGTCATCGGTGATGAAGATAGGGTACATGAGCATGGATTTTGTCAGTTGCCGTCGACTTTGCCATTGGCGACTGAGAGGGTGTTGATAACCACCCTGTAGGATCGAACTACGTCTGTCAGAGAGCGTTGACGATGGTGGGACGACGCAACACACGAGATATCCATGGTGGTAAGAGGAAAGAGATGGCGGGAAAGATGAGCCAGAACACCCTATCCAGTACTCTGATAACCGGTTGGGAGCTAGATCTTGTGTGGGAGAGTATGACTCAGAAATGAACTTGACATCCCGGACCGCTGAAGAGGCCGGAATTGCACCAGCGAGTGATTTCGAGGTATTGGTGGGGGGTCAACAATGACTTGCATCGTCCATTCATGGGCCATAAATGACTCTGTCTCGGTCATCCCGATTTGGGCCTGGTAGACCGTGGTTCGGGAGAGATCTTATTGTCTCCCACAAGACGGCAATTTATTTATATAACAAAAGACCAAGTCAGCCCCGGGCCATTCGATTGCCATGGAGGGCCATGGACTATCGATGTGTGTCATGCCTGGCCCTCCATGGAAGCAGATGTAATAATTGGGGGACTAAGTTGTCAATTGTTTGCCATGCGACGCGCGCATGTGACTGGAGTTTGTTGACTGGACCCACTTCTCTTCCCACCCTTTTCTTGCCAGACGCGATGCTTTCCATGCATACCCCGCCACGAACAACCTATGATTCACCCATGCTCACACCTTCGCCACTGCGTAGACATCCTACCGACGCTATGTTTCAACAATCGCCATTTAAACCGCGTCCTCTGACTCCGGAAAACTCGGACGCCACAGTTTTCCTGGCTTCTCCGACTAAGCCACTCCTCACGCCAGCAAAGAAGATCTCTAGTCGTACACCTCTCTCTCTTAATACCAACACTGCGACCGCGGCGGGCACCAAGCGGAAATCATCGCAGCACACCATCAGCACACCTCTTCGCCTGACTCCACTTCCCCCCACGAGCGGCTCCGGCATTTCTTTCCAGCGCCTTGCGCCCCTTCCGGCCCCTCAATTCGCTACACGCACTCCCCAAAGCATCGCAGAGGCTGATGCTCATATTCGCAGCCATACTGCCACCCTCACACAGCTCCGCATCTCCGATCTTCAAGACGAATTTGAGGACGACGAACTCCCCGTTCTTTCAAGGCCGGAGGAGATCGTCGAAGCCTGTTCGCCAGGAGGTCACATAACGAAACGACGTGCTCGGTCGCGTCCGGTATCTCAAGAGCTGATGATGAGGGGATCTCCGTCTCCGGTGAGTCATATTGCATGGCTCCTCTCCAGTGTCATATTGACAATGAATGAACAGGTCGCATTTCCATCGGCTCGCGGCCGCTCTCCGTCCTGCCCATCTTCTCCAGAAACTGGTTCACCCGTGCCTCGCAAACGAGTCACAAACATGCGCCCTCCACGTGCACCACTCGAACGGATCGAAAGCGCTGCGACCCTTTTCTTTGGGCCTCCCATTCATCCTCCTCCAGTTCCAAGGGCGCGACTCTCTTCCGCCAGGGCCGCCGCTCCTGACAACTCACTGGCACGTCCTGGTCGTCATAGTTACGCTGGACCCAGTTGCAGCACCCAGCCTTGGGAAGCAGTCCAGGCGCGACCTCGGACGCCTTCTCCGCATTCATCACCACCCTGTATTCCAACTGACATTGAGGACGACGACCAAGACATGTTCTTCAATGCTCCCCATCCGGAGACATCGTTCACGTTCAGTGTCACGGCCAACACGCCTTCGCCACGCAACAAGAAGCCAGTCACGATTCCGAAAAAATGCAACATGCGTGACTCCGGCGTGGCACTAAGCGATGAAGAGATGGAGCAGATGATGCCTCGTGCCTCCACCAGCGTAAACTCCATCAACTCTGACGAGATGCTCGTCACCCCAGGACTTGAGCCTGAGCTTGGTTCGGGTTGGCCCACCATCTTTGGGAACGAGAATGCGTTGGATGGGGGAGTCGATGTCGAGGGTTTCTTCCGTCGTATTGCGACAGCCAAGAGCAAGAACAGCACGCAGACCAAGAAAGCCCCGGGCACTCCTGTCAAGCGAGTCAAGACCAGCTATATTGGTGCCGAGCGGCCGTGGCAGAGTGCAGTTGCTCACAAAGTGGGGTTGCCTGGGTTCAGTCTGGAGCCGAAGCCAGGCAAGGCACCTCGCAAGAGCTTACCTGCAGTTTTCCCTGCTCTCGGACGCAAACAAGGCAAGGCGGCTGTCGATCTCAACAGCGACTCGGATGGTGAAGAGGAAAGTCCAAGCAGCAGGCGTGACAAATACGTGGGAGTTGGACTGGGCAGACCACTGGCCCGGACGCGATGGTTGACACGTCGAAGCAGCAGTGGCGCTTTCTCAAGTGGCAGCGACTCGGCGTCCATTGCAGGAACACCCACACGTGCCAAAGGACGTGGTATGTGATCTTGAATCATTTTTGTCGTTTATTAGCCTCGCTAACTACTATAGATTGGCACCTGCCCAAACCGCACCTATTTTCACCTTCGACTAATGCATTGAGCTTGTCGCCGGGCCGTTCCGTGTCAAGCTCATCGTCCTCGACGCTGGGCTCACCGACCGGAGCACGACAACAGTCACGGAAGAAGCGTACTACGCTGACACCCCTCCCCGGGCGACGGCTTTCGGATCAATCGTTTGAAAGAGTAGGGTACTTTGAACGGGAGTTCGAGGAGCTGGACGAGCTCGGGAGCGGAGAGTTTGGCAAGGTCATCAAAGTTCGATCGAGGACCAGATGTGCGGAATATGCGGTAAAGAAGTCGAAGCGGTTTGAAGGCGTGAGACATCGGTGGGTTGATTTCGAGCGATCTTTTCGCCCCGAGACGCTGATGGTGACTGCATAGGTTGCGCTTACGAGAAGAAGTAGAGATTCTCCAACACCTCACATGCAGTGGCGTACAACCCAATGTGTTGACACTTGTCGACAGTTGGGAAGAAGACGACATGTTATACATTCAAACGGATCTTTGCGAGCTGGGCAACTTTGCACACTTTCTGTGGGAGTTTGGACGGCTCTATCCCCGACTCGACGAAGGTCGCATCTGGAAGATTCTCGTCGAACTGGGCAATGTCAGCTCGATATGTTTTTCTGCTTTGCATTTGGCTAAAAATGGACACAGGGCCTGGAGTTCATCCACAACCGTAACGTCATACATCTGGACCTGAAGCCGTCAAATATACTGGTGACGGGCAATGGCCATTTCAAGATCGGAGACTTTGGGATGGCTTCAGTGTGGCCGCGAATGCTGCCAGCGGCCGATTCGGAATCAGTGGGCCTGGAGCGCGAGGGCGATAAGATGTATCTGGCGCCGGAAGTCTTGCAGGGCAGATATGGCAAGGCCGCTGATGTCTTCAGGTGCGGTCAAACCGGTCTTTTCCACACGGAGATTCTCACGTCACGTTCTCAGTTTTGGCATGACAATGCTCGAGACAGCATCAAACATCGTGGTGCCAGACCAGTCAGTGATCCGTTTCTTCCTTTCTTCGTGCAAATCGGGGCTGACAATTCGGACAGGGGCGACTCTTGGCTGAGGCTCCGCCGAGAGGATTTCTCGCAAATCGATATGGATGACATGCCGGAACTATTCACCCTGATCCGGGAAATGATGCTGACTGATCCGGCGCTAAGGATTGATGTAGGCAATATCTGCCGAGACCCTATCGTTCAGCGAGCTTCGGCACGGATGGCCTCTTCAGGGGAGAGTCCGCTCGCCAGCTGTGGGCGAGAGTTCGTTTTGGATATTCTTGGAAGAATGGAGGAGGAGCGGATGTAGTTAGAGCTGACCGCCAGCGATTTGCGGATGCATGTTCTTGACGACCAACCAATCTATCAGAGTTTCACGTTGTAGTTGCTTGTGAGAACGCTATCGCATGTCACTATCACGCGTGACACGCTCAACAAACGCTCTTTCTCTCTCTTAATGTTCTGGTCGTGACTGTCCTTCCTTGAATAAATACTATCTCACCGGATGCTTCCTCGTCTCCCACCAGCCCTCCCGGCCCTCCCCCACCCTCTTTCGAATTCCTATCCTCCCTGGTCCCCCATGCCTTCAGGAATGGATCCCTGCGACTATCGGGCCTTTTATCCCTACACACCCAACGAAGTCAAACATCGTAAGCGCACCACGAGCGCTCAGCTCAAGGTGCTCGAGGAGATCTTCAAGCGCGATACGAAGCCCAATGCCGCTCTTCGCACTGACCTTGCGGTCCAGCTGAACATGACACCGAGAGGTGTTCAGGTGTGTACCTTTTTTCCGCTTGTGGATACCTCCAGACGCGAATCTTCCCCAGGTCTGGTTTCAGAACCGCCGCGCGAAGGAGAAGTCCAAAGCGGTGAAAAGTCTCAACAAGACCTCTGGTGCGCTGCCAAGGAAGGAAGGAGAATCGCCATCACCACGATCTTCCGAGGACCTGGATGGATCGGAGTCGTCGCCAAGCGAGGTCGCCGTCGACCCTTCGACGAGCTCATCCCCGAGTCCTACTATCACCTCTCCTCCCCAGCTCCATGTATTGACAGATTCGAGTGACTCCTCTTGGCAGGGCTCGCCAGTCACCGACACACCAGAGGATGCCTCGTTCGATCTGCCCTCACACATGAGCCGCCGCGGTTCCTTGCCCGTGAATTCTCTAAACTACGGTCCCCCACTCGTGGACCCTCTCGATCCGCTCGCTCGCCGTCGGTCAGTCGACGCCAGCTTGGTCCGCTTGGCTTCGAACCCTTACGCCCACATTGTTCGAGCTAAGAACAACGTGCTGGCTACTCAGCGATTGTCGCAAGGGCGTCAGATGAGCCGGGGGTATATGAATCGGCCGGGCCTCGCCCATCGTTCGACAATGCCTATCCAGCCTCACACCAGACACGCCTCTATGGAAAGCCGCGGTTATAACCACATGTCGACCTCGCCGTCTCCGTCACCACTGTCGCCGTTCCATTCCATCCGTGCTTCTCTTCCCGACGGACAATTGTATCCTGTCTCTTCGCGAACCGTTGCGGCCCCGATTCCTGGGCCGTTGCCCAATCCAGGCTACTCGTTTGGTGTTGCGTCGACCTCCGACAGCGAGCGCAGCTCCCCAGTGGACTTTAGCGGATTTTCTTTCCCTCGTGACGATGCCACTTCTGAGGACGATAGCTCCGCTTCTTACCCGATGTCGCGTTTCAGCTCGATCGCTAGCGAATCGAGCGCAACTAGCGCCTACTTCTCTGACGTTGGTAGCGCGGGAGAAGCACCCGACTACCGCAGCATGCGGCGGGAGTCTTGCCCTGCGCCTGGCTACCTCGATCTCGGCATGTCGCATCTGGATATGGGTCCTCGGCGCGCCAGTGTTGCCGAGGGTCTTTTGGGTCACTATGCGCCATCCGATGGCTTTGAGCAAGATGGACAAGCTACTTTGGGCTACCCATCGCCGTCCTCAACGGTGTCTGCAGGGTCGAGCCCGCACCTAGCAGGCAACGGGACTGCTTCGGGGAGCGAATTGAGCTTCGCACTGCACTCTAAGCAAGAAGCGGAGATGAACACGAATGATGCAGGCCACAACTCGACGTTCTTTTTCGACCAGACTTATCCTCAGTCCGCGCCACCAACGTCTGAACTGCAATTCAACTACGACTCGTTCGCCTACTCGTCGGCTGCTCAGCCTCAAAGCGCTGGGCCGTTCCAAAGCCCCGGTTTTGGACAGCAGGAGTCCTTTTACCAGTCGCATGGAGGGGACGGCGGCTCTTTTGTGTATTCATGAGCGGGGATTGAATTTTGTCTTGAAACGACCATCATCACCACCACCACCACCACCACCACCACCACAACACACGAGTCCCAACTCTATCTTATAGCTCTCTTATTCATGGACATCATTGGATCTCCTTGCACATTTAATCGCTTCCAGCTGGCGACTGTTCACCACCCGCATCGTTTCGCAAATGTTATGCTAAACCACAGTTCGCTCCTTGTAATATTTGTTGTTGTTATTCTTCACGCCGGGGCCGCTGACTACCATAGCCATCCTACAAGTACAATATCCTCTTTTACAATACCAGTGCAATGTAATATTTTGTTGCAAATAAACACCTGTCACAGCTTGGTTATCGACTGCCCATGCAGAAACCGTCCTGGCCAGGCACCATCTGCAAGCGCAACGCTGTCCGCGCTTCGTCCTGTAACTTGAGCGTTCCTGTCCATCATTATGTTATGGACCTGCAGGATCGGTATCAGCATCAGCTCGAGGCTCCGCGTGGGCAGACTAACCTGCATTCTGAGGCCGTGCATCGTCGCTCGCAGCGACATCACCTCCTCGTTGAGCCGCAGTGTCTCGTTCCCAAGAGCAATGTCGTTCCTCCGACCAAGAGAGTCGACGGCACTCGCGAGCCCAATCACCGACTCTCGCAGGCTGGTGAACGTGCCTTCTAGCGTGCTCGACAGATTCAATGGAGCGATGGCAGCTGCGTGTCGAGCATTGAATGGCCCGGCTGAACTCTGACGCGGCTGCATCCCCATATCGAATATCGCACCGGCACTCGTGGGTGATGGCGGTTGGTCAGACTCTTCAGCGGGAAAATACGCGGCGAACAGATCTTGCGCATTAGGAGGTGGCTGGGTAGGCGATACGGGGGTCGCGAGCGAGTCAGATGTGGGATAGACTCGGACACCCTCGGGCCTAAACCAGGGACCTAGCGCGGACTTGACAGCCAAAAGCTCCCGGTTCATCGTCTGAGCGAACCTCTCCAAGCTTTCCACCTTGTGACGCAGGATGAGATTCTCTTCGGCTATGCGATCGAATCGAGTGTTGTTCAATGCGAAGAAGGAGCGAAGCGCGTGATATGGACAACAGGGGAGGTGTTCGGGATCCAGATCGGCGCGCGGTCCAGTCCAACCGCAGCCGTGCACTGCGTGAATACACTGGACTGGCGCCGCGGAACAGGCGGATTGGTGTGCAACTAGTCCCGACGGGGCAACCGTCATCTCGCAGAAGTCGCAGAGAGCTGGGGTGCCTTCTACTTCTGTGCGATCCTCCTAAACAGACCAGTCATCACTCCCGCGATTTCCATGGGATCGGAGGTCTTGCCTTTAGGCTGCCATCTTCCGTCTGCACAGCATCGCTTGCCGATGGATCGAGTCCAGTGTGGCACTGATGGGCTCCCGTGTCCTTTCTTAGCATGTTCTGATCGCATTCTCCGAGCGGACACGACACAGTGCTGAACGGGCAAGCATCAAGGATGTGCGCAGTGAGCAGGTGACGCTGACAGGTGTATCTGCACCCGGATGAGCTGTGGACGCATTCCACAATCAGTTCGTCTACCAGCTGCATATGCAAAAGATCTTCAGTCGTGACGGAGATAGATTACCACTTGCCTCACCGAGCGAATGATCCCATTTGCGGGCTCCAGCTGCTCTTCGGAAAGCGGCGACCGATCGACTGGACACTGCTGTGCATGTGCCATAGCTTCCACGATACAGTCTCGGCAGAATGTATGCGCACAGCTTCGAGCGGTCGTTGGCTCGATGAAAGGCATCCTGAGTTGCCTATCAGACCCGCGACTGCGAGGCCAAGGAAAGCTTACCGGCAGATGCAGCATAGCTTTAGTTACGGCTCATGAGAAATTGGGCCCGAGATACGTACGCTTAAACATACCAAGTTCGCGTTCGCCTCCTCGGTGTAATTGTAGATCATGGTCGTCGGCAAGGAAGCGGCACCCGGCCCGGATGCGGACCCTATTCAAAGGGTCACCAGGTTTTGTGCAATAAGCATAGTTTGTGTAAACCTCGTTGAAAGACGTAAAGACATCAAGCACATTCCTCTCAGATGCTCAGCCAGTAACTGCAGGTCTCGGAAACAATCCCATTGGTCTCAGACGAGAATTACGGTAAGATTCCATCATGGATAAGTACTTGACAAGATCTATTCAGCATTCACGTAGATTCAACCTGGGGCATCTCACCAAGGTGATTGTTAGCTAAAACCTGGAAAATATCCATGTTCATCCAGAAAGAAATGATTACTCACAGTTACTCACTCACGGAGCCGGCAGAAAGCCCGCCCTTCATGATCCAGATAGACACGACATTGGCATGTGTCAATCAGCAAGGCAGTACTGACGTGTTGTAATGAATCTTGTCTCAAGTCCTGAGCCATGATCTATAAAGCGCTGCTTGTGCGCGCGAGCCCCGAACCTCGTGCTTTACCCACTGAATCTGCACTATTCCAGCCCTAGCAACCTCAAGACATGGATTTCCAATTTACATTCGGTCCCAACAACGCGTACTTCATTAAGACCGATACCAAGTGGGGATGGTTCGTGTGCTAGTTTGTCATCGGCTTGAGGGGCTGCAATTTTTGGTAGGAGCGCCGGCTACAAGCTTCCTGAACCTCTCCGTCGCGTCCTTGAAGATCCAAATCATCCAGAATACAATCAGTTTCCGTATGATGTTGCACTAGCCATGGAGCCTGGCGTCTATGCGATGTGTTGGAGGACAAAAACGGGTCAAGATTATTTCGAACGTAAGATCGTCTGTCTCTTCCCTTGATCTCAGTGCCTCTTCATCGCTCGTAGCCGACTACCTTGGACCCGCGTATGCAAAATTGGCCGAGTTCCTCGCAAATCGGACGAGTCGGACCACGTTTGGACCGAACCGAAGCTATTTCTCGACGAATCAACTCGGTCTGAGCTGGCAGAATCTCCCGCTTGGGCTCGAAAAAGACATCATGAATCGCATCAAAGCAGGCCGTCCGCAGAACGTCGCACTGGGAATGAACGGCAGCTGGGTCGTTCTCTACGATGATGGTGTGATATCGTACAATCTCTCCGGATTGTACCCGGAGCTGAAAAAGATCCTGGACGACGGAGAGGATCGAAAACGACGGAATTCGATTGTGTTCGTGGCACTGAGCCCGTACAATGCCACCAACTTCTTTCTCGCCTTTGGGGACAGTTCCACCATCTTCGATCTTCCGAACGAGATGCATGCAACGGTCCGACAGATCTGCACGTCTATCCGCCCGTTGGCATCAGCAGCGCGACCGCCGGGCGCCCAACCGGACAACATGATCGGTGCGGTTGGAAACTTTGCATTGGCTGTTCAGGCGAACAACGCTATGAATTCTCTGTTCTACTACCGCCCATGAATCAATTCCTTTCTTCTCGGAAGATCAAATCTGAATCAAGCACGCAGCTACAACTCGACATTACGTGAATGAGGACCCTTCGCCTCGAGTTTGTCACTTTGGGTGTGCAAACAACGGAGGTCGCCAGATACCCGTCACGGTATGCTGACGCGTATACGTGGCACGGGTCGTGACTGTTCCTCGTGAGGACCGCACCGGTAATCTATCTGCCCACCTGCGTGGCTTCGACCAGAGCTTAGTCAAGAGATTGGTCAGTCGTCCACTAATGCGGGTGAGATCGGCATGCGGTTCAGCTATTTATTAGCACCGCTGCAAGTAATGGTACCTCAGCGACTTAATCGAGTCTTACTTTCTCCTTTCACCTTCTCACCGATGGCCAGCCTTACTCTCTCGTCGACCGTTCGACTCAACTCGGGCTACTCTATGCCCTTGTTGGGCTTTGGCGTCTATCAGAACCAAAATGCGCGACCGAGCGTCCTGGAAGCATTCAAAGCAGGATATAGGTCGCATTCTTGACCCCTCAGACTCTTTGCAAATCTAAGACTGAGATAGGCACATCGACTCAGCGCAGGTATACGAGAACGAAGGAGCTGTGGGGGAGGCAGTCAAGGAGAGCTCGATTCCTCGAGATGATCTATTCATAAGTGGGTCGCGGTCTATTTGAGCACGGCATCTCCTGAACTCAACAGCCACCAAATGTCATTCCGAGAAGCATGGTTACGAGAGCACTCTTGCTGGAGTGAACGCATCGTTGGTCCAGTTCGGATTTGGTGAGTGGACGAACATCCGACTCGTTTAAATTCACTGATCGAATGCCTCAGATTATATCGACCTCTTTGTCTGTTGATCCACCTCTCAGTGTGTTGTTGAAGATCGCTGATTTTTTCCTTCCAGCTCATTCACGATCCTATGTCTGGGTCTGAGCGCCGCTTAGCCACTTACAAAGCCCTACTCGAATCCAAGGCTGCCGGGAAGATCCGCACTGTGGGGGTGTCCAACTAGTGCGTCATAGCACTTTCCAGCTTCTTCTGACGACGTATTGGCTAGTGGCGTTCACCATCTCGAAGAGATCAAAAAGGCAGGAATGGAGATGCCTGCCGTGAACCAAATCGAGGTCAGTCGCGCTCGTCTCTGGATCAGCTCGTCGCTGAATATTTTCTCAGTTGCATCCCCTCTGCCAACAAAAGGCGATCGTCGACTATTGCAAGGCTAACTCGATCGTGGTCCAAGCGTATTGTCCCATCATTCGGGGGAAGATGGATCATCCATCAATCACCAGCATCGCTGAGAAGGTAAGATACAGAACTGTACTCTCTGTCCACTGAGACCAATATATTCTCGCAGCACAAACGCGAGCCCGCTCAAGTGTTGCTTCGGTGGTCATTGCAGAAAGGGTGAGCGCTTCACAATCACCAGCCTTACTCGCCTAACATCGTGCAGCTTCGTTCCGTTGCCCAAGAGCGAAACCCCTTCTCGAATTCACGCCAATACTAAATTGTACGATTTCCAGCTGGATGAGGAGGACATGTCGGCCCTTGATGCCATGGATCAGGGCAAGGACGGCGCTATCAGCTGGAACCCTGTCAATGCGCCCTAAATACGCAACCTCTAATATATAATCCATATGCCCCCTGTCGCTGCTTGGCAGCAGAAGTCAGCTGCCGGCACTATCCTCTGAAAGTCATTGTGAGCAGAGGTGTCGATCGAGTGTAAGCAGGAACAGACATCGGTCTAGTAGATTTTGCACCTCCTTCACTGCAGACATGTGCTCTCAGATAAAAAGTAAGCTGCAATCGCCCTCGGTTTTGATATCAGCAGTGCCTGAAACAGGAGCTCGGATAGACGCAGATGCTCCTTGGAGCGGGGCAGTCGGTGTGCTTCCAGTAATGCAAGCAAGCTCAACAGATATACGTACACCCACGTGAGCGGGTTAGATCGGCGTGAGATCCATCTAGTAGTAATTAGCACGGCTATCTATCTGGTACAGTCAGCGACCTGATCAAGTCTTTCTTCTCTACATCCTGCGACCGATGGCCAGTCTCACTCTTTCGTCGACCGTTCGACTCAACTCGGGCTACTCTATGCCCTTGTTGGGTTTTGGCGTCTATCAGAACCGAAATGCGCGACCTAGTGTGCTGGAAGCGTTCAAAGCCGGATACAGGTCACATAATCATCCCTCGCACTCTTGCGTAAATCTGAGACTGTGATAGACATGTCGACTCGGCACAGGTATATCAGAACGAAGGAGCTGTGGGGGAGGCAGTCAAAGAGTGCTCGATCCCTCGAGAGGAGCTATTCATAAGTGTGTCGTGTTCCCTTGAGGATTGCATTGTCTGAACCCGACAGCCACCAAATGTTATTCCAAGAATCACGGCTACGAGAGCACGCTTGCCGGAGTGAACACATCTTTAGGCCAATTTGGATTCGGTGAGTGGATGGACATCCCAGTCGTTTACCCCACTGATCGAATGCCTCAGAATATATCGACCTCTTTGTCTGTTATTACACTTCTCAGTCTTTTGGAGATCATTGATTTTTCTTTGCAGCTCATTCACGATCCTATGTCTGGGTCTGAGCGCCGCTTGGCCACTTACAAAGCACTCCTCGAATCTGAGACTGCCGGAAAGATCCGCACTGTGGGGGTTTCAAACTAGTGCGTCATGGCCTTGTGCAGATTCCTATGATGTCACGTTGGATAGTGGCGTTCACCATCTCGAAGAGATCAAAAAGGCGGGAATGGAGATGCCGGCCGTGAACCAAATCGAGGTCGGTGGCGGTCTTCTGTGGATCAGCTAGTTGTTGAATGTTCCCTTAGTTGCATCCGCTCTGTCAACAAAAGCCGATTGTCGACTATTGCAAGGCCAACTCGATCGTGGTCCAAGCGTATTGTCCCATCATTCGCGGCAAGATGGATCACCCATCAATTACTAGCATTGCTGAGAAAGTAACAGACGTAACTTCCCGCTATCCACTGAGACTGATATAACTCTCACAGCACAAACGCGAGCCCGCTCAAGTGCTACTTCGGTGGTCATTGCAGAAAGGGTGAGAGCTTCACAGTTCTTCGCCCCACTTGCCTAACATCATGTTAGTTTCGTTCCTTTGCCTAAGAGCGAAACACCGTCCCGCATTCACTCCAATGCTAAATTGTACGATTTCGAGTTGGATGAGGAGGACATGTCGGCCCTTGATGCCATGGATCAGGGCAAGGACGGTGCCATCAGCTGGAACCCAGTCCATGTGCCCTAAATCGACTTCCATTTGCAAGCAATCTCTAATATACAGTCCATATGTCTACCGTCGCTGCTTTGCAGTGGAAATCAGCTGCCGGCACTGTCCACTGAAAGTCATTGTAAGCGAAGGTGTCGATCGAGTTCAAGAAGGAACGGACATCGGTCTAGTAGATTTTGCACCTCCTTCACCGCAGACTTGCGCTCTTGACGAGCAAGCTCCCAATCACCCTCGGTTGTGATACCATCTAATCGCAGTAGAGCCTGAAGCAGGAGCTCGGAGAGACGTAAATGCTCCTTGGAACGGGGCAGTCGGTGTGCTTCCGGTGATGCAAGCAAGACTTCGACGGCGGGAGACAGTTCCGAGCGCACATTTTCCATTTGAGAGTGGATAGCGGAGATCGTGGCCTGTTCTGTGCGGACATTCGACGTCGTTGGATGGGCTGCGTTCGCGGGCGCAGATCCGATTTCCACGACGGCGATCGTCGAGGTGTCCTTCAGGTGAAAGGCAGATACTATACAGGATGAGCTACCAATACGTTTGTACGTAGACGTCAACCGACTGGATGCATTGTCGTCTCGTAGTATTGCACCCTTGTGAATGAGCTTGAAGCCATTGCGAGGCAAGTGAGTATATTCTGCGATGGCGTCTCTGACAACACCGAGAGGTGTATTAGGAGGAGGAAGTTCGAATGTAATGCGTTCGGAATTCCATTTAACGTTGACCATAATGGCAGAACAAGAAAGAGTCTCAATCCAGATGATCGCTTATAAGTATATAGTACACATGAGTCTGATCTTCCCGAAGTTGCTCGCAACCCTAACCTCAACGCCACCAAGTAACCACATACGTCACGCCGTTAATATTGCTTTGCGTTTGACTCCACCTACATATACCATCCTCCTCGATGTCGACCCACAAGCCCAACGCGAAGCCCAATCCATTGACGAGCTTGCTTCAAGCCCGCCAGGGTGCGACGCCCATACCTCCTGGTATGCAGGAGAAACTTGCGGCTGTGGGTTGACCGCTTCATCCCGTACTGCATGTCACTGACGCTTCATTTTTGACTATCTAGTTCGCGAATAAGCGGGGTCCCATGAGTCCTGTTGACGCCACGGCAGCCGCTTTGCAGCGTGCTCGTATAGGGACTCCCGATGCTCCCAGTCTAAGGCCAGCCAACTCTTATCCGGCACCTCGACCCAAAGCACCAGGCTTGATGAATAGACGGAAGCCCAATTTCACACTCAAAGACATCGAAGGAGCGGATGGTGCATCTGGTGCAGGTTTGGGCGCCGGCCGTCCGCCTTTGCGCAACGACGCAGCCCCTGCATTCTCCAATTTTTCAAAGATTGTGTGAGTGTCTATCGGATCTGCTTAATTCATCTGAACATCCTACAGCGATCTTTCTGGTGCTCTTAATTTCAGTGGGAAAGCAGTTCTTCACGAAGATGGCGTCAACTTCTCGAACGGCTCATCGTATCAGATAAACATGTCGCAATTCGAACTGAACGAGGAATTGGGGAGAGGGAACTATGGAACCGTTAAAAGAGTTCATCATCGGCCAACAAACGTTTTCATGGCAATGAAGGTCTGTTTCACTCTGTACTTCACATGTTCCTTTTCTCATTCCCGATAGGAAATTCAATTGGAACTTTCGCCCTCTAAATTGGATGGCATCATCATGGAACTGGATATCCTCCATCGTGCTGTTGCGCCAGAAATTGTCGAGTTCTACGGCGCATTCACGATCGAATCGTGCGTATACTACTGCATGGAGTATATGGATGCCGGCAGCTTGGACAAAGTCCTCGGCATCAGAACCACTGCCCAGGGCGGAGGGTGGACTGGCGAAACAGGTGAAGGTGCACCCGAAGACGTACTTGGGCGGATTGCATCTAGCATGGTTCGCGGCCTCAAGTTCCTGAAGGACAATCTGCAAATCATGCATCGAGGTCAGCATTCCCACCAGTCTCAGAGCGCATCTGATTTTTGTATAGATGTCAAGCCTACGAATGTGCTCGTGAACAGAAAGGGCAAAGTCAAGCTATGCGATTTCGGTGTCTCGGGGCAACTAGATAACTCGATCGCCAAGACAAACATTGGTTGCCAGACCTACTTTGCAGTAAGCCTTTTACTTGCGCGAGTTCGCTCAATACTGAAAGCCTGCCAGCCGGAAAGAATCCAAGGCACGACATCCACAGCAGATGCGCAAGAAGCATTCAACACTTACACGGTCTCTTCGGACGTTTGGTCGCTTGGACTATCGATGATAGAGATTGCTCTGGGAAAATACCCATATCCGCCGGAAACATACAACAACGTCTTCGCACAACTGCAGGCCATTGTGCACGGCGAACCCCCAGTGTTACCGGAGTGCAAACCGAGTTCGGCGACTGACCCCCTTGAGGTCCAGTTCAGCGAGCAAGCACGCGATTGGGTCAGGGTGTGTCTCATCAAGAATCCAGCTCATCGAGCCACCTATGCTGAGCTACTGGTTGGTCTTATCCCTTGCGAACATCTGCTCGATGAACTCATGGTCTTTAGGAACATCCCTTCCTTGTGGCAGATGCCGAACGTGAGGTCAACATGGCTGCTTGGGTTGCTGGTGCTCTGGGTCGGCGCCAAATTGCCGCGCAGCTGAGGGAACAAGCCCTCAACGAATTGAACCAGCCAGTTTCTGTGTAATTTCTGCGGCCATATAAACAGCCCAGCAGCCCGCGACTTGGATCGCATGCCCCATCGGCTCTCCCGGCAACACGGCGTGTGCTGATCCCATATCCAGTTCTCTGTAGTTTACTCGCGGCCAGCGTTGACGGCGACAGGAGAGGGGATTCTTGTGATGAGCACGTCCAGGGCGGGACCCTGGTCTGATCGCATCCAAACTCGCTTCTCTTCATGTATTCCATTCATTTGTATGTATTACACGCAATATCCCACAATCCTGTAATGCAATGTCTGTTTTCACAATCCTGCTGTCGGCAAACTGCGGCAGAGATGTTCCAGCCAAAGCAGTGCAAATATATGCGCTCAGCCTTCTCCACTGGACCTATCATGCACCGAGTCTCGCGCCTTTTTCTCGCCGTGTTACTGCCATGGGCGGCCGCCCAGACATTAACTACGACTGACCTGTATGTTTTACCGCCTTGTTCAAATGCACAGTTGTGGCTGATGTCGGCGGCGCTTCAGTTTGGGCAATACCATTGTCGAGGTTGTTACGCTGGATCCGCTCGGGGCTCCCACAACAACGATTCTGTGCGTGTGGATCATCTGGGAAGCTGAAACAGCTATTGAGATGAATGAAGCTCGACAATTACACCAACGCCATTCACATCCACCATCACGACCACAAATCGGTTAGTCGATTTCTGTGTTTCGCTTTCAGCGTGCTCAGTTTATCAGTGCGGGAAACACTCTTGTCGAAGTCATCTCCGGGGATGGACAAGGGCTCTTGGCGACCCAAACGATGCAAGTTTTTTGAACTGGGCAGAGTTCACAGGCTCACTACCTGTCTAGCCAAACCATCCTCGCTGCGGCCGGTGGTGCATTCACATCGACTGTGACGACGACTGATCCGTAAGTGTGTCTTCATTTTCTTGGTGGCACTTGTCGACGTCTTGTCAGAGCTGGAGAGACGCTTGTTGAAGTAGTTGTCGCTGACGGATCGGGGAACACCGCGACTCAAACGATGTACGTATCGAGTACGCCCGGCACGCGGATCTCCTGTGCTGATTCTCTTTTTTTAGTCAGACAATAGCTGCAGCTGGCCCCGGTCCGGTACAACAACCAGGGACGACTGATGTTGCGCAGGAAGGTCGACCTACTCCGTACACCTATACCACGACGAATGCTAACGGTGTGACCTACCATACCGTTGGGACGTTCACGCCCTCCGTCGCCACGGCGGTCCCTGTGTCTGCGACGTTCCAGGCAACACAGATGGACTACTCTTTCTATACGGCCAATTATGCCACCAGTACAGCCCCCTCTGTTGTTGGCAACGAGGGTTCCCGTCCCGTCGCGTCTTTTGCAGTCGTTTCCCTCGCAGCTCTCGCTGCATGTTTCCTTCTTTCATGATTTAGACGACACGGGCGTTTACGAGCGTTGTACACACGGACATCGGACATACTTATTACAATCCTCTTGTTATCGGCCCCATCTACCACAGCATACCAGGCAAGAATTAATGATCACTATCTCAGATGGTCAAGCACCCTCGCCTCGCCTAAGACGGTTGAATTTCGGCAGCATCTCACGCAGGTACTCGGCATGCTTCCTGCGTAGATCGGCCTCTTGAACTTTACCCCTGCCACTCCATATCCGGCGTTCCGCAGCTGGGCCATAGATCACCGTGTAATCCTCCAGAACTTGGTCTTCCGATGGAACAACCAAACATGCCGCGCCGATGACGCAGTAAGAGGCGACTCGGACAGTGTGGTGTACACGAGCTCGCGTCGAGAATGTGTTGAAATTACCAATGGTGGGCGATTCCACGCCTACAATAAGGTGAGAGGCGCGAAGACGCGACGCCTTTGCAACGTACGACAAGATATCTCAAACAAGTTGTCGTCGCCGATGCGCATAACGTCTTTCCGTCTGGGGACTCGTCAGACGAGGTTGCACTCATAACTGATTCCCAACATACCTGTTCACGATGATGGCTCCTTCTTCGATTATACAATTCGAGCCAATGATGATGGGCGCGGCAATGGCGAATATGGTGGCTTTGGGATGCACTATGGTCCCTGCAGCCTGTCGAGTCGAGAAACGCGATGCGCGACGCATGACTGACCTGAGCCGATGGTGATATCGCCTTTCAGTTCCACATCCTGGCACACGACAGCCTTCGAGTGAATGGTGAATTTGTCGCGTCTACAATACGGATCCGATGCGCGTCAGTTGGTATGCAACCCATTGAAGGAGAAGTAGGTGACATTGGAGCCATCGAGAAAGCAGGAGACAACGAGCCACGGCAGTAAGCGAAATAAGCGTTCACGTCAAAGTTCGGGCCGTATTGTAGATGCCGTCTTCACCATCGAGGCAGCGATCGCCTAGCAGTGGTGTACAAATGCGATGCAGGCGAGCAGCCTAGTCAAGTCGAGTGCAGGTCAAGAGTCAGGGCAGGCTGACTCGGCTGCTTACTCGTGACTCATTTGTCAAGTTCACGTCTACCTCTTAACCCGAGTGTTAACCCTTCGCTTTCGTCCCCATCTCTAGACATTGGTTCACTTAGGGGCCCTCGCGCACGATGTCTTTCGCTCCGCACGACAGTGAGTGGGCCAGTCACGATGCCCTCTCCCAGGTCGCTTATCGTCCCAAGTCTCCGCTCCTTTCGACTTCCCGAAGGAGGAGGAAAAAGTGATCGCATTCTGGGAGGAAATCGACGCGTTTCAAACCAGTCTCAAATTATCCGAGGGACGCCCCGAGTACTCTTTCTACGACGGACCTCCATTCGCGACTGGATTGCCTCATTACGGACATCTGCTAGCGGGCACTATCAAGGTGCGTCCTCCAGCACATCATCCACGGCCGATATCGATGATCGGGCATTTTCTTAGGACATCGTCACCCGGCATGCGCATGTGAGCGGCCACCATGTTACTCGGCGCTTTGGATGGGACACACACGGCCTTCCTGTCGAGCACGAGATCGACAAAAAATTCAACATCACGGGCAAAGCGGATGTTATGAAGATGGGAATCGATCGGTATAACGCGGAATGCCGGAGCATTGTCATGAGGTACTCTTCGGAGTGGCGTAAAACGGTCGTGCGCATGGGCCGATGGATTGATTTCGACAACGACTACAAAACGCTAAATACTTCGTTCATGGAATCGGTCTGGTGGGCTTTCAGTGAGCTGTTCAAGAAGGGGCTGGTCTACCGCGGTCTGCGGGTCTTGCCATACTCGACGGGTTTGACAACGCCAGTTTCCAACTTTGAAGCCAACCTGGACTTCCGGGATGTGAGCGACCCGGCAGGTGAGCCTGATGCATGTGACCAAGAAGTCGGCTTGACAATGATAACCTAGTCACTGTCGCTTTCCCCCTCGTCGACGATCCTCACACCTCTCTTTTGGCTTGGACCACCACGCCATGGACGTTGCCATCAAATCTCGCATTATGTGTTCATCCTGAATTCACATATATCAAGATCCATGACCAGGAGAAGGATCAAAACTTCATTCTGCACGAGAATCTTCTCAAGACGCTGTACAAAGACCCGAAAAAAGCCAAGTTCAAGAAATTGGGGCAATTCCTTGGTTCTGATATGAAGGGTTGGCGTTACGTGCCGTTGTTCGAGTACTTCACTGAAAGAGTGCGTCTGAAAGAGAATTTCGATGCGAAGCTTACTAAATGCCACAGTTTGAGGACAAAGCATTCCGGGTTGTTGTCGACACCTACGTTACAGATTCGGATGGTACCGGCATCGTGCACCAGGCTCCTGCATTCGGAGAAGACGATTACCGGATTGCACTGGCGAACGGAATCATCAGCGAAGATGACATGCCGCCTTGCCCGATCGATGATGCGGGACGGTTCACCAGCGAGATCCCCGACTTCGAGGGCCTGAATGTCAAAGCGGCTGATAGTCCGATCCAGAAAGTGCTGAAGAACAAGGGCCGGCTGATTGTTCAGTCGACCATCATGCACTCTTATCCCTTCTGCTGGAGGTAATAAGTGATCCCAGCTTTGCCTCTTGTTTCTAATCTATACTCAGATCCAAGACACCGCTGATCTACCGCGCCATTCCTGGCTGGTTCGTCCGAGTTGCGCCGATCACAGAGGAGCTGGTTGCCAACAACAAGCAAACACGATGGGTTCCTCAACACGTCGGAGACAATCGGTTTGGTAACTGGCTAGCGAATGCTCGTGATTGGAATATCTCCCGCAATCGATACTGGGGTACGCCCTTGCCGCTGTGGGGTAACGAGGATTTGTCAGAGGTGGGTTCACCCATCATGTAGCTGTCTCGTGTGTCTCAGCCTCGTTCAGATCGTATGCATTGGCTCAGTTGCGGAGCTTGAGGAACTATCGGGCGTCAAGGGCATCACCGACCTGCACCGAGATAGCATCGATCACCTGACTATCCCCTCGTCCTCTGGCAACGGCGTGCTCAAACGCGTGGAGGAAGTCTTCGACTGCTGGTTCGAGTCAGGAAGGTGCGTACGCGTGATAAGCTCTACGTTCCGCCAGCACTGAGGCCCCGGCAGCATGCCTTACGCGCAGATGCACTATCCCTTTGAAAACAAGGAGTTGTTCGACAAGACTTTCCCGGGCGACTTTGTTTGTGAGGGCATAGACCAGACACGTGGCTGGTTCTATACTCTGCTTGTGCTCTCGACACATCTTTTTGGCAAGGCCCCGTGGCAGAATCTGATTGTGACGGGACTGGTGTTGGCCGCGGATGGCAAGAAGATGAGCAAGAGTCTGAAGAACTACCCCGATCCTACGGTTGTCATTGACAAGTACGGTGCGGATGCGACCCGGATGTACCTCGTCAATTCGCCGATCGTCCGTGGCGACAATCTCCGCTTCAGGGAGGAGGGTGTTCGAGAGGTGATCTCGCGGGTGCTACTTCCGTGGCTTAATTCCTTCCGCTTCTTCCTGGGTCAAGCTGCGCTGTTCAAGAAGACCACGGGCGAAAACTTCCAGTTCAACGCGCACGCCTCCGTTCCGAACAACGTCATGGACCGGTGGATCCTTGCGCGGTGCCAGTCGCTCATCCTGCTTGTTCGACAAGAAATGGCTGCCTACCGGCTGTACACGATTGTGCCGCGTCTGCTCGACTTGGTCGACGAACTGACGAACTGGTACATCCGCTTCAACCGCAGACGTCTCAAAGGAGAAGATGGCAAAGAGGACACGCGCACGGCCCTTAACACTCTTTTCGAGGCGCTGTTCACCCTCTGTCGAACGATGGTCAGTTCCTCTCTTGCTTGCCCTCGTTAATTCCCCATCGTGATACATTTTCCAGTCTTCTTACACACCGTTCATGACCGAGAACCTCTATCAAACACTAAAGACGTTCATCCCCGAGAATCCCAGTGCTGGAGATGTCCGCTCGATCCACTTCTTGCTTTTCCCCGAGGTGAAGCAGGAGTACTTTGACTCTGACATCGAGCGACAAGTCCAGCGGATGCAGGCTGTCATTGACCTGACAAGAAACATCCGTGAAACAAACAATATCTCTCTCAAGGTTCGTGGGCCATCGTCGTCTCGCTCACCGATGACCGACACTGCTTTCAGACACCTCTTAAGGAGCTGCTCGTATTCAACGCTGACCCGCAGTACATTGAAGACGTCCGACCTCTGCAAAAGTACATCGAGTCGGAGCTCAACGTCCGCGACGTCGTTTTCAGCTCAGACGAAGTCGCTTCCGGTGTGCGCTACAAGGCAGCAGCTGACTGGACTGTCCTCGGCCGGAAGCTCCGCAAGGACATCAACCGTGTCAAGAAAGCTCTCCCGGACGTCACGAGCTCCGCCGTCAAGGCCTTCATCGACACCGGCAAGATCAGCGTGGACGGCATCGAGCTCGTCGCTGGCGATCTCACGGTTTCGCGCTACCTGGACATTCCAGTCGAGGCCGAAAAGCGGTTTGCGACCAACACGGACAACGATGTGGTGGTTCGCTTGGACATCCAGGTCCATCCTGAGTTGATGGGCGAATGGCTCGCCCGGGAACTGACGAATCGGGTGCAAAAGCTGCGCAAAAAGGCGGGGCTCCAGGCCACCGACGACGTGCTGGTGTTCTATCAGTTCGAGTCCGGGTCCGGGGCAGACCTCCTCTCTGCCATTGACCAGCACTCCGAACTCATCCGGAAGACCATCGGCGGACTACCTGCTGATTCGAGCCAGCGCAAACCTGGTTCAGTTGCACTGGTTGAAGAAGAACAAGAAGTGGCAGAAACCAAGTTTATGTTGTACCTTGTAAAACCATAGAAAATTAGTACCTTCCGCTCTATACTACTCACAATTTCGCATGTGACAGCGCCATCCAGCGCTTCTCTACACTCATTATACGCGCCAACCGGGCGTGGTTCTCGACCTGGAACATCCGATAAGGGATGCTCTCTCCTAGAACCGGAAGATTTGTTCAGCAATTCGTTGACTCGCAGCTGCTGAAAAGCGAGACATACCATCGATACTGATATAACCTCGCTTCTCGAGTGGGGTACAGCGATAAGCCTCCACTTTGAAATAGTAACACAAAGGGTCGCTCATAAAGCGGCCTTCCTCTTGCCCGTCGACGCTCTAGAAACGCGAAATGAGCAGAGTAGATTGCAAGCGAAGAGGGGAGCCGAGGTCATTACCTTGATGCTGGCCCAAGCTGACCGACCAGGGACCACAATCAGATCGATCAGGCCATCGTTCATGGCCAACGGGAGCATCATGCTGTCGCGCGAAAGCCAGGGCAGTTTGCCGGCACACATCAGCTGCACCGGCACACGGAAAGTGTGCCAGCCGGGCTCCAACGCTTGCTCGAGACGGTCGTGGACGGTGCCGAGGGGAAGCGGGGAGTCAGTGCTCCCGAAGGACAGCGGAACCATCGGGCCCGGATCCGTTCTTTCCAAAGCAGGCGAGATCGTTTGCTGGTGGTGGTTGTACTGGTCGACCATCTTCTGCTTGTCGCTCTCCGCGATTTTGAGCGTGATTTCGACATTGTAGACCTTGCCAGTGATAGCGCCGTTGAGATATCCCAGTACGAAGCGGATTCCCCCGATCCATCTGGCGCTGATCAAAAGACAAACCAACAGGGAACGGACAGAACTGACCGTATCCATTCCGTGCCCATGTCGAGATCAGCCATGAGGCCAAACGCCTGCGAGAGGAAGCTGAAGATCCGGGTATCGCCTTGCGAGACCGAACAGATATCCAGAGGTATCGGCAGTCCTGCGCCAGGAAGTTAGGTCCCGGAATCATTCTTAGAGCGGCATTAGCACCTTTGATTGCGTTCATGGCGGCATAAGAAACGTCCAAAACCCTTTCCGGGCCCAGAATGTTCACCGAGAGAGCGTTGCCGCTGCCCGCGGGAATGGTGGCGATCGGGATCTGCAAGGCAGCAAGTGCGTCCGGCCGGCTGGCCAGTCCGTTGATGATCTCGTTCACGATGCCGTCGCCCGAAATGGGGACCAGCGCATCGTATGCGTCCAGTCCGACATCGTGTGCGATACGGGTCGCGTTATCAGGTGACGAGGCAGGGCCCGTGTCTGGTCGGATTTGCTGAGGTTAGTTCTTGATGAAAAAAAAACACGGGGAGATAGGACCGCACATCGAAGGTCGACGTGACAGCCCGCGGCAGCAAATATGGGTTGCACCTTGTCCATCCAGATGTTCTTGGCCTTGCCCTGACCGCCGTGGGGGTTCACCATGACGAGAAACCTGCGACAAGGCAGAACATCTAGAGACCCGAGTTGTAGATGTTTTCAGTCATGACCGGGCATGACTGCGCACCTCTATAAGCGCGGCTGTGCATATCTGCCGTCCATGCCCGAATCAAGTCGGCCGCGATATTAGACACGTCGCCAGAGAGTTTTTGCAATTGCAGAGACTGGGTTCGGGAAGACAGGTAGGCAAAGTTGAGCTGAGACCCAGTGATTGTCGATTGGAGGACGTGCAAGTACGGAACGAGTTCGACACCTGTGGAAAGGTTGGATGGGTACAGGACGAGACATGAGCGGCACGAACCACGCTTGAGGGCTGCAGAGGGATGAATGTGTGCTCGAGCGGTAGAAATGACACGTACACGTGGTGACGCGAACCCCGTTTTCGAGGATCATAAGAGAAGTCTTGACTCCATCTTGGACGATAGTCAGCTCGCGTTCTTCCGAGAGTGAGGTGCCGTCAATAGAGAGCTGTTCGAATCCTGATCTATGAAACGGCCAGAGAAACGACAAGTAAGAGCGAAGAGAGTCCATGTGGACAGACGAATCGTTGAAGAATTGTGCACGCGAACGCGCCTCAAAAGAGCAAGCGGATCTGATGAGGATCGACACGATCAATACGCAGCAACGTGACTTGGGAAGGCCGTGTTATAATTATCAACTCGATTGTCAGCGTGATAATAAGAGCATCCATTGCATATCAAAGTCCCATGCGTGTAAATTAGCAGAGATTCTGTCCGTAACTAACTTTCTGTACTGCTTGGTCCCTTTCGAGGCGACCGATTCAACCATGGCGTCGGCGAGTCCGGTGAAAGTGTCAACGGGCTCGACTTTTTAGGTGTTGCAGCTACCCCGGCTGGAGACCCAACGACGATTGTGGTGTCGCCGGCCGAGAACCAGCACCTGAGTGTTCCGAGGCAGATGGGGAAGCTCGTCGATCATAGTAAATGGACGGATCGGATTGCAGATCATTCCGAGAAAGATCTCGGAAGGGGTCTGCATAGAGGGAAGAGGAAGTGCTATTCATCGAGGGGATATTTTCACGTGGCGCTTCACGCTGTGAATCACTCGAAGGGGCGGGCGGGCTTCGGTCGGGACCCATCACATCGTTTACAATGTGTCCAAAGCCGCCTGCGCCAAGCCCAACAAGTGGGTCCACTATGGGACCCTGGGGCGGAGGAAAGACTTCTTCGCGAAACACCGAGCCAGTTTCTGCGCGTGATCGGAATACAGAAGGTGCTGGCGACTGTTGAGGCCCAAGACTGACGGCGCTTGGGTTCGATCGGGCATGTGTGATGTCGTTATCTCGATACCGGCGCATGGGGACGCTGTCGTCGTCGTCGAAATCTTCGTCGTCCAGCAGCCCGAGTGCTCCAGCGCCCTGCGTCTCTCGTCTCGCCCGCCCCAATGCAGCAGTGAACTCCAGACGCCGGCCATTGCGTCGCTTGTATACAAATATCGTGCCGAGGACGACAAGAAGAACACCCACAGCGGCGGCCGTTGCTCCAGCAATGACGACTGTCCGTCGCGCAGTGCTGTTTGAAGTTGTAGACGGAGATAGCGATGTTGGGACGGCCGAAACGAGCTGTCATGATAGATACGAATCAGCGTCGACTAGTAGTTGAAGAAACTGGACGTGCTGTAGTCAATTGCCCGTCAACCGATGTCACTAGGGTGGTGAGGGACACCGAGGAGCTCGTACTCGGGTTGGATCCGACGTGGTCAAGACTTGAGTTGTGGTGGCGATTTGGGACGAAGTGGTCGGGATTAGAGAAGAGGAGGGCAAGAGCCGAGAGGATTGGGGTAGCACGGAACTTGAGGGGGGAAGAGAGCTGGAGGAAAGAGACGAGGACGGAGGGACAGATGACGACGAGGGCTGCGCGCTAGATGAAGAGGCGCTAGGCACTTGAGAGCTGCTACTTCCGAACGATGATGAACTCGAAGGTTGACTAGAAGATGAAGAGTCACTGGTGGAGATGGAAGCGGACTGTGATCCAGAAGCAGAGAGACTAGGAAGCCAGTTTCAGAGCAAGACAACGGAATGGTAGCACTTTCACAGACTTGGAGGAAACGGGAACACTAGTTGAGGAACCTGCATCAGAGTTCGAAACATCTCTGGCCTGTGAGATGCTTGAGATTCACATTATATTCTGGACCAGTGATCAACATACCTGAGACCTGCTAAAGAGCGCACTGGGCGCTGTGGAAGCCGATGAGATAGAGGTAAAGGAAGCGCCCGCCGCAGAAGAAGAAGCAAACGCTGTCTGTCTTGGAATGCTCATCGAAACATATGAAGAAGAGGGAGGAAAGGAGGGAGGAGTCCGTGTGAGAGGCAGTGCACTTATTCCTGATGTCATGCAGCACGACAACGCAGCTCCTTCCTTCATGGGTACATACGGTCTATCCTCCCTCTTTCGTCATGATTTTCTCAGAATTTATATATATTGGATTCAAAGTTGGGGTGCCTGCCAATGAAATCGATTTGACTTCCACTCTATCTTCCCAAATTAGTTCAACAGACTATTGACTGATGCCCAGAGTATATCAGTGGGATGAAATAGAGCACCGAGTCGACATGAGCATCTCGAGTTCTGAAAAGCTCGACTTGGGTACTTGGGTCTTGTATTACACGTAGCACGACGTAAGGCGACATAAATGATCATGGACACGTCGGTGGTTCAAGCTGCGAGTCAAAGTACTGCAGCGTCTCGTGATCTTGTCAAAGCGGTGCTTGCAGTGCGGCGTAGCATCTCTCTTCGTCAGACACCCATGACTTCATATCCCGTTGCCCCCCCTCCGTCCTACGGAACCGCCCCTACCAAGCCTTCGCGCGACGAAGCCCAGGAGCCTTTGTTGGGCAGCTCCTCCCGATCTGGAGGTGGCATATTCGATCAGCCCGATGCAGATGACGTCCCGGACGATTTCAAGGTCTGTCTGCGCAAAGTTGACAAATGCGTTTCGTGGCTGCTAATCCAATCACAGTACGGGACGACTGTCTCCGACAGCTCTCCCGAAGTTCGCAATGCATTCGTGCGCAAGGTGTACACTATTCTATGTAAGCATCTCATCTACCTCAAGCAACGCTCTCTCTCACACCAGCATTAGTATGCCAGATCGTTGGTATTTTCCAGCCTTTCATTCTTTCCACTCATCTCCAGCAGTTTGCCACGGTTGTGTTCGGAGGTCTGCTCTCTCAGTCTAGCTCGGTTGTTACATGGGTCCAGAACAAGTACGTGCCCCCCTCGCCCGAAATGTCAACACCTGCTGATTACATCCAGCGTTTGGGCATTCTATGTTCCTACTTTCGGCACTCTGGTCAACCTGGGCTTGTTGTACTGGAAGCGCCACTCGCATCCGTGGAACTTCGTCCTCCTGACTAGTTTCACCCTTCTCGAAGGTTTGCCGCACATCATTCGAGTTCTTTCACCCTTGTTGATCTTTGGACAGCTTTCACTTTGGGTATCGTGGTCGCTTTCTATGACAATCTCATCGTTCTTCAAGCGCTGTTCGTCTGTCCCAACTTTAGTCTTACCCTTCGACTCATCCTCGCTTAGTCTCATCACTCTCGGAGTTTTCATTGGTCTGACTCTGTTTACATTGCAGTCTAAGGTGTGTCGAGATGACTGGTATTCCTTCTCGTTCTCATTCTTTTGCGCAGTATAATTTCGAGGGCATGGGTAATAATTGCGAATCACCACACCTGATAAGAGCTTACTCGTCTTTCTTCCAGGTCCTTTCCTTTTCGGCGCCCTTTTAGCTTTATGTTTGTGTTTTCGTACACCGCGGTTTTTTCCCTTATATCTAATTGAGATCTGAAGGCATGACTGGTTTCGTCCAGCTGTTCATTCCATTCAGCCGAACCATGGATCTCATCTATGCTATTGGTGGCTGCCTCATCTTCTCTGGCTACATCGTCTATGACACGTATATCATCAATGCGAGACTGTCTCCCGACGAGTACATCATGGGTGCCATCAGCCTCTATCTCGAGTGAGTGTAATCTATCAGTTCATCCTGTATGGAAGCTGACTGGTTTCTCCAAGCTTCATCAATCTTTGTAAGTTCATGCACCCTCGATCCGAATATCTTCCAGCTAATTCTACTTCCAGTCCTGAGTATCCTCCGTCTTCTCAACAATGTTCAAGAACGGTGAAGGCAGAGATGTCGCAGAAAGGCTCCGGATGTCATGCCTAGTTCCACTATGAGTTTACCTTGTATTTACTGAATTTTTGAGGAATGCGATGCGTTCCGCATGTTTACATGGAAAGGAAAATAAATTACCTAGTGATACAGTGTTAAATTTCAACATTCGTACAGTAGAGGGCGTCATGAGGATCCAACCAGAAATCATTTCTTTGTCGAACCGAAACCCCCGAAACCCATCATGCGCTGCATATCATCGTCTGGACCACCAGAATCTTTGATCAATTCAAGGCGGAGTTTTTCCTTCTCTGCTCTCTTCGCCGCTTTCTTCTCCTCGCGATTAGCAAGTTCGAACGCCTTGACTTGTGCTAATCGTTTATCAAAGTCGTAATTTTTAGCAGTCGTGGCTTCTCTTGTCTTTTCACGTAGCATAGCGATACGGGCGCGCACTTGTTCCAAAGTCGACCGCTCCAGTTTCGTCGTTTGCCCAATGGCACGCAGATCTATGGGAGCAGTGCTAAGTTGATCAACTTGAGATTTCAGACTGGACGCACGCGCTCGACTGTTAATGTGATCCAAATATCCCACTGTGTCTTTGAATGTCCTATTGCACGTGTCGCAATGGAAGCCAGGCTGCCCAGGGCCCTTTCCGCCAGGATTTTGAACGACCATGGTTTTATTTAAGTTTTTGTCCAACTCCAGAGGCCCTTCTCGCTGTTTCATCAGTTCAGTAGGCTTAGGGAGGTCCTCTTTTCTCGGTCCTTTGCGAGGCCGTTTCCCTGTGAAATATTGTCAGTTGGTCCAGAGTTTGAGATCAGAAGCGAACGCACCTTGCCTCAAACGCTCTTCGTTATCCTGCATACGCTCCCTCTCGTCAGCGTCTCGTTTCTTAGCGCGCTCGGCATACTCCTCTTTATCCCACTTCTTGCGAAAGTCGGTGTCAGTCGCCGAGCTGGTCGTGTTCTTGTCCGCCATGACGGACGAGACGAAGGAGTGCCTTCCATTTTGGGACGCTGTCATCAATCCTCGATTCTCATTTCATGCCACGACGACCGTAGACTGCGCTCCTCCCAAGCACTCTCGACCCTACGACCTCATACTATATGTCTGAAATACCTGTAATCGTGTCCTTTCCGCTCCCATTCCGGGTCCTCGTGCTCAGCGGGTTGGGTATACTTGGCTGGGCGACCAACTTGCATGGCTTGGATCTGCTCGGAGTGGACGCTGTCGCCGCGATGGACCTGCAAGTGGAAACGAGCGCGCTATCCCACCTGCCACATCATCTCGCCCAACCGAAGCGCCCGTCGCATCCATCCGTGATATATAACGCGGTCTATCGCCTTTTTCTGGGGTACTCGCTATGGGTGTTCATGTCCTGGGCGTCGTTCCGGTGGCTCACCTACGGTGATGCTGTGCTGGTCGACGCGTTTGGATATATCCCCGCGGTGTCGGGGCTGGTGCTGCTGATGGTGTTAATCAGTCCTGTGGACGCGCTCTGCAAACGAGAAAGAGACAAGTTCCTTCAGTGTGTCCTATGCGCTATTCTGCTCCCCGAATGAATGCTCAAAAAGATAGCGCACTACGGAGATGTGTGTTCACGCATCTAGACGGGCCGATCTACTTCGCAGATGTGATCTTTGCGGATATATTCACGTCCTTCGCCAAAGTTCTCGGCGACATGTGGCTTTCTGCGTGTATGCTTCTGCCGGGGAACACACTTTTGAGCACGCCTGCGGACAGTGTGTGGCTGCGCTGGGTGATGCCGACCATCATGAGGTGTGTTTGTGCAATCAATGGTCTCTGAGAGATGAACATATCCACCGGTCCAGTCTCCCCTACTTGATCCGGCTTAAACAATGTATAGCGGAATACTCTCATGCTGAGAATGAAAGCCGACGGCCACTGTTAAACGCCATCAAATACGCAAGCTCATTCCCCGTGATCTACTTGTCCGCGGCACAGCGAATCGTGGTGTCAGAATTAGTTGAAGCCAAGGGCAGCGGTGTTACAAACGAGGCTTGGCATGGGGAACATCCGCTTTTCAGGCTTTGGTGAGCTGCGCTGACTTTCGCATTGCCCACGATCGCTCATCGCTCAGGCTCTTGGCTGCTATTGTGAACTCGTTGTACTCGTTCTGGTGGGATGTGACGAACGACTGGGGCCTGACGTTGCTCAAGCCGACTCCCGAAGAGACCGATAAGAAACCTGCGCCACCGCGGCAACTGCTTTTGTCCCAGTCCGGATCCCACTCTCCACACGGTTCCCAAGATGAAACTGCCACGAACCACCAAAGAGAGTCCCACCCCTATGGTTTACGCTCTATGCTGTTGTATCCGCTTCCAGTATACCCACTTCTGATATTCCTGAATCTGGTTCTCCGGCTGACATGGTCTGTGAAATTGTCGAGCCATCTGCATTCCAAATCAGAGGGCAGTGTGACTATCTTCTGGCTAGAGATGGCTGAAGTGATCCGGCGGTGGATGTGGGTCTTTTTGCGGGTAGAGTGGGAGGTGGTCAAGAAGGGACAGGAGGGGGCTCGCCGTGGGGCGATGGTGGACGAATACAGCGGGGATGAGGCCGAGTACGAGATGGTTTACAGAGCAGCTGACGATTCTTAGTTGATGGTATGTAGAGTAATAGACTGGTGCGTCCCCTCGCACATTGTTACAAGGCACTAAACCCACATTGGAGACTGTCACCTGATGATCCTATCCCTAAACTTTCCGAGGATGCGGGGTCAGCCAATCGGGTGCCTCTGTCTTGGTATCCATAAAAGGCATCACGACTACCAAATGCGGCTGTGCGCAGTAGCCCGTTCCGATCCGCGCTTGGAGTATTCTGCAGGTCCCGATCTTCCACGACGCAGGGCAAGCGGCAGTATTTCGGGTGTCGACGGTAAGCTCCCGTTCACTCTTGTACCGCTTGATGGCCCTCAGACCGTGGGTAGCCGTCAGCACCACGGATGGGTGACGTAACGGTACATCCGAGTTGGGACTTGGAATAAACTTGACCAACCGGTCTCGGCCGGATAAGATCTCGCAGGTCCGCACGTCATATGACACATTCACACAGCGACAGACTATAAAGACGGAGTCGATTCAGTCTCTTTCTCTCACCATTCTCTCCCACACACTCTTACACACAGACACTCATGAAGGTTCTCGCGATTCTCTACGACGGCGGCGATGCCGCTCTCAACGAGCCCCGTCTGCTCGGCACGACCGAGAACAAGGTCGGTCGAGCGTACGCGTTATTTTCGCGTCTGACGCGACATCCAGCTTGGAATCAGCGACTGGCTGACTTCCCAGGGACACGAATTCATCGGTACGCGTTTTGACATTATCGCACTTGTCTATGCTGACGGAGATTTGTGCAGTGCGCTTCTTCTAATTGACTGATGGGCAGCGCTCATCGTGGACAGGTATCGAGCAGCAAGGAGGGCCCCGACAGTGACTTCCAGAAGCACATCGTCGATGTGAGTGGGCTTGTGCCTTTCTTGTCCCATTCCCGCTCTAACGCCTATTATTAGGCAGAAGTGCTGATCACTACTCCCTTCCATCCCGGATACTTGACTCGTGACCTGATCGACAAGGCCAAGAACTTGAAGCTCTGCATTACTGCCGGCGTCGGATCCGACCACATCGATCTCAATGCTGCCGTCGAGCGCAAGATCCAGGTTCTGGAGGTGTCTGGATCCAACGTCGTTTCCGTTGCTGAGCATGTGGTCATGTCCATCCTTCTGTGAGTCGCATCGATGTGCGATGTGCGATGCGGTTGATGCGGATGACATACGCCCAGGCTTGTGCGCAACTTCGTCCCTGCTCACGAGATGATCGAGGCCGGAGAGTGGCAAGTCTCCGACATCGCACGGAACGCCTTTGATCTGGAAGGCAAGGTCGTGGGAACGATCGGTGCGGGCCGCATTGGATACCGGGTCTTACAGCGTCTGGTTCCGTGCGTCTCTCAGTTTTTCTCGTTCGCGGCAACATGCTGACCACAAACATAGATTCGACTGCAAGTCTCTTCTGTACTACGACTATGCTCCTCTACCTGCCGGTACGCATCATTCCCCGTTTCTTTGACGGCCATCGTTACTCAAATTGCGCAGAGGCCGCCGCAGCTGTCGGTGCCGTCCGGGTTGAAGATCTTAAGGTGTGTTTGGTCAGACTGACCCTGCTGTTGATTTGCTCAAACAAACATCCCTAGGAATTGGTTGCGAAGGTATGCCAACGCTTTCCCGCTTGCACGCGGAATTCTAATCAACCGGCCAGTGTGACGTTGTCACGGTGAACTGTCCTCTGCACGAGGGCACGATGGGGCTCGTGAACGACGATTTGTTGAAGCACTTCAAGAAGGGCTCCTGGCTCGTCAACACTGCTCGTGGCGCCATCTGTGACAAGGATGCTGTCGCCCGTGCGCTTGCCAGCGGACAGCTCTCCGGGTACTCTGGAGATGTCTGGAACGTGCAGCCCGCACCCAAAGACCATGTCTGGCGGACCATGAAGAACCCGCTGGGCGGAGGAAACGGCATGGTCCCGCACTATTCCGGAACGACTCTCGATGCTCAGACTCGCTACGCCAATGGCACCAAGAGCATTTTGGAGAACTACCTCAAGAGCCAGCCCCAGGAGCCGCAGAATATCATCGTCGGCATCGGCAAGTACGAGTCCAAGGCTTGTACGTGTACTCGCTTGCTTTGTTCAGTTCACGATCTGATGTCTTCTCCCAGACGGCCAGCGCTGATTAATAGCAATAGCAAATGTGTATCATATGTACAAGATATCAAATGCAAACTCGTTATTCTAAAATCGATTTACTACTCTTTATCGATAATATTGAGGCGGTGCACTCTGCTGACGAAGAGTGGCGCTCTCATTTGCACAGCCATGATGTGTTCAAAAGGCTCCAATCCACTTCTCGTTCTCCACCCTACGTGATTACTGGCTGTTTTATACCATGACTGCAACTACACGCGATTTGCTCTCCGAGGCGTATATCCAGGACGCGTTCCACAGCTACCTCAAATCCTCGTTAACTCAGGCCAAGGCGGAGCATCTGTTGGATGCTGACATCCTGAGCAGTGCTGAAGGGGATCTGATGATTACTGGTGAGCAGATTCCTGCATACCCACTCTTCCTCCCGCTCAACCACATAGGGCCTGCGTTATGTCTTTATTTCGCTGCGCTCCGGTGCACCACCAATCCACCGTCCGTGCCACTGCCCAGGAAAGAGAAGTCGGGAGGCGCTCCGGTTGATCTGTCATACGAGAACTGCCCGACACCATTCATCCCGTTCCTGCGCGTCTGGAGTCTTGCGGTACCCCAAATCCAAGCATTGACTCCAGAACTTCAGCACGACCTCGCGCGCATGATCTGCGGCCTCAATCCCCTCATCACACCACTCCAACCCGGGCTCAACGGCATCGCAGCGGATTTGCGGGCAGTGGCCATTGAGATTAGCCAGCGCCGGTCGTTCCAGTCTCGCTACGCAGACGACTTGCAGGCTGCATTGGACGCAGGCACAGCACCTGCTACGCCCAGCCCGAAACGGGCGGCCTTTGTTCCACCCCGGAGTATGTAGAGGCGTCGCCTGTGTCGAGCGCCCACTCCAGTCCCCGGTCTTCAATGGACGGCCATGCCTCTGGGGATGGCCGGGCACAGTACATGACGGTGCCTGATTCCCTTCGAGCCGGACGCCCATCGAACCTCCTCTCTCCTCCGGGCTCCAGCGCCACAACACGCCCCCGATCACATTCTCCCGCAACCCATTCGCCGACGATCCTGTCACCCACGTCGCCTGCAATCGAGTTCATTCGAGAAACATTATATGCGTCGCTCGGGGATGCCATTGAACAACGGCCGACCGTAGCGGGTCTTATCAAGACGGATCCACCGCGGGCATATTTCGCCGCTGTCTCTTTTGCTATTCTGGAGATTGCCACGTCTGGAGTTGGGTCTGACGGGACCATCCGCGGTGTTTTGGGGCGGACGCTGACGATGGCAGATTGTCCGCGGGAGCTGCGGCCTTTCATGGCTGAACTAGCCTCGATTGGAGCTGCGGCCAGAGAAATGCGCGAGTCGGACGACGTGGCTGCGGTCGAGGCGGTCAGTCACGGAAAGCGCATATCGGAGGGGAAGATGGCGAGGGTGGCCCAGATTCTCGAAGGGGGGATCGGACATTCATTTGCTGGACGAGAGTCGAGGTCGAGCAATGAGGGTCGGCGGAGTGAAGATGGGCGCAGAAGCGTGGAGGGACGAGCTGTATCCTTTGCAAACCGAGTGAATGCTCTCAGTCTTGGGATGACCCGCCTCAAAGCATTCCGCGATCGACAGGAAGAGGTCTTTGCTGTACTGTCCAGTTTGGGCTCATGAACAGCAGCTTACAAGTTATTATGTGCTTTACTGTATCATACTCTAATTGTAGCAAATTAGCAATGTTCATACATACGAACTGACAATACAAACAGGATAAGCGAGCTATATAAAATACACCAGAGCAATTGAGAGAACTCATCCATCACGAGCAGCGACACGGTCCCGGACAAACTTTTCCAGCTTGTTCGCATTCTTGACATAATTGGACCCTTCCGCGTTGTATTTGCGACAATTGTCAAAGATGAGCTGGGTGTCAGCCACGAAATCGTCCACTGTCGCATACTCATTTCGGTCCAGTTTCTTGGACATGGTATCGAGATCTGAGATTGTCAGTAGAGAAGGAGATGGGAACGCGGGCCATACCCATAGGGTCTGTGATGACGTCGTAGTAATCTACAACATCCTTGGCGTCCACAGGATATTGGAATGCCCACGAAGCAGAGTTGTCTTTGAGATCGTGCAACATCTTTTGCATCCACCACACATCGGCGTTCCGAGATATTATCTTCACGGGGCTGGGTGATGATGAGAAAATCGTTGCTGAATCAAGACATGGCCACCTACTTCGAAGACATGGTCGGTGTCCATCCTGTTTCCCCTATGATCCGGTGAGCAGAACACAATGAAACCCGGAGATAGTCGACACACGAAGTCCAGGTACATCTCGATAGTCCACCGTAACTTCGCCAGTTGCATGTGACTGGAACTGAGGTAAACCAGGATAGACAATGTGCGAGCGCGACATCTCGCGGATCTTGGACATGACAGCTTCTTGCTGGGCGGCCAGCAGAGCAGGCTTGTTGAGGTAATCGACTTTTTTGACCATAGTGCACTGCATTATGGTACCGCCCTCATAATCTTTGATGTACCCAGCCCACACAGATCGATCGAGCGTGATCTCCTTCGAGAAACCCTGTTTTTCGAAGTAGCCCACAGCGTAGTTGTCGGCATAGGTTAGGAAATGCATCATCCCAGGAAAGGCCGTTTTGATATGCGCTTTGAAGTGATCCATTAGCATGGCACCGTAGCCCTTCACTTGGTCCGACGAATTGGTTGCAAAAAAGACGATCTCTGCGAAACCGCGATGCGGAAACGGTCGATAGCAGATTCCTCCGACAACTTTCAGGCCTCGTTTGACGATGGCCACTGCTTTCGAGTTGCTGTCGTATACCAATCTCGCGATGTACTCTCGGGGCATTTTGGGAAGTTGTTTTTGGAACAATGTCTTCAGCCCCGTCAGAATGATCAATGAGTGAGGTTTCCTATCGTTTTCCACCGGGACGATTGTGATCACGCCTCGCCGCAGTTCGCCAACCACAGCTTTCTCTGGCTTGACAGACGACTGTGGGCCGTTTCAGCAGGAACACACGAGAAAAACAATATTAGTGTACATCACCCAACGACGTCTGCTTCGAGTCGACGCTCACACCGGTCGTTAGCCTAGACAGCTGCTCTTCATTCATTGGTTCCTCTCTCTTGACGACTGTCCCATTGGCTTGTCCGTTCACAGGCCAAGGCGCGTCCTGTCGTTTGGTCTTGATTCCGGGTCCCTTCTTGCCGCTTCTGGATGCTGCCGGGCGGACTGATTTTCCGTTGGTGCCCCCGGTCTTGAGGCCGACACGTGAAGCAAGGGGTCGATCCTCTTCTTCGTCTGACACGCTTAGTGAAGATGAAGACAATCGCCGCCTTTTCGTGGGCGGAGGAGAGATATCGCTCAGAGCAGAGAAGACGGAAGATGGTGGGCTGGGAGAACGAATCTCTGGGTGATAATTTCAGCTATCCCGAAGCATGTATTAACGCCATCGGGAGCGAACCTGGACTGCCGTTGGAATGCGCAAGGCTCATACCGGATATCGGAAGTTTCATCTGATTCCGGAGCGAGAGGATGTCCGAGTCGACATACTCAAAGTCGAGGAGTTTGTGCACATCCTATGGTGGCATTCATATGAGTCCAGTACATAAGACGTTAAGCTTCACCTGAGTGTTCGTCAGCACAAAACAGTTGAGATGTGGAAGAGCGCACCTGCAGCAATTCATCAAGTCTTATTGCGACGCGTCCACGGCGAAGAAACTCGTCCCGTCCAAGTTGAGGCTGATTTGCGCCGTGGTCGTACATATCATGCCCGCACGCGCACGATGTAAGATATGGTGGGTGCCCGTCTCCATCCTCGTCATCTGATCCATACTGGTCCAGGTCTACCAGGGAGGGCTCAACGCTGGAATCATCGAGCACTATATGGTATGTAGGGTCGGGGTGCAGACCGGGGCACGAGTTACACAGAGTACATGGAGAGTGGCGGGATATTTTGAGCGCAAGGAGTTGGTCGTTCAGTTCATCCTTGTCGTGCGATGCGGGGTAAGAGTACTTCATGATCTGACTTCCGAGAGGCTCATAAGTGGTTGGCGAAACAGTGATGATGTCAAGTATTCCGTGGCTGTGCATTGTTCACCATGTTGGAGTCGCTGGGAACGTTGAACCTGTGCGTCTACACTCTAGCAACAAGAGAGTATCGGGACTCCCGCTTTTCCATGAAGACCTGATGCTCTTCCAATTCATAATCCTGTTTTTTATACCTCTGGTCCGTACAACTTCGGACTGGATCACCTACCCTGCCAATGGGACTGCTACCATGACCCATTATACCATGGCTCAAGGCTACATCGCTTCATGCGGATGCACAGGCGACAGCACAGTGCGTGAGATAATGCCTTAGTGAGCCCCCCCTCATCTTGTGTATGCTGCAGAAATACCCAACCGCTGCCATGTCCCAAATGGCCTATGGAAGTAGTACCGCGTATGGTAACGCACTCGCTCTCTGCACTTCCACTACTTCCAACCTTTTTGTTGAACAGGCCCTGCCTGCGGAAAATGCTTCAAACTGACTCTGCTCAACACATACACGCCGGACCCTCCCTTCTTCCCTGCTGTATCCAAGTCGGTCATCGTTAAAGTCACCGACCTCTGTCCGTATCTCAAAGATGGCTGGTGTGGCGGGATGGTCGATAAAACCAACCCGGGTGGGCAGTATATTAATTTCGATCTAGTCTGGCCGTCTTCTGCCATCCCGAACGATTTTTTCCCGTCAAATGTTTCGTTCTACGGTTATTCCGACTTTGGAGTCTGGAACGTGTCTTACCAGACTGTGGACTGCCTCGAAGATTGGGCCGGACGACAGCAGCAGTCTGCCCTTGGCAGTGTTGCTTCCCTGGGCGATTCGGGATGCTGCCCAGCAAACCCAGGGCCCAACAGCACTTGCCCGTCGTTCTCGGATGATAATGCTATACCGTGAGTAGTCTCTACATCGCCGTGGCGACAGCTCACTCACGGTGAACTAGCCCTAATACTGCTACCAGTTTGGGTCATAAATTGACTGTACCCATCGTGTTGCTAACAGTGCTGGTCGCCGTTCTTGTTGTATAGATAGAAATTGAATTGCAAAATCTAATGCAATGTAACTTCCGTTGTTTTCACTAGCCCTCTCGATTTGCGTCAAAATCATTTCATGTTCAATCACAAGGACAAGACACTATCTACACGAAACAACAACATTGAAGACCGAACTCCCCAACAACTCAAGCGCACACAAGTAAACCAGAAGATCCGCTCTCAACCCCGTGGGGGAGAAAGGACCTCCTGCTATTCCGTGGCAGCATCGAGAAGAGGATCGCCCGTACAACAGCGGATGATGTGCAGTAGATGTATCGTCAGCGTGAAGGAGGAAATGGAAGAGGACGTTATCGATAGATAAGAGAGGAGAGAAATAGATGAGGATAAGATGCCAGTGAATGTCCAGGGAAATAATGAGGGGTATGCTGTAATTTTGGGGGCCGGCGATCAAAAGACACCGACGAGAGCGGGATCCGGATTCACCAGTGAGAGCGCGTCGGCGTCTGCCCACTCGAGATTTGACGGGAAGCCGGCCGCAGCAGTAGCAGCCGGCAAGAGCTCCAGGATCCGATCCATCTCCAGCATATCCACCTCGAGTTCTGTGTTCCAGAACCCTGTAGTTTCATCGGCACCATCCCGCCCAAGACCCTCCAACCCTAGAATGCCTGCGGTCTCGCTGGCAGTCACTTGCGCCGGGAAGGGCGCTGTCGGGGCCGACGGATCCGTCGTGACTTGGAACCCGGAGGCGCCCGGAACGTCAAAAGGAAGATCCGACGATGAGAGGTTGGGGGATGGGGCGAGGATTTCCCGGAAAAGGTCCTCCATTGTTGCGTCGTCAATCGTTGGTTCCTCAAGACGCTGGATTTCGTCTGCACCGTTGAGTCCGAGGGAACGTTCGAGATCACCCGCTGCAGGGCCATTGATGACGGAGTTGGACCGCCAGGAATGGACGCCACCCGTGCTAGGTGGCGAGTGATCTCGACTTGCTCGGTCTTTGGTGACAGGCTAGGAGACGACAAGAAAGATGTCGAAGGAGACATGTCAAATTCTAGAGAGGTGTGTGATGGGGCGGGAGAAATGGGAAATGACATGATGGGTCCAAGCTCGCTGAGAGGCGATGTCGCAGTCGTAGTCGTGGCTTCCGTTGGAGAAGCGACTGCGGTCGCAGCGGATGTTCCAGAGGGTTCCGTCGTCGCAGTTGAGGTGGGCGCAAGACCTTGCGCTGCCAGTGCCTTCATCACTGTATCCCAACCTTTCTCGAGCGACTTGATACGTTGGCGGAGCTCCTCGTTCTCCCGATCCTTGGCCAGCTCCCTCTCGGCTTCCTGGGCTTTCACCAGTTCCGAAGGTGGGGGACTTGATACAAGACCAGCCCTCAGTTGGCGATTCTCTTCCTCGAGTTCGGTAACACGGCGCTCGAGGTAAGAAAACTGAGCTTTACGACGGTCACGGGAGTTCTGTGCTGCGATACGGTTGCGATGGGCACGAGCCTCTTTGCGTTCTTCAGAGTTCTGGGAAGTGCGAGGGCGCTTGCGGGAAGGACCGGCCTCTGGGACTTCGTCTTCATCATCGCGAGGGGACATGGAGGTCATGATGTCAATGGACAGGGACGATGGGTCAACGGACATGTTGTACGAGTATACGTGGAGGGAGGAAAGAAAGAATGGCTTTCCTGTCTTGTATGGGTTCTGAGGGGGCTGCGGATGGCAGGACGTCGTGGCCGTGAGGAGAGTTGCCACGTATTGCCACGTCGCTATATGATATGAGTGACACAGTCACAGTGACAGGCACCGTACACGATCACGTGACTTGGATTGTATAATACTCGCGACATTACCATCCAAGTTAGGTGGAGTCTGTGCAAACAGTTTCTACACAATTTGATCGATTTTCCAAGCTTTAATTGATCTTGGAGTCTCATTCGTGTTAGCCCGCCACGAGGGATCGGACTGGGTAGATATCATCAGACGCGTCCCTTTGAGACTTTTGTAAATTGCTAACACTGTCTCGTTGCCTAGCCTTTCTCTCTCAGCCATCGGGGCTGTTTTCTCAATTTCTGAGATCCAGCACACCGCATATGAGGGCAGCCTCCCCTCGGCATTTGGATATTGACAACATTTCGTATCACACTTGGCCAGCCAACATCCCATTGGAATTAGATCGACCTACGGGTAACAGGCATCACAATCATCTGCAAAAGCCGACAATGACTGTTTCGTAAATGTTTGTCATCCTCAGGGAGACGTCAATCAACATTAGAAAGTGCAATGATCATCGGTCATCCACGAGTCTTTGTCCACCTCCTTCCTGTGAGAACGTCCTGGTTCATCCCAGCCAAGAAGATAATGAAGTCCTATGACCCAGCAAGAGCAACGATCAGGCGCCTGGTGCCATGGAGGATGAAGATGGAAGATCGAGAGGTTGAGGGCATTGATAGCACCAGTAAATCTTTGTCACAGCCGTTGGCTTCAGCGCGATCCTACCTTCTCGTCCTCCATAAAATTTCCTCGAACTTTTCTTGGCATTTGATGCCGATGTCCCAAGTCTCTCCCTGAGTCCCTGGCTGCTGTAGTATTGATCTTTGAATCAGTTATCCTTTTTCCAGAATACCATCTCTAAAAACATCTCATGTGCGATTTTATTCAAGTCACGCGATCAGAAATAGAAGGTATGGCCAGCGACTCGATGGTCGAAACTCTAAGAGTGAACGAGTTCAAGGACTAAAATCACGAGGCAGAACAACATCGAAATGGAGCACGTGACGCGTCCTATGGACCTCTGTCGGTGTCATGAACGCAACCCAAACCTCTTACCTGGAAAATAACTTTGGACCAAGCTCTGAACTCGTAGACATCAACTTATTTTCGCAAACCAAGCCAACCACTGTCGATTTCGCCACATCTTCTCTCGAAATCGCAACAGAGTGCAGGTAGCGTGTCTTTCTTCAGGCGTTGAAACGTTCTATACCCTGGCATGTGCAGTGTCAATGACATCCGAGATTCTTTGACCGAGATAAACGATGATCCAAAATCCATGGCCTATCTCATAAGATCTCATGAAGCGGCTGTTGCTGCCCTACACACAACCAGTACCGCAAGAAGCAGGAAGCGCCATGTCGTTCCGGAAGTACCGAAAACATCGCCGCAAGTCATCTCTCTGCAGAAAGAGCTTGACGAGATAGCTCTCGAGGCCTGGAAGTGTGTCATACGCATGGTATTGCTAGGAATGGTCCTCTAAAGCAAAGGAAGATTACATCCCAGCGCCCGGATCTTCGTACGGCCGGTAAAGACATCGGACCAGAATACCCTTAATCACGTTGTGAGAAGTTTTCTCCCTCTCATCCTACGCGCTAATCCTTGCGACAGAAAACTGCAAGAGGCGATGATGCTGCTCGACTGTCGAATGACTCGTGCCAAGCTCTCATCACTGTCACTGTGTACAACAAGCTGAGTTGGAGACAGACGCATGTTACAAGATCCTCGCGACATGTCTTTCTCTCTTCTCAAAGCCTTGGCGATATCTACGATGCGTTCCCCTGCACTTCCAACGAGTTGCCGGAAGAGATATTGCAACACGATAGAATAACAGGTTATGGCGATGGTCCTCCTGCTCGACCAGGCTGTGTCATGCTCATCGGAGACCTGGCTTACGGAGATGGAGAAAGTGAGGAGGACTATGCAGAGTGGGTCTTCCCGGATTTGCTGTTCCCCCACTGCTCTAATTATGCAGCAAACTTGTCAAGCACCTCAGGCTGTCTCAGGATCCCCCTGGCATAAGCAGAGCTGCCACTTCAATGCACGACACTCCGCTGAGTTCACTTTCTCTTCGTATCGGCGAGCCCTACTGGCTGCTTCACCACGGAAATTGCGAACACTTCCTGGTCATTAATCAGATTCGGTACCATAACCTTAGCTGGACTCGGTACAGTGCTCCTGACGATTTGCCAACAGACAACAAACTCCTTCAGATGTCATATTGGCGTATCCGCTGACCCTCCAAATTGTGCCTCCCCTCCTCGATGCATGTCGTGGATGCATAAAGACCCCCGCTATATGGGCCATTGTCAACGATGAGCGTCTGGGAGAAACTCCGTGCCCGATGTGTGGTCCGTGTTGGACCAACATGGGCAAGTCAGATGACGACAAAGTGGTTGTAGTGCCCTTGCCCAAGTACGAGTTAGGCTGGTAGCATATCCTGTATCTCTTTGCAAAACCCGACATTCTGTTCGCTCTGTATCTGACGTGACCGCCTCTTGGAATGGATGAGCTGCCACACGTGAGCGCGTCCTGTCATCACCTTGAGATCTCAGCTTCCTTGGCCAATATCGCGTACGTTCGTACCTTCAAACACACTCCAATATCAGGCAACTAATACATGTCATTAGCACACTCGCGGCCATGGAAGGGTCCACGTCGGAGCTCCTTGAATCGCTTGAGCTTGCTCCAGACCTTGTATCCTGGATCAACGACACTATCTCACCCTCACTGTCCGCCGAGCCATTCGAGCTCGTCGAGTTGGATCACCATGTAAACCACCTCGTATCGACTCTCGACCTCGCCTGTGAAGACACCTCATCCGACCTCGAACGAATCATCGACGAGGTTTCTCGCGGGGTACCACGTCTCGCATATGACCTTCATTTCATGAAGGACGGTGCCATATCTCTTCAGACGTCGCTTCTTCAAGTATCTGCGCGCTCGCACGACTCTATTCCCCAATCGACACGCGCAGCGCTGGACTTGCTGCAACAGCTCGACACCATCAAGACACGGATGGAGGCTGCACGGGATGTTCTTCGGGAAGCAGAGAGTTGGAGCACGCTGGAGATGGAGGTCATCTCGCTTTTGGGGGAGAAGAGCTATGCCAAGGCGGCTGAACGACTTTCCGACGCAAGTCGGAGCATGGCTGTCTTTCACAACACACCGGAGTACGATCCGCGTAAGACTCTGATGGTCAACCTGCAGAATCAGCTGGAGGCTGCGTTGAGCTCTGCCCTCGTCGCCGCTATCAATATCCACGATTTGGCAGCATGCAAAAACTACTTCTCCATCTTCGCCAACATACAACGGGAAACAGAGTTTCGTAATTATTACAACGGGGCGCGGCGGTCGTCTGTTGTATCGACATGGCAGGAAGCGCAGATCATTGAAGTAGAGGCTGCTGGGCACGGTGATGAAGGCCAGACTCTCGCTGAGTTTATGCCGAAATTCTATGGGAGTTTCCTGGGCCTACTGAATATCGAACGCACCTCCATTCCATCCATCTTCCCTGATGCGACGCCGACATTGTCGAACTTGATCATCTCTGTTCTTTCGGCGCTCCAGCCAACATTTTCGCAACGTCTCGCCACTGCGCACTCCCACTATGGCGACACAGCTCTCAAAGCCTTGATTCCCATCCTGCGTTCCACTGCAGAATTCGCGTCAGGCGTCGAGAAGATCATGGAGAAGCTCCGTTACTCTTCTGTGTTTTCCCCCTTGGAGAGTCCAAACCCTGGGATTACGACTGAATCTACATCGGGTCACAGTCGGCGGCGTTCGATGCGTTTATCGATGTCCTGGCGAATGGTCCCGACTCGATCAACGTCGAGCGGGCTGCTCGCCTCTAAATCGGGACTGGGTATTTCGGATGACTTGGAATGGGAGCAGGAGCTCTTCCAGCCATTCCTTGACTTTCAAACTGACTTTGGTTCCCTTGAACGACGACTGCTCGATCACACACTCCGCGAGATCATCTCTGCAGACACCCGGGACAGGATATCCGACTCTGATCGTGCTCGATTGCTCAGGGAGAGAGCGGTCGATGTTTTTAGCGTCGCCGACGAGAGCATGGGGCGTTGTCTGGCATTCACATACGGCTATGGGGCAGTTGGCCTGGTTCGTGCTCTGGATGGATTCTTCCAGTCGTTCATTGATATGTGGACCGCTGAAATGCGGATCGGCCCTTCAGGATCTTCTCACGCGGAGCCCCTCGGGTCGGAAGAAGCGCTGTCCAATCTGGACTATACCTCGGAGGACTGGGCCCTGATACAGCTCTCCCTCTCTATGCTCTCGTCTGCAAAAGTAGTCTTTGATCGAATGCTTGTCTTTGAGACAAAGCTTCGCTCGAATCTAGGACAGGTCGCTGCAACATTCCGCCAGGCTCGCCATGATCCGTCGAATTTCGCGATTGCCAGTTCCAGAGGGGAAAGCCAGCTATTGGAACAGTCAACGTTGAACTCGGCTGAGCTACATTCACTTCTGGAGCTTGTCGAACAAGATCCGTCGAACGCACGAGATTTATCGGGAGCGGCAACAGGAATGCGCCACGGGCCTTCCGGAAATGCTATCCCTCTCCTGACTGGAACCCGGGAAGGTATTTCTCTATTCGCCAAGGCATGCCAGATGTCCTTCCAAAGCACCATCCTATCTCCCTTGATGCATCTCCTGGCCTCGTACGCTTCTCTGCCACTGTGGACAGCCCCAGGCGATCCAAAAGCAAAGAAAACCTTGAACGCCAATGAACTGGCCGTTCCCAACTTTTCTCTGTCCCAGAGTGACACCATCCACAAGCTATGTGAAGGCTTGCTGAACCTTCCTCGGCTGTTCGAGGACTACGCAACAGACGATGCGCTCTCTTTCTCTCTGCAGACTCTCCCACACATCGATCCGGAGATTCTCAAAACAGTTTCGGAACTCTCCGAATCTGGTGCAGACCCAGCTGCCTCTCCGGGCCACAGGCGCCGAGCATCGCTGTCGTCAGTAAAATCGGCCACGGAACCTTTAGATCCCGAGTTGGTTGCCTCGGCGTGGCTTTCATCTCTAGGTCACACTTTGCTCTCTCATTTGACCTCATCTGTTCTCCCCAAAATTTCTACGCTTTCGCCTGCAGGCGCCGCTCAGCTAGCTTCGGACCTGGGATATCTGTCAACAATAGTCCGAGCCCTCAATGTCGAATTTGAGGATCTCGAAAGATGGAAGGAATGTGCTGAAATGCAAGATGACACGGGCAAAAAGGAGAGCATTGAGAACGAGGATGATGTTATCTTACGCCATATAAGTAGGATGCGGGGATGGACCAAGTAGATACCGTGGGAAAGACTTGCCGTTACAGGGATTCCACATCACTGGCACTGACCTCTGATTCATTCCACAATGACCTCTGTCGGTAAACTTTCCCGAGAGGAGTTCCGTCGTCAGAAGGACCTCGATGCGGCGCGCAAGGCAGGAACGGCGCCTGCGGCTCTCGATGAGGAGGGAAAACCCATCAACCCTCACATTCCCCGTGAGTCGCAACTGTTCGCCTGCAGGCTGAACGCTTGCTCATTCGCTTCGCAGAGTACATTTCGCAAGCACCATGGTATCTCGATACTGGCGCTCCGTCTCTCAACCATCAGCGGAAACTCGATACCGACACGGATGTCAAAACTATCAATGACTGGTACGACCGAGGCGCCAAGGCCGGGCCTGCAGCCAAAAAATACCGCAAGGGCGCATGCGAGAATTGCGGGGCGATGACCCACAAGAAGCAAGACTGCCTCGAACGACCGCGGAAACGGGGTGCCAAGTTCACCAACAAGGACATCCAGGCGGACGAAGTCATTCAGCAAGTTCCGACCGGGTTTGACGCGAAGCGGGACCGGTGGAACGGCTACGATGTTGCAGACCACAGCAGAGTCTACGAGGAGTACGCTGCCATTGACGCCGCTCGACAAAAGCTTCGCGAGGAAGAGATTGATAACCAAACCACGACGGACCTCGCGGCAGTTAGGAAGGTGGCCAAGGCCATCAAGCCCGAAGGAGATGCGGATTTTGGCTCGAGCGACGAAGAGGATGCAGACGAGGACAAATACGCTGATACAGCAGACGCGGTCGGACAGAAACTGGATACCAAGACACGCATAACCGTCCGCAATCTTCGTATTCGTGAAGACACTGCCAAGTACCTCATCAACTTGGATCCCGAGAGTGCGTACTACGACCCCAAAACACGTTCTATGCGAGATGCGCCTGTCAAGAATGTCCCACCTGAAGAGGTGTGCTAAAACCGATGCTGCTTGTTTTTACTTGCTCATGTTTCACAGGCTCGATTCGCGGGAGACAATTTTATGCGATTTTCTGGTGAATCTGATGACATGCAGAGATTGCAGCTCTTTGCTTGGCAAGCCGCAGCGCGCGGAAACGATGTCCACCTCAACGCGAATCCCACACAAGGTGAACTGCTGCACCAGCAATTCAAGCAGAAGAAAGAGGAGCTGCGGGACACGTCCAAGATAAGCATATTAGCGAAATATGGCGGCGCCAAGTACCTGCAGACTGCTCCGAAAGAGCTGCTCCAGGGACAGACGGAGAACTACGTTGAATATTCTCGCACGGGCCAGGTCATCAAGGGCCAGGAGAAGGTCAAGGCACGATCCAAGTACGCTGAGGACGGTGCGCAGTGTTCTCTTTGCTGCTTTCCTTGTGCTCAACGCAGCTTAGTGTACATCAACAACCACACCAGCGTTTGGGGCTCGTGGTACGACCCAGGCAGCAGCTCATGGGGCTATGCGTGCTGCCATTCAGTCATCCACGTCTCCTACTGCTCCGGGCAGGCAGGTATCGATGCTGCCATCGCCTCCAGCGCAAAACATCTGCTTTCATCGCAGCCGGAGACACCCGTCTCCCACGACATCGCTGAGCGCGAACGCATCGAGCAGAATTACTCGAAGAAACGGGTCGGAGAAGGCGAGGTGCAGCTGGACGAGAATCGGTTGGCCAAGGCGCTGAGCGAGGAGAAGAAGAGGAAAAATCGCGTAGACGACGATGACGACCGAACAGGCAAAAAACGCAAGAACGTCGGTGCTCACGATGTGACGGAAGAGGAGCTTGGTACGTTGTTCTTTCTTTCTCACACCGCCTTTCTTTTTCTTACGCGTTGCGCAGAGGCTTACCGGATGACCCGTAAGATGACGGAGGACCCGATGGCCAACTATGTTGACACCGACCTCTGATGTGCTTCGCGCCTGTATTTCTAGTCATCATACACTGTATCTGTACACTGAAGTATATCAATAATTAGGACGTCGTGTGTTTTCGTCATTGGCCATATCTGACGTCGTGGTATGAGCTGCCTGGCCAGCGACTATTCGCGGAGAAGCCCATTCGCCGCTTAGAGATACAGGATAGGAAGAGTCCAGCCGTGAAGACACTTCTGGCTCGAGGAGCAGCAGCAGCTCTGGGGGTGAGAGGAACGAGACTACGGCACAATCAGCGCACCCCCGCTAGAACTACCGTACATTGACACGGATAGGTCGCCTGCGATCTGAGCTTGGTGTGTCGGTGCCACGATAGGTAGTGTCGCGATCGGGATCAACTCGGTCGTTACTATTCGTCTGTGTTTGTCGTCGGGATGAGGCTGTGAGACGCATTTAGCTCGTCGCTAGTTCAAGAAAGGGCGAAAAAAACTGGTTACCTTCCACTATCTTGTCGTCTGCTTCCCTATGAAAGCTCTTCATTAGTGCAGAGTATCGTTTGACCTGCCATGCCATCTGCAATTCAGAAAAATCGTTAGAAATAGTTGTATTGCGCCGCAAAGCACAGCGTACCTCGCGAGCCCGTTCTGCATTGCCTTGCTCAATAGCCCACTTGCGTTCCTCCTTGTACCTCCTCCGCTCACTATCCGCTAACGACGCCCGCGCCCTTAGCTCCGCAACCTCCCGATCCAACGGGGTCATGGTAGGATTCTGCTCGAACATGAACGAGTCTGCGTTGATCGAGGTGATATCCGACACCGCGCGTCGTGAGGGCTCTCGTCTTGAAGAGCCCCTCTCTCGTTCCTTCTCCCGTTCGAGGTCGCCCTCACTTCGGTGGTGCACTGACCGCGACCTTGAGCGACGTCTCTTCGTGGTAGGTTGATGCTCTTCGCGATCCCGCTCCCGCTCACGTTCTCGATCCCGTTCCCGTTCCCTTTCTCGATCCCGTTCCCGCTCCCGTTCGCGCGGGTGGGACTTCCTGGATTTGCGAGCGGGAGGATTGGAGCCATTTTCGCCTTCGACCCATCGCGCCAAAACGTCCGCAAAACAGAACCCCAGACCCATCCCCAGCAGCGTGACCACAAATCGCATGGCGGGCGAGGAATGCCCGAGTGCGAAGTCAGCGAATATTTTTACAGCGACAAGGGCGCCGGCCGGGATGAGCAGGTCCTTGTTCGCAGTGGAGACATAGTGCAGGCCGCTCCCCTGCCATAGCCCCAATACAATGAACTCCCGAGCAGATGCCTCCCCGGATCGTGTGAACTGGTCCAGCAGTATGCGGCCTCCAAGGCCAATAAGGAGGGCAAGGGAGGTGATGGACATGGTCAAGAAGTGGGTCGCTTGCCGAGCATTGTTCCTCGAGAACAATGATGAATGACGGCCCCCAACACGTGTTCGGCTGGCTGTTCAACAACATCTTTCAATTCTTCTATACACAGTGCAGTCGTTAATACACGATTGAAATAAGTATCGTTGTCTGATGTAGCGGGAGAAGGTGCAGGAGGATTATAAAGTCATCAGCGATGTGATTTTCCGTTGGCCATACTCGACGACCCATTGGATTTCGACCCCACTGTCACTCGCTGCTTTTTCGAGCTGCCTTCTGAGCCTGCCCGAGGCACGTCAGAGTTAAGTTTGACCACCATTTTAGCGTGGATCTCCTCCAGCTTCGAGGCCTTGACCTTCTTCGGCCAGAAAAGAGTCACGAATCTACCCATAGCTCAGAACATTGCCTGAACACACAGACCAGGAGCACTCACGTCCACAGATGTCTTCGCCATCGTTCGCGGTCTTCGCCAGCAGCCTCCTTGGTGGCGAGAACAGCTTCGATACGGCGACCGATGGCAGCGAGGGAGTCTTTCAGAATGGCGACTTTGTCGTCACGAGGCATTTCTTCACCAGACAGCTTCAGTTGTTTCTGCGATCTCATCTGTCAACATCACTGCATCGACATCAACACCCGAGTGGACTGACCAGCTGTTTCTTGACAGGTCTCAGCTCTTCCTTCGTCGAAGCCTCGTCCATGGACGGACTGGGAATAGTGAGTGAACAAAGAAAGCGGCGCGGCAGAGGGGGCACGACATACCATTCTTCAGAGGATTCCGAGTCAGTGAAGGTGGGCGTTGGCCTTCGTTTCCGCTTTCGGGATGCGTTGTCGTCGACCGAGGCGATGGCTTCGCTGTCTGCTCGTCGCTTCAAGGTTGAAGCGGAGGACGAGGATGCCATCGGAGGAGGAGACACCGACACCTTAAATCCTTTGTGTCTGAGCGAACTCTCATACGACCGCAGCTTCTCGTCGTGCTCTCGCAACAGTCCCAGCAAGAAATCGCCCCGGCGAACGAGATGGATCGCATTCGGGATAGGCTTGTTAGCCGAGTCTTCGCCCTTCTTCCCTTCCTCGAGGAAAAACTTGCCATCCAAGCCAAGTTTATTATCCTTCGCGATCGCTTCCCAGTTCCCAAACCCATGTAGGAATGCACCAACGAGCAACATCGAGTCGTCCTGGGGGCCCCAGCGCCCTGACCAATTCAATGTCGGGCGGATATTATCGATTGGGAGCATCCATTTGTACGGGTCATCGATTTCGTTCAGCACGTTGAATAGAATCCGCAGATCCCGATGCCTTGATACCACCGTTTCTGCGTTGATATTTGCGACGTTTCGACAAGTAACAAGGACGGCCTTGCTCTTTTGCGCATTGGTCAAGGGCTCGCCAGTTGCAGCCCGGGTCCGCTTCTGATCCTCAGATTCTTTGAGCGCCTTGTTACAGACTTCGATGATGTCGTCCGCAACATCAATGATCATCCCTTTGTTCTTGTCTTGGAGTTTGGCCTCTCCAACCTGGTGAATAGTCAGCTATCTAGGTCAAGTGAAAAAGGTGGCATGCTTACGATCACATCGTAACGTTGACGAATGTCTCCCCAACGTTGCAGACTCCGAATCAAAACTCGAACATCTCGTTCCTTGAGCTCCATCGCCTTCTGGCTGGCACTCTTGCGCATGGGTCCCGGTACCTTAGGCTTCTTTGGTGCAGCAGGCGTCGGTTGGTCGACGTCCATGCCCTCGTACGACACCAGAGCATGCGTCCGTTTCCGAGGCTCGCCTGCAAGCAGCTCCTCCGTCTTCCGGTCCTCGTCCAACTCCAGTTGCTGACGATGCTCCAGGGGGATAATGTCCTCCCAGCTCATATCATTCTTGATGTCGGTGACCCCGGCGAACTGGGCCAAGAAGCCTTCACCGCCAAGCGACGTTCCTGCCTCCCCATTCATCTCAAGGGTCTCGTGATCTTCAGCTCGGTTCAGGATTTCGTCCAAATCCATCTCATCGAGTTTGCGGCTCTGCTGGGTATCGTCCTTGTCGAACCTGAGCTGCATTGAGTGGAGATCTGACACGTGATCACAAGCACTCACATCTTCTGCGCGCCGTACTTGAGTACTGCCGTAAGCTCGTCTTTGCTGAGGTTGTTGTCTGGCTTGTGCGCTTCCTTGCCCGTCGTTTTGGTCCCAAGATGGGCTTGGGAAGTGTCCATCTGGTTGATGACTTGGATGGGAGTTAGCTTCAAAGAATCTCCATGCATGTAGACTGGACGCACTGGCATACTCTAGGACCATCTTCTTCTTCGCACGTTCGAGCACATCTTCCTCCATCGTGTCCTTGCTGACAAACCGGTACACACTGACGTGTGACTTTTGTCCGATACGATGTGCACGAGCCATGGCCTGCAGATCGTTCTGAGGATTCCAGTCGCTCTGAAATCATTGATTAGTTGTGTTCCTGTGCAGTGCAGTGTCGCTTACGTCAAAGATGATGACGGTGTTGGCTGTTTCCAGGTTGATACCCAGGCCTCCGGCTCGTGTAGACAACAAGAACGCGAAATCTGTCGACCCAGGAGCGTTGAAATGGGCAATCGATTTTTTCCGCGCATCCGAGGACACCATCCCGTCGAGTCGTTGGTGGATGAATCCCCGATACGACATGTAGTCGCTGAGGATATCGAGCATGCGGACCATTTGGCTGAAGATGAGCACTCTGTGACCATCGGCCTTGAGACGGGCAAGCAGTTTATCCAGGAGAACCATCTTTCCGCTGTTCATGACGATGCCCTTGAGCATCTCGTCACGTGTGTCAGTGCGGACCTCGGCGCCGTCGAAAAGATAGGGGTGGTTGGCTGCTTTCTTGAGCTCCATTGCTGAACGAGCACGTCAGTCAGCGCCTTTCATAATAGTGTCGAATTCAAATACCGATGTTGAGCAAACTGATGTTGGTGTTCCCGTTGGCGCTCTTCATCAAGCCTTGGAAGTTCTGCCAAAGCATTAGCGACAACATACATCGCACTCTGGCGCACGAACCTTGGTCAAAATGTTTTTGTAGAAATGCGTCTGCAGTGCACTCATTTCGACGCGCAAAATGCGTTCGCTTTTCGTGGGCAGCGATGTCAGCACATCTTTCTTCAACCGTCGAAGCATCAGTGACTCGAGTTGCTCGTGGAGGTCCTTGATCTTGGATTCATGATCCACATCGTTCAAATCAAACTCGTTTGACAGTGCGACTAATGGACGTCAGGAAATGAGGGGCAGACAAGATCAAAGACGAACATCGTTCAGGCATTAGGAAGTGCATGAGCGAGAGCAGTTCTAGCATCCCCGTCAATTTCGTCGTTTCAGAATGCCCTGAGAAGACTTGCCTTTAACGTTGTTTTGCAGAGGTGTTCCGGTGATCAACAACTTCGAGGCTGCTGAGAAAGATCGGAGAGCTTCGTAGAGCTGGCTTTCTGAGTTCTTGAGTCGGTGGGCCTGCGAACGGTGTCATTCACCATTAGGCATGTTGATGAAGGGGACAGCTATACCTCATCAACCGCCAAAGCTTGCCATTTGATCTCCCCCAGTTCCTTCGAGTCCCGCAAAGTGAGCTCGTAAGTTGTGAGGAGCACATTCATCTTGAGCTTCTTGTTGGACGGCCCGAACTCGAACCGGCGAATGACTTCTCGCGCATGGGCAGTGCCAATATACGTGATCACATTGATGTCCGGAGCCCAGACTGCAAATTGGCTTTGCCATGCAGTGATGGTCGACAAAGGAACGATAACCAGAAATGGCCCATACTGATCCAATTGATGGAACAGATAAGAGATGAAGGACACCGTTTGCACGGTCTACTATGGGTGTCAGTGACTGAAAGGACCGATGCGATTGAAACGAACCTTTCCGAGACCCATCTCATCCGCAAGAATGCCGTTGTCCCCTTTGCTCCACAGATAGGCCAGCCAATTCAGCCCCGTCAACTGGAAGTCTTTGAGTGCCCCACCAGTCGCCTCAATGTAGTCCGGGTCTTTCGTGATCTTCTCGAATTTCGGCCGATTGTTTCTGCCATACGAGATGCTCTTGTACGGGAACTTGCCTTCAGCCTCTCGGCTGCGATAGGCCTCGATCGCGTCTCTGGCAATGGGCTTCACATCTTTCTGGTTCTCCCAAGTGCAATGCTCATAATTGAGCCCCGTCCACTTGCAAAAATACTCCTCGTCGCCTTCGAGATTCTCGCGGTGAGATACAACACGTTCGACCGTCTTGTATGTCTCGAGCTCTTGTCGTTCACGTTCCTTTTCGATCTGAAGCGCCTCGATATCTTCTGCCGTCAAGCCTGGGGCGGTGGCGCGTGCCTGCCATATCTTGTATGCCTTGATATAGTTGTCGACGCGTTTCAGGCCTTTAAATCGCTTCAGAAAGTCATAGGTCTCATCCGTGTTGTGAAGGTGCGAAAAGCCCTTCCACTTGATATGGAAACGCTAATACACGACGGTCAGCGACGAACGGCGGCGGAAAATGCAATAACGGACAATGTTTTCAAACCATAAATCTTCGGGATCCTGCTCTTTGCCCTCATCACGACTGTGAGCAAGAACGAGCTCGATCTCGTCATCCTCAAGAGCTTGGATCTGAGGTCCGGTGTATACGTCCTCTATTATCTCTTCCTCGAAGGGTTGAACGTCGTCGACGTAGTTGGGGACTTTCCCCCCTCGACTTGATATACGGATTTCGTCAGCTGCACTTGTCCTTGCTTTCTTCTTCTTCTTTGACTTCGACCCATAGTCTGAATCAGAGTCTGAATCGTTCGCAGGACGCGCGACGGCTGGGCATGGGTTGAGACTGGAACGTTAGATGGGGGATGATAACGCACGTCTGGGCCGAGGGACGGCGGAGGGGATGTGCTTCTTCTTGTGAACGCGTTTCTTGGGGTAGGAATGGTCTGCGTATGTGCCATCTTCCTCGTCGTCGTCAGCTTCATCTTCTCCTTGATCGTCGTAGCCCTGAGGGGATGAGGAAAAGGAGACCCGCAACGACGACGACGTACCGAGTCTTCGCCCTGGACGATGTAAGCAACGTAGATGAGATGAAAAGAGACGACAGACACACCGAGTCGAGGTTAGAGACGTAAGACGAGGGCCCGGCGACTGGGACGGGGTTGAGGTCATGATCAGCCTCGACGGACTCGCCGTCAGCGTCTTTGTTGTCATTCTCAGAGTCGATGTCCATCTCGTCGCTGTCGTAGTTGGCGGCCAGAGGGTAGGGGGAGTTGGCGGCGGATGACATGGCGAGCGGAGGAACGAAGGGAAGGGGCGCCTCTGACGTTGTGAGAACTTGCTTGTCGCAGTTGTCGCCGGCCGGTACCCTCGCCACCCGACATTTTGATCACAAATCTGGGTAATCTCGAGGGCCCGAAATCGTAATATTTCACAGCCTTTGCCGTGTGGACTACTGAAAACTACATTTCTTCGCCGTCTGGACTGCGTATTTTAGCTGCATCTCCCGACGTGCAGAAGGTAGTGCATGCGTCACCGTCACAAATCTAACCTTCCTTGCTGGACCATCAATCCTTTGACACGGATTCGTCGCCGTTGCCATCGCTCACCTGGCACCTGTTCGCTACATCTTTTCTTCCCTCATCGCCGGCACGCTGGCCCTCGCCAAGTTCATCATCTACCACTATCTTTGTTCGCCACACCCCCTCCTCGGGCCTACGTATGCCCCCGTGCCTCGGCGAGGCTAGCGGTCACCGGCCGACGCCATCAAAAGTGCCGTGATGACCCACACTCCTCGCCATTCGCTGGCGGTCATCATGCCAGAAGGCTGTGACGTTGCTAGTCTCGGCGCCGGTGTCACCTTCTCTGACCACGAGCCATCTCGCTACACCAAGGTTACGCCCATCTTACGCCGACCCGTTCGCCACTCTGCCGTGCACAGCTCTTCCCAGCCCATTACCGACTGTCCCGTTCGTCGAGTTCACCCTGTTCGCCGTCGCTAATAGGGGTCTGGCCGCGTTCAGCCGTTGCAGTGTCTTCATCGGGAACTTGGTTCTAAAACCTTGTGTAAGCGCCATTCTCGGTGGAACATTCTAGGCTCACCGACACGTTGTACACACGGGAATCGGCTGGCAGAAGACTGGACCCGCATTAATAGCCTCCCTTGACGCTATCGTTGCAACGTGCTCACTAGATAAACAGACCGAGCACACGAATCCGATGTCCACTATTCGCTTGTGACAGAAACAGGCAGCCCGAAAGTCGACTTGCTCTTGTGTGGGAACGGATAGTGTCTTGCGCACAGCGGGAGGCGGGAGAAAAGACATCTGCACATAATGCTCAGTTTTGCACTGCAACAAAAGCATGCATCTCCCTTACAATAAGATACTGCAAAAGCGCTTCTCGTCGTTCCAAGAAGATATACGATCCGCCAGTCAAGTGCGCCGCTTGCTGGAGGAATACTGAGCTTGCACCATACAGCTGGCACACATCAATGGCCGCTTTCTGCGGATCGTGAGAACGAAATCAACCCGACACCGTTAGAACGGACAAGCTTTTGGGCCGAAAATATAGCGTTCATGATGGGTATGTATGATGTCGAGTGGTCCGGCGAGACGGAGATGATGAGAATCCTGGGGTCTGGGAGGACCCCTGGATGGAAGCCGTTAGCTTGGGTCTTGGAATTGGGGTCTGGAGGCAGTGTGATCCTATTAACATCTGCGATTCTCGTCAGCAGAGCCAGGAGTGCGGTAGTCGGCCGTACAGCAAAGCGCTTTGATGATGGCCCCAACCAGAGATGGTGCTAGAGGTATTGAGCAGGCGCAAAACAATTACTGCAGAGCGCGCACCGTGCTCATCATGCTCTGGTATCAGACTGAGCTCGCTCGATATTCCTTGTACTACTGCGGAGTCCATCGCATGGAACGGAGGATATGCGTTCGTGTTCGAATCCGATGATACGGCCACAGAGTCCGACTCATAGAGTAACACGCTGCCCATGGGTCAGAAACCGCGTGAAGTCGGAGAAGCAGCGAACCTCTTGCCAGGAAACGCCCCGAAAACAGCCAAAGTGTTCTCGTGCATGCAGGAGATGTGTGCGTTCAAGAAAGCGAGCAACTGAGACAGGAAGGTGGATAGACTGAGTGGATCAGATTCATCTTGGGAAGAAAGTTCCCAGTAGTTGGGGGTCAAGTCAACGACCACAGAGAGGTGAGACCCTTTTCAGATACATCAGAACGTCTGCTGCTGCGGTTCGTGTCAAGTCGGATTGAACCTTTATATTCGTCCATGAGGATGGCGGTCACGGTCAGAAACGCGACCACGCCATCAACAAACAACAACATCCATTGTGCCACTCGGAATTGTCGCCAGGCTCTGCATCTTACGGAAACCGTCATCCGCACTTGCTCAATATCTCTATGAAATTCATAGTCGTCCATGGCGGGGCAGGATCTCACGGGACCACCTCAGAGCGGGACGTCAAGTCCGCATTGCGCTCGTGTGTACACCGCCTCGCTAGCAAGTGCTCTGCGCCGCAATACTTTTAGTGCCTGCCAACAAGCCTTACTAAATACTGTGACCTCGTCTACTTCTACGGTTGAGCACGCGATTATGTACCTAGAAGACCATCCGCTCTTCAATGCAGGCTGGTTGCGCAATGTTTCAAGAGACGTGCCGTCTGACATCGCTCCAGGATACGGCTCTAATCTCACGATAGAAGGGACGGTGGAATGCGATGCAGCCATCATGGACGAAAATGGGTTCGGCAGTGTCTCTTCCGTCAGTGGTAAAGCCAGAGTAACCCTCACGTCGTGCACTGAACATGGGTCCAGAAGTCAAAAATCCCATATCGTTGGCGCGACAGATCCTCGATCATTCGCGAGTTCCCGACCCCTTGTACCGCATACCGCCTTTGACACTTGTCTCTCATGGAGCCCATGCTTTCGCTCGCACTGCAAACTTGAACCTCGTCGAGCCCCAGCACCTCATTACTGACAAAGCTCGGAAACAGTGGGCGCGATGGAAGACGCGATTGAACAATCCCTTAGATGTTCCCAGGACGGAGGATGAAGACAGTGTTTTTCAAGACACGGTCGGTGCCGTAGTATGGGATACGGAGGCCAACGAGTTCGCCGCAGGAGTGTCCAGTGGTGGCATTCTCTTGAAACACGCAGGCCGTGTCGGTGAGGTCGAAAGCTCCGCTTACTTTTCGGGCCTGCATCTTCACTGAATCTGAGCCCAGGCTGCTGTCTACGGGGCTGGGTGCTGGGCTCAGAACTGTAGCGTTTCTGGAGAGAGGTCAGGCATGGCTTGCAGTGTGTCAGGTGCGGATCGCCCCTCCCAGCTTTCTCCTGCATTTCACCGTGGTCCTGTCGACAGGATCCGGCGAGTATATAATTAGAGCTAATCTCGCTCGCTCGATTTGCCATGCTGTCGACGCGGATATTCAGAAGGACGGTGATATCCACGAAACTCTTCGGAAGGTTCTCGTCGAAGAATTCTGGTGTATGTTTGACCCCCCCCTGACGTGGCCGACCGATGCTAATCGTATAGTAGTACCGAGCAGGAGCCCCTCCAACCCTGATCCCAGCGCCGGCATTGTGCTCCTTGTCGCAGAAGCTGATGATGACGGACTGTGCACCGGTGAGCGCCTGCTTCTTTGGCGATTATTGAATGTGCTCATAGACACGAGCACGAGGCTGGTGTGCATTCACGACTGCGAGTATGGCTGTAGGCTATTCTTCGTCAGACAAGTCCGCGAAGGTCGGCTTCGTTCTTCAGTTTCTTCCGCTGCAATTCACAGCAGCTTGCCGCAGGCTGTCATCTTCCGACGCCCAATGACCCATGCCTCCAAAGCCGGTGGTCCACATGTTTTCATTACGGGTTTTGCGATGTGATACGTTTACACTGGTTCAGACGATGTGCGATAGATCGAACACAAGCTCTCCGGGCTGTCGTGTGGCGACGCCCTTTTCGGTGACAATAGCAGTGATAAGCTCAGCTGGGGTGACGTCAAAACTGGGGTTGTATATTCCCTTGAGTCCCGGCGGAGTGATCATCACGACGGCTTGCTGAGAGTCCCCAGTATCGGGGTACACAGCGCCACGGATCAAACAGGCCTCGATGGCAGGTCGGTGTTCGATCGGAATGCTGCAAGACCTTGAGGATATGTCAAAAGCGATAGCGGAAAAATCACGAACCCCGAGCCGTCTGCAACATTCAGGTCAACAGAAGTGATAGGCGCAACCACGATGAATGGAATCTTGTGTCTGGCTGCAATCACAGCAGCATTATAAGTTCCAATCTATTTCACGGATCAGGGAGGCTCACGCTCGAAGGGAGAGACGCCCACGATACCTTGTTAGCTGTGTCTCCGTTTTTGGCAATTCTGTCGGCACCGACAACTGCGATCAGATCAGAGCGCGGTCAAAGCGCCGAGAGCTCCAGCTGACCTACGGCAGAGATGTCGTGATGCTGGAAAAGGGATCCTACCATCGTGTCGCAGATCATCGTGGACGGGATATCGAGAGTCAGCAGCTCCAGCGCGGTCAGTCTGACAGTAGACAGTGAGCCTTGTGCTGCCATGTGCCAGCATCCACGCATCGCACCTGGAGCCTTGATGGTACGGAGCCGTCTGCGTGAAGAACGCCGTTCCGAGTTTTCCAGTCTCGTGAAGATAAGTGATAAGACCCAGTGCTGTTCCGTAGCCCTACGTCACTCAGTCAGAAGCGTGCGTGTGTGCGTAGTCGACTTACGGAAGTTGCCAGTGAGCCGGTATTGCATACGGTGAGCACGTTGAGACCCTCTCCGGACGCCCCATTCTTCTGCCGGCGTTCGGCAAGCCAGTCACCGCCCAATTGTGCCATCTGCTTGTTTCTTCCAACATCTTCGTCCGCTACTCTGTGCGCTGTGGCGATCAGAGCTTCGCAGATAGTTTTCGCATCTTTGCCGGCTTTGATACGCGACTCGAGGACAGCTGTAAGTTCTCGGATCGCCGTTCCGAGATTCACAGCCGTTGGTCGTGCGGTGTACAGATATGCCAGAATGGGCTCAACATGCGCTTTCAATGCTTCTGGCGACATCAGGTAATCGGCAGATGTTTGCAAGCCGCTGGAGAGATCTGCAGCAAAGGCCAACGCGGCTAGCGAAGCGATTGCAGGAGCACCACGTATGCGCATAGTCTTGATAGCGCTGTGTGCATCTTCGATGGTTTTGACTTCGATGTATTGCGTGGTATGTGGCAAGAGCAGTTGGTCGACGATCTCAATCTTGTCACCATCGGTACGAATCGATGTCAGCGCTTTCATCGGGGCTGCGCGGTTGTCAGGGTCCTAAGCAGAGCGCTTTCGGCGATTTTACCTGACATGGTGGTTGGTTGAAGCCAAAAACTTAGGCCAAATCGGGAATATTACCATGACGCACGTTGATGACCAATGTTCAATTGACACACTTGGCAGCAAGCTGTCAACACATGCCTTGAATTCGCCCAAAATACCCCGCACTAAAATAAAATCACATGCAACATAAGAGCAAGTGAGTATGACCTCTCTCGACTAGGAGCCTTCCTTTCCCTCTCGCCACAACGATCGCTACATGATAGACCATCTCGTGGGACGTCCTAGTCCCAACTGGAAAAGAACCCAGGTACGCACCCCAGCATGTTTTGTCGCCTGCGTCGACTGAAGCAGCTTGCGAATATCCAAGGTTTTCCTTGTCATCTTGTTCTGGGTCTGGAGATTAGTTCGAGGGAACCCGAAAGGCCCTTCATTCCTCTGGCTCGAGCTCATCAATCGTCGGCTGCAGAAGTACACACCGTGGCAAGTGGTCTTGAGCACTTTGACGGCGGTCTACGTTGTGCGTAACTTCGACAAGATCCTAGGACTTCAGTGTACGTTGCACATTCCGATCGAATTCTAGCATACTGAGATAAGCAGCTCCTGAACCTCACGCCCGTTTGGTACGCACAGCCGTCTCGACGAACGCAGCCATCACTCAATCCACATAGTATTCACCTTCATATTATCGTGCCACATGGATCAACACGGGTCTTGACGCCGGCTTCGCGACTGCTACAGCTATCCGGACTAAATGGATTCGCGATATATGCTCGATCGTGTTCTCTCTCTACTACATCCTGTATCCCAACGAAGCGGACGAGAAGGTGCGCAGCTCGCTGCTTTTCGCCAGGCTCCACTCAAGGACCATCGCAAACTAGTTGCGGCGGTTTAGATCCGTTCCAACAGTGGAAGTGCTGCGCCGATGCTGGGAGAAGACCTCCAATCCTTATGTGCGTCTGGCGTGTTCTCTTATCTAATATCTACATCGCTTCTGATCTACGGCTCAGATCCGTGCTGTGACCCATCTGCCCCATGTCGCTGTGCGTCGGAAAATCATCATACCACGGCCTTCGTCTTCAACGTACGACCGACCCATCGTCGCTTACCTCTTCTTCTCCGGTTCCGAAAAACACCTGAGGAATGCTGCCGATCTTATCTTGGACTTTCCTGGAGGTGGCTTTGTTGCAATGTCGCCGGAACACCACGAAGTTTGTGGGCAAGGAATCGCTCAAATTGGTTTTTGACGGAACTACAGGAAAGATTAAGAATGTGGACGCGGTCCACCGGAAAGCCCGTGCTCTCCATAGACTATGGTAAAGCACCCGAATGTACGTCCAAAACATCTTTTACCCATTCACGTATCTCATTGCGCGCCCTTCCAGTTCCATATCCGTTCGCCATTGACGAAGCATTCGATACGTACAAGGTCCTTGCGGAGTCTGGTGCGCTGATGTGCGATGTTCTGGGAGAGTCTGCTGACGTTGCGCAAGGCGGGGCCCTGATCGGGATGTCGACAAGAAAGCTGAACTTTGTGGTTACCGGTGACTCTGCAGGGGCCGCCCTCGCTGCGAACGTGGTGTTCAAGATAATCGAGCATAACGAAACTCACGAAAACCGACTGTCGCCTCTGCCACTACCGATCGCGCTCGTTTTCAACTATCCGGCGCTAGACTTCAACTTTACATCATGGATGAGCCAAGAAAACTGCGAGTGTTGAGAGCCGAAGATGCGACGGGAAATCTAAGCGGGCTGGAGGATATGATGGCCCAGAAAGACCACCTCAAGCATGTGGTAAGCAAGCGACTCAGTCGTCCCTTTCTGCCGCTGATTTCCGGCTCAGAGTCCGTTGAGTATGGTGGGGGAGAAACGGCGGCGGCGCAGGCCAGCTAGGAAAGAACAGAGCTGGAAGGATGCCATTCGGGCCGCGGCTTCTGGGAGTGGCACCGAGAAAGAGTCCGACAGTCCTGTGCCCCGGAAGAAACATTCGGGATCGCTCCGGACTCCCTCGCAGCCGAGAAGCACCTTTCTCGAACCTCGCAAAGAGGACGCAGATGCTGAATCTGACGAAGACTATGACCATTATCGAGAAGAGGACCGGCCCATCGGTGCTCGTGTGTTCAGGATCCCTCGCACCAACTCGGCGGTCGTCCAGCAACAGCAAGATCTGTCGGTGGCGGTCGAGGCTGCAAATACCAAAGCCACAGAAAACTTCGGCAAAGGCAAGAAGAAGGAGCCCATTGGGACGCGCTTGACGATGACATCGAGGACCGGGTATTTCCAGGACCGAATCATCACCCCAAGCATGGTGCGCCAGACTCGTTCGCGTTTGCTCAGCTTCCGATCATCCCAGCACAGATGCGAGCCATGGCAATCCTCTACATTGGTCCGTATCACAATCCGGACTTCGCAACAGACTACCATCTGTCGCCCATTCTTGCTCCGGATCGATATCTGTACCAGTTCCCGAATCTGCTGATGCACTGCGGAGAAAAGGATCCGTTCCTGGATGACACAGTAATCTTTGCGGGTCGGGTCAGAGAGGCTAAGAGAGCTCGAAGAGCGGAGTTGGAGCTCAAGATCGCCGGGAAGAGCGCCCGCTTCGGTGAAAGCCTGCGGATGACAAATGCACCCGTTGACATCGCTGCGCTCCAGCAAGAGCGTGACAAACTAGCTGCGCAAACAGAAGAGGATTGGGTGCAACTGGTGATCTGGTCCGAGTGGTCGCATGGTTACCTGCAGATGGCCGCCCTCATGGCTGAAGCTAAAGCGGTAAGCATCTCGGCGCTGAGCTTGCCTGTGAATGCTAAACAGGGACAGGTCATCGAAGAATTGGCCGAGTGGATCGATGGGGCTTTCAACAACCACTGCGAGCTCCCTTACGTCTCAAGGCGACGAGACAGCCCATCAAAGAACGTTCCTCCCACCTCCGAGCCCGAGACCGACGACAGCGGGATCACTTTTGCGGTCCACAACAGATCTCTTTCCGGGGGCAATTCGAGTGAGCGAGTTGCTCCCGAGCGCCTCATGAGTGGTCAGGTGATCACAGAGAGCGAAATGATGCGCAGGCGAAGATTACTCGATTCCCATGTCTTCGAGTGAACCTAGATGTATGCTTCCAGAACTGTAAAATAATCAATTTGCCAATAGACCTGTACCATGCAGTTGCGCATCATTGTGGCGCGGTAAGAGCTGTCAACGACACCGCAAACACCGCCATAGACGCCATCCAAGAGCTTCAACACCGCCTTCGGCTTCGATCACCAGGCTGCAACATCCGCCTTATTTTGGTCCCGATTGATTCCTGATTAACGCTGAAACCGTGCCATAAACAATCATTTCGACCACAAAGTGCCTGAAACCGCTTACCAAGCATTGATTTGAGCCTGATTCGCTGGACAGCCATTGAAGATCGCACCTACCCCATCTTCAACATGTCTGCCCCTCCGTTTCTTATGTACCCGCCGCACCCCGACGCTCCAGCTATCCCAATCCATGGTCCTTCCACACACCCTGGTGGACCGCCCGAGGCCTATGGCAATCCACCGCCCCCCCCACCTCCTGAAGGCCTGATGCCGCCTCCAAAGGAGGAGACCGCATACTATCATCCAACCGCTGCCGAGCTTTACAGTCGCGCCCAGCATGGTCCTCCACTTGCACCTGGCCCCGATGGCATGCCTCCTGGTGGCCCGGGTGTGAATCACTACCCATCTTCGAACGGCGTCCCTCGTCTCCCTCCCATATTACAAGTCGAGAAACAGCAGGTCACTACCTCCGCGACCCAGCTTGCGAGTGCAAGCCGGCGGCGGAACGAAGCTCACTTTGTTTGTCCTGTCCCTGGCTGCGGAAGCACCTTCACTCGACGCTTCAATCTACGAGGTCGCCTTGTTATGGCTCTACATCAAGCTGTAGACTCACTTTCCCGCAGGACATCTACGCTCTCATACCGAAGAAAGACCGTATATATGTGACTGGCCAAATTGTAAAAAGGGCTTCGCTCGGCAGCACGATTGCAAGTACGCGACTGGTCCTCCTTCTATGTGTTGTTGCCAACTTCTTGCTTCTAGGCGTCATCAGGCACTGCATACCACCAAGTCTCAAAACAATATCTGTTTTGGATGCAAGAAGACCTTCAGCCGCTTGGATGCCCTGAATGTTTGTGTTTTGTCATTTAGTTTCCGGGCTGTACTTACCGTTGCCGACAGAGACACCGTCAGTCAATTTAAGCGTCGGCCGATCTGTTGACTAACTTGGATTCTAGTTCGTTCGGACGGTGGATCAGAATGCCGGGCCCTCCGAGACCATCATATGGCGCAGTTGAATGAGGCTGCCGCAGCGGCTGCTGCAGCTGTGGCGGCTCAAGATGGGCAGATTCAGCAACTCCCCCCGCCACCTGTGTTGCAGGACGAGCCTCAACACACCGAGCCGGCTCAACCATAGTCTGCTCCTACCATCGTCAATTGTACAGCCTCATAATTTCTTGTCTATGTTTCTGTGTATCGTAAACACATGATTCAGAATGTACATATCACCGGTACTACTGTATTCCGTCAATTAACCTTTCCGGACGATTTCCGGTCAATCATCATCGTCCTTCGTACTCTCGCCATGTCTCTCCCCATTCTCTTGAATGGTGCCGACTGCGGTCCCTCGAACCCTCTCCAGAGTCTTTCCAAACGGTTTGACCAAGACCGAGGCTTGCAACAGGTGTGGGACAACATGGGGTACCGGCTTCCTTGCTCCTGCTAAACGCTGTGGGGCATTCACAGGACTACTTCGGTTCATCTCAAACCGGCTCCTCCAGAGATGTAGGATACACTCGCAGTGTTGTGTGAACCTCTAGCTCTGACCTTGCCTCTAGGCGTCCTTCCGATCCCAGCAACCCGGAACTTCCGGTAGTTCACACGACGCCGCCCAATTCTTCTCCTCGCCTGCACCCCAGCTCGTCAAGCCTTCGTTTGACTTTGGAGCCTTCCACGGGTCCCTTCCTCAAATTGCGCCGGCCCCCGCTCTGCAGCAAGCCCAACGTCCGAGTGCCGGAGGATGGGCTGCCGACTTCATGCAGAACCCTGTACCGAGTGCTCGTAGTCCCATTGTAATGGGCACGGCTGGAGCGGAAGCACAAGCACAGGCACAGGCGCAGGCACAGGCACAGGCGGTACGGGAGGTCAGCATGCATTCTGTGTCCTATGGTATGAAAACTATCATGCTGCTTCATCCGGTCTAACTATCCCCAGATGCACATCGCTGGGGGCCTTCGATGCTCCCAATGACTCAGCCAGCGCCGATGATGTTCGCCCAGTCTTCTCAACCTTCAACACAGCACGATCGTGCGTGAGAGAAACCATAAATGCGCCATTATGCTGACCTTGCGGCTCAGAAGTCTCGTGGGATCGGGAGTTTACCTCTCAGGAATCTTTCCTCGCTTCTCAAGCTCTCACTGAAGTATCGGAGGCTCAGGCTGCTCGTCGTGTGGCTCAAGACGAAGACGAGCTGTCTCGCACTGCGGGTTTACTGCTAGACACCGTGGGGGATGTCAGCAACACTAAATTCCAAAACAGTCAGTTCCTCGACCTGATGCGGCGTTTGAGAAATCGCGAGGTCGTCGTCGAGGGCAATGACATGGTCGAGAATACGGGCCAGGTCTTGGCGGATAGACTTGACGTCAAAGGCAAAGGCAAAGCCGTCAATATCACCACCACTACCACCGCATCGCCGAGCCTTGTACATGGAGGAATGCTCGGAGGAGCGCATGCTGGTAGTGAGCTCCACCAAGGGACGGCCGGCCCCGCCGACATGGTACAAGAGAATGCCGAAGATGCATACTGGAGACAAGAGAATGCGGAATACCAGCAATATTGGAATACGCAAGCTCTCCAACCTGAGGCCTCCACGTCTCATGCCGAGTGGGACAAGCTGCAAGCAGACTGGGACAATTTCGAGGCGACCAGCTCTGGAATTAAAGCCGTTGATCAATATCTGTTCCAGCCCAACAATCCGTTCCTGACTAGCTCTTCCCGACTTACCAGGCACCATTTGTCTCATGTGACCCGCGAAAGTTATCTGGAGGTCAGTGCTTGAAATGGGTTGATCGCGAACTCACTCTGGTGTAGAGTGTTCTGGAACTGGAGGCCGAGGTCCAGCGCAACATGAGAGATGCCTCGGCTTGGTTCAATCTCGGGGTCAAGCAACAAGCGAACGAGCGTGAGAAACAGGCGCTACAAGCACTGAGCCGTGCTGTTGAGCTGGACCCGAACCATCTACCGGCGTGGCTCGCGCTGTCGATCTCGCACACCAACAATGGCGATCGCATGGCTACATATGAATCGATTCGCCACTGGGTTGAAGCCAACGAACGTTATAAATCCACCGTCACAGCTTTCCGGGCGAGCAATCCTGCTGTCGCCGACGCCCCCTTGCCGGAACTGTTTTCGAGTCTGATCCAATGCTTGATCGCCATGGCCCGCAGCGACCAGTCGGGACAGATCGATGCCGATATCCAGATCGCTCTGGCAGTTTTGTTGAATACGAATGAAGTAATAGCCCATTCCATCTCATGTTCACGACATGTTTTGACCGGAGTAGGACTACGAAAAGGCTCAAGACTGCTTCAAAACGGCCTTGGCTGTCCGACCAGATGTGCGTTGCGTCGCCCAAGATCCATTGTCCACCACACAGCTCATCTGGAATACAGGACTGGCTGCTCTATAATCGTGTCGGGGCAACGATGGCCAACAGCGGCCAAGCTGAAGAAGCAGTACAATACTACCACCGAGCTTTGGAGCTCAATCCGTTGTATATTCGCGCCAGGTAACATTTACCTCAGTCTTTCTCGTTCGTCCACTAATCAGAGTCAGGTTCAATTTGGGCATCTCGTGCATCAACTTACGGGTATGCCATATATCTCCATGTCTTGAGTGGTCATGGCGGCTCACTCCAGTCTCAGCGCTTTGACGAGGCCGTTCATCACATTTTGGACGCAATTGGACTGCAGGAAAGCGATGGCTCATCTCCCCTCCGTGTCGAGAGTGGGGTCACGACGACTGCCCTCTGGGACAGTCTTCGCACGGTCTGCATGCACTTGCAGCGCGCTGATCTTGCCATCATCTGCGACAAGCGCGACTTAGATGGTAACGCGTGCTCCGTTTTCATCACCGTCACCTTGTGGTCTTACCCCTCATTCACAGCTTTCCGCAAAAGTTTCTCCCCGTGAATCTACACGTGACCGTGTTCAAGGGCGGATTCTGCGTCCAACATGCTTTATCCAATATAATACAATGGATTTCACGACTCAAAGAGAGCTACTCGCTGCTACTCAAGCTGAGCTCTCTGTATTGGAGGGACCGTCTAAGACCACCGTTCGATGCTAATTCACCATGAGTCGAGAAAAACGCACCTGATCGAGCCGCCTTGGTGTCGAGATAGCGCACCTTCAACTGATCCAGCATATCCACATCCTCCTTATTCATCACGGGATTCTGAGCCATGCGTTTCATTTTCGACATGAGTTCCGCATCCTTCGGTTGCTTCGGGATGGCGTCGCGTACGTCCTGGACGTCGAGGTCGCTCATATGGATGAGGGTGGGTTCCCTTCGAATCATCGTGTCGTCGATCAATTAGTCTGCGCTGAGTCGATGGCAAAGGAAATGCAATGCGGGCAGATGCAGTTTCAGGGTAGAGGCGCGCAGCAGATCGCAGTCGAAGCGCAGCACTACTTAGATGAGAGTCGAGGCACAGTCCACCATTGTTGTCGTGGCTTTGTACACACACTTGATACTCTCACCACCACTCTCTAGTCTCGCCCCTACGAAAACCGGCACATAACGATCATGGAACAACTCCTCCGCGTGTCGGATGCGGTTCGCGGTTTCAGAGTATGACCTGCACTGAGTCTGTTGTGTCAGTAGCAATTACTGACGTGGCGACTTCCACAGGAAGCGCGACTGTCTGCTCTGCGCTCGCCCACCGAATTTTTCGATGTCCAGCGTGTCTCGCGTCCCGCCGATCTAAATACCGCTACTTCTGTGCGCCTTTCCCCCTCCCCACTGCATGTGACCAGGCTAATGGTTCGCGTAGCGTATCTCCTACAACACACGTTACTTCTCCGGTCGGTCAACGCCTGCCCAAGACTCAACCGTATGAACTCAAGTCTTCTCACAGGCAACTACGGTCTCATCATTGTGGCTCTCGCCGTTTACGCCTTGTAATGCTCAGCCATCGTCTTTCTGCCCTCGCTCACTGGCTACACAGACTATCCAACTTGTGGCTCTTCGGCGCACTGGTGTTTCTTGTCGGAGGCTTCTCCCTGATCAACAAATTCGGTTCGTATGCTTGCACGTAGTATAACTGTGCGTTGAACTGGTGATCTAGCTCCTGAGCCGACACAAGTGGGCGATTATGTGGTGACCCAAAAATCGCTGTACATCACCCTGTTCTGCATCGGCATCCCGCTCCTAATCTTTTCTGGACCGATTGGAACTCTCTTCTGGCTTGTCGGCGCATCTGGCCTCATCATCATTGGTCACGCGTGTATGTTGGAACCAGGCGTGGAGAGCGAGTACGCCACGGTTGAAGGACAAGTTTGAGCACCGGCCGACCCTAGTAGATGTGGAATATGTATAATGTAGATACGGTACTTCTCCCTAGTCTCGGAAGGACATTTTAATGCCGGGTGGCCCCCACGATGTTTGTCCAGAAGACACGCTCTGGTTCATCCGAGACCGCGTGGTCTACAGCTGAAAACAAGGCTTCGTCCCGGCCCATCGATGCAACTAAGGATAACACAAGTTGCCGCAGATTGGGGGGAAGCTTCGAATAAGGGCCGGGCAGTTCACCTTTTGATGGATGTGTTATTCTGAAATATGGCCCCAGTTGCGATCGTAAAACAGCAAGTGTCTATAACACTGCTTCAGTAGATGAGAGAGGCGATGAAGCCAACGGACCTGTTCTCCCACGTGACTGGACTGGCGATGGCACACGACCAGCAAAAACCGTAAAATGCTCTGAGGAAGAGTGAGCCACGATGGAAAGCGGATGACGATCGCGGAACCAACTTCAGTGGCGGACAAGTTCGAGGCGCCAAGTTCCCATAAACATTTGGGAAGATGCCCGACCCACTCAGCGAGCAGATGTCTGTCAACATTCAAGTGGCCGGTGAATTGAGGTTCGCGGTCAAGCTGTCCACGAGAGTCAGTTCGCATTCAGAGACTGCAGAACGTAGATGCCGACCACAACGAGGCGTGAAACGAACTGAATGGTGGCCAGCTTCGATGCAGCTTTTGACGAGGTCCGGATGGCATGTTGGATAACGGCTTCGGATACGGCGTCCGCTGTCTCACGGAGCTCGGGGGCGTCCGTGTTGAGCAGCGCCCAGATGGTCGGGAGAAGAGAGAGATAGGACTCGGAATTCAGAGAGCGACCGAGTTGCGAGGACGATTGAGCCTCGCCTCTGAGCAGACTAGTCACAAAGTCCCCTACGCGCTCAACTTGCCCTTGGAGAGGATCGACGGCTCGTTTACCTCGCCGGGATGGCTGGTGGCGAGACGAGAGCAATAATAGCGAGGAGAGTTCGCAATACATCAGGTTCAGCCGTTGCAATGATTGCTCGACCTTGGATTGTGTGTAAGAGTACAGGCGGGAGCTGATGAGCGATCGGGACGCACCTTGATGTCTCGTGCCCCGAAGGTCTGGAAGGGAAAGTAGGGTGTAATGTACCCCAGAAACGCTTTCAAATCTTGATGCGAGTTGAAGACGGCCTCTGAATCGAGTTCTTTTGATTGCAAAAGCTTGGAATAGAGCTGTTTAGCAATCTCAACAACGGACTCGACAAGCGCAAGCTCGGTCTCTTCCACTCCTCCGTTGGGCGAGAAAACCGATGGCGCACAGTCAAGGAAGGTTGAAATGATGATCGAGTGCAATGTTCTCGTAAGATTCTGGATCAATCGTCAGCCACCGCAGAGAGAAATGGGATGTCCGCACCAGGGTGAACGTGATATCGCTGGAGCTCTGCATGTCGCTCTCGATCCGACCTACAACCTCGAGTACCTCATCCAGGATCCATTCCAACCCTGATAGATTTGGCACAGAAGGAAGCAGCTCGAACTCGTCATCAGCGGTGAGGTCGGCAGTTGACTGCCACGTCCTGGAACGGAGATGGAGCTGGGGCTCTCGGCACTGAAGGAGTAGATCAAAGGCTTGAAACCCTTGGGGCGTTCTGAACCAGGGCTCGATGTACCAAGAGTCTGGTGACGTCGGTTTCACAGAGCTGCGGCGATCAGAAACAGCATGTCGAAGAAACGTAGACAGGGACTGGAGCACAACTTTTTTGGACTGTGGTATGCGCCGTCAACAGAGGCAGGCTGCGTGATGGATTGTGCTCACTATCGCAGTGAGGACGACGCTCGCGGTCGAGGTTGCCTTCATGGGCCCTGTAAGCGCATGAGGGGTAAAGAAGAAAAGCTCATGCGCGACAACCTACCCTCAGAATCTCCGAACCTCGTCCCGGCACTCAAGATTCCTAGATAACCGTCCAAGACGCGGCTGCCGGTTCCGCTGCCCGGCCGATTCCATCCACGCACAATTTCGTCCGGAATGAATTCCATGAACAGGGTGATGAAGCGAGTAGCATCAACTCTGATCTCAGGGAAGATGTGCGTCTGCGCAGAAGTTGTGAATAGCAGCAGATTGGTCGCATGCGGAGCGAGATCTTCCTGTGTCAAGTGAGGCCGCGGAAGAGCAGAGAGAAGGCAGCTCACAGGCAATACTCGTGGAAATAACCACACGAAAAACTCCAGAAGAGACTTCCGCACTGTAGCATCCTACGCCAGAGATGAGATTGTCGAGATGCAAACAGACAGACGGGCACCCACCTCATCTGCTATCACCCGGGAGGCGGTGGTCAACAAAGGTGTCAGAGAATCGTCCAACAGGTGCGGAAATGCGCCAAATAGTTCACGAAGGCCAGCAAGAGCATCTGACGCAGGTTAGATGCCGCTGCTTGTCTGCGTCGACTGGGCTACCTTTCTTGGCGCTAGGACTGTAATGCTTCAAGTTGGAAACCAAATCGTCGAAAGACTGGCTGCGGCTAGTGCTTGGAATGTTCGCATCTTTGGGAGCAGAGATGCTTTGCGAAGGAAGGGCGATTGCTGCTCAGTATTGAAGATCCAGCACGCATCGAAGATACAACGGCACGCACAGCGAGCCTTGAAGGAGGTGTCGATGGCATTGGAGGGCAGTTGCTTGCCTTTGCCGAGTTTGAGCTTGGTTTTTGAAAAGTCTGCAGCTTTGTCCCGCCTCTTCTTAGCACTTTTTGGCATCTTTCAAGATGCTGATCACAGCCACTCAGATAGTACGTAATGCGTGTTTGTAACAACTTATACTTGGGTACATACGGAAATGCTGTGGAAAGCCATGGAAAAGCCGACGAGGATGATGTAATGCGTCCTCTGAGATAATAGGGATAATGTACACGGATGCTATAGCAGAGGTAACCACTGTCCTGAAGGGTGGTCAATCAGAGAACCGTGCATCCGCCGGAAAAGGCATACCGATGACGATACTGGGCAGATCGAACAAATCACGTCGTATTGAAAAGCAGAAAGTGGCGGGCACCGGGGCACCGGAAGGCTTGAGCAGCACACAATGAGAGAAGACAGCCTTGGTTGTGTTCTCAAATGCATGTGAGGCGAAATTCTCCCAATATTCTACGACAGATTGATTTTCAAACAGCTGCATCGGCGATTAGCAGGATATACACTAGACCGGCGGTGGATTGCATCTTACCTCGTATATGAACTTTTTTTTGCCGACCAGTTCATCCATTGACCAGTCGGTAAGCATGCAGAACTCTGGGGCCACCAGACATATTTCACCCGTGCGCCGCCATACAACAGTCGGTGTCCCACTAAAGGACATGAGTTTATCCAATTCCTGGAAAGAATTGAGTCAAAAGGGTAATGGTGTCGTATGTTTGCGCACTAGTAATGATCGCTGGAAGCATTTTTCTGCAAACACCTCGTCGTCAAACGACAGCGGCATCTGGAGTGCGATGAGGGAGGGTCGGAAGATGGCTAGGGCTCGGACGATGCGGAGAATGTCATTTTTTTCAAAGCTGTGGAAAGCAAAGAAACCATGAGCGCTCAGGATCTGATGGTTAAATAAGACGGCGAACAGAGAAGACGCACCAGGCAGGAAGGTGTTTCATTAAGAAATGATATCCCTCAGTATAATCATACGGTTTCGTAACACGGTCGTTGATGCTTTGCAACTGAGAACCGTTCGTCGCAGCAGGCGAAATGGCCGCATCTTTGCTACTGAAGGTCGGTGACGGCGGTCGGCCATCTAACGGAAAGCGAGGTTGGAGAGGATGTAGATCTTGGCCGAACTGTGACGGGAATTGACTGGGATCTGAGTCGGAAGGCTGTGGATATTGGTAATTAAGGAAACTAGAAGATGAGGGCTCGAGCGTCGCTTCCGGTGCGGGAAGAGTGATTGAAGGATCGGTGAACGTGGCTCCAAAGTCCGTCGGTGGACGAGTAGTCCCGAATTCTATCGGATCATCTGCGGCCCAAGCGGTATAACCTGGTGCGGCAGGAGCGGGACTCGTCGTGTCCGGTGGACTGGGGTTCCCGAGAATGGCGGACAATATGGAGTACTCCAGATTTGCGGCTTCCGAGCCAAAAGAAAAGGTGGCATCGAAGGGAACAGTCTGAGAGAAGACAGGGTCGGCGGGATCGAATGGAGGTTGTGGATGCGCTGTGCAGCTCGATTAGATGGGTGGACGCATTCGAATCCGTGATTGACTGACTGGATGGAGGAGCCGATATTGTTGGTGAGGGAACGATCGGGCTTTCAACGACTACCGTAGACTTGTCCGAACGGGGCTTGAGCTTGTCTGTCAAAACTTGTGAAGGCAAGACAATGAACTCAGAGCCTGCACGCACCAAACTCTTCTTCATCCAAGAGATACTTCGCCTTCTTACGGTGGCCTTCCGTACAGGTGTCGGCTAAACCACGTTTCACACAACGTTGACATGGCCGTGCTAGAAATCAAGTCGTCGGACCATCAAATCAAGTCGACGCGACATGAAAAGACTGACTATCGTCGCAAGTAAGGTGTGCTTTTTGGCAATGCACACAGGCTCTGCTAGCCTTCTTTTTCTTCGCACCGTCGCGGCCACCGCGAGTGCGCGGTGTGGGTTGGGGTGTGGAAGCAGATGAGTCGTCCTGCTCGTCCTCCTGTCCTTGCAATGCGATTTGTGCTTGCTTTCGCTTCAGGGAAGCAGGAAGCTGGGAAGCAGGTGCAGTGGAAACAGGAAGCGGCTGAAGCTGTTTCTGGCCGGCCACGGTTTGCGTCGGATTAACGAACACTTGAGAAAATGAGGCGGGCTGAATAACGGCTGACATAGCAAGGTTATGCCCGTGCGTAATCTAGCAGGCCGTCTTGAGGCAGCGATGAGCTGTTCGGTTTGAAGATCAAGGAGAGCTCAGGAGAAGGTGGTCCGGTCCGAACGCTCGTTTGGGAAGGCATATGACAAGAGCTATGACAAGGTAAGCAGATACAAATTCCCCGGCGGATGTTCGGCGCAACATTTTTCAATCCACGCTCACTGGAGCCCCCTTCTCAGGCTTCAGACATATGGTGCTTCTGTCCGCTGGGCCTCCGGTATCCAAGTTGTTTCAAGATAAACACATCCGAATCCGTCTGATCAAGAACTCCCGGTCCGGTCCCACACCGCTCACTGTGTGATTATCACCACCTTACGCCGTCGGAATGTCTTTCGCCCGGTTACAGTCGCTCATCGGCCGACGCCAGGCATATCTCGAATTTCGATGGATGAAACAAGAATCTGTGCGGGCAGGAACCTCATTGGATGACATGATGCATCGTAGACTCGAGGGCGAACCGTTGCAATATATTCTGGGTAGCTTTTCGCACTGTATCCCAGTCACATTGATAGCCAACTGATGGTCCTATCAAGGAAACCAGCCATTTGGGCCTCTCAGCCTCATTGTGCGGCCGCCTGTACTGATACCTCGGCCTGAAACGGAGGACTGGTCTTTGCGGCTCGCTGAGCTTTTTGCAACCTCTCCCAAACGACAAGTGCGCATGCTGGACCTCGGGACTGGCTCTGGTTGCATACCTCTGCTTCTCTGCCGAATGCTCCCGGCGGGGACTCTTTCAGCTCTTGGAGTGGACAGGTCCCCAGAAAGCATTGAACTTGCGAAAGAGAACGCAAGCGTTTGCGGATATGCACCTTCGCCGTCTTCAGAACCTCAAAACACGTTTCAAACCGCACTGGACTCTTTCTTAGATCCCCATTTCCCCACATTTGCCCATTCTGTCAGTGCACCCTTCGATCTTGTGACCTCCAATCCTCCCTATATCTCCTGGAAGGAATACATCGAGCTCTCTCCGTCTGTCACACGATACGAAGACTCGAGAGCACTTTTCGGAGGGCCGGACGGACTTGATTTCTATCGTGCCATTACACTGCTAGTGTCTAGGAAAGGATTTCTAAATGCAGGGGCTACCGTCGCCCTCGAAGTGGGTCACGAACAAGCGGAGGACGTCCAAGAAATGTTGAGAGGTGTTGTCAGAGGGAAATCCGAGATTTGGCTGGATCCGTGGAACAAGAAACGAACGGTGGTGATGCGAGAAATTCTTCCATAATGATGATCGGACCCCTGGCGCACTTATAAGTACAGGGTAGTGTCGACCCCTATTCAACCCTTCTTACACCATGGCCCCCGTCTCTCGACCTCGCAGTCAGTCATACCCGCTCGCCAGGAGGCCTGACAGTCACTCACACGTTGGGCAGCCCCCGGCTGAACGAATGCCGCGGGACATCTGGGAAGAAATCTTCGTCCGAACTCTTCCCCAATGTCCAGATGCCCAGTCTGTCTTTTCCTGTCGTTCATCAGAGGTCGCATCATATTTATCTGCTCCCCTCGTGCTTCTTCGAGTGTGCCGGTCATGGCGCACGACAGCCTTGACCCTTCCGCATCTCTGGACTCGTTTGTTCCTCGTTGTCAACGACGGGCGAATCTCTCCCCCTCTCCCAGTCGCGCGCAGGTGGCTGCGAAGGTCCGGTGCGCTGCCCTTGACGCTTTCGCTCTGGCAAACAAGCGAAGCACACGGAAACCAAGAGGTGACTGATGATGCCCTGGGCCTGTTTCTCTCCTACATTGACCGTTGGATGGATATACGACTGGACATCGCCAATCCGACGTACGGACGCTCACTTCGTCCTTCCGCCGATCTCCAGGCACCGCTACTCGAGTCATTTAATCTGACGACCTGTATGCGATTCTCTCCGAACGAAGAGATGATGCAAGATCTTCTCAGGATGCTTGAAGCAGCTCCCAGGCTTCTGAGCTTCTCCGTCTCACGTCTGAGTGATCTGGAGGTCACCCCGTCCACCACACTAGCCATTCCGTGGTCACAACTGATCCGGCTGGACCTGGGCTTCATCCCCAGTGTCAAGACTTGTTTGGACATCATGCGCGGGTGCCCAAATCTCCAACGGTGCAATCTCAACATCGATCCGCATGAGGGCGCCTTTCCACCGTCCTCCATCGTCCTCACTTCGCTTACGTCCCTCGAATTGCATATCTCTGCCGATGAGATGGCCACTTTTCTTGATCGCGCCGACTTTCCTGCTCTACGGGATCTTGCCCTCTATCAACATGACAGCTTCGACCGGCCAGCGCCATGGCCTCAAAAGTCCTTCATCGACTTTCTGACTCGATCCAAATGCACATTGGCGAGCCTGGAGTTGCACGACACCAGTCTCTCTGCCAACGAATTTATCGACTGCGCTCAGCATCGGAGCATCCGTCTATTGTCCACTTTGGTCATCCACGACAGTCGGGATTGGACTTGGCCTCCAGTGATCACTTCCCGAGTCCTGGAGCTCTTGACTGCCGGTCCGGGCGAGCCGCTCTTGCCCGCCCTCGAAAATCTGGACCTCGGCAGAGGATGCTGGACTGGCATGAACGATATGCTCTCGGATATGCTGGAATCTCGATGGCACATATCGGCCAAAGGCAACATCGCTCGTCTCAAGCATGTCAATATCGACCTCTATCTGCTCGATGCCACTGCAGTCGACAAGAGCCGGCTGCAGCATCTGAGAAACGAAGGCATGAAGGTCCGACTACACTACTATCACGATTGAAGCATTCGCCTACTTACTCATAATCTATCATCCCTCCAGCTCACGGGCGACTAGTTCGATGCCTAATGCTCGACACGTACTGATTTACTAATTGATCGCGATGTAACCTCATTTAACATAGACAAATAACTCTTACTTGTCTGACGCGCTCACTCTCAGATGACATGATCGCTGCTGACGTTTCGCCCACGCACCGCTTGTGTGCTCCTTGTCACTAGCATTTGTCTGGAATCCGGGACAGAATGAACGAACGATGACACACTACAGCGCGTGGACGTCGTGCGCTATCTCATATCAACCTTTCCGTGCAACCGCCAAATGACACGGTGGCGATTGACCGCCACGCACCAAGCACGATGCATTTTTGGTTGGCCCAGGCGGATGATACGAGCTGGCCGTATCAAGCTATAGATAGATCCTGCTCGCGGTTCTCATTTCGCGTCGTCCAATTACGGAAGGCCCTTTCTCCGTCCTCCGCTTATCATCAGGATCTCTTGCAGTCGAAAGCCAAATTGGGGGGGACGCGACCGAGCGCGATCCCTTCCATATCGCTTATCCGGAAGCACGTGATCGAGCGACAATAATTTAAGCGAGGCCTGGGGAGTCCATTGCATCCCCTTTCGTCCTCCCCATCGATGACTGCCCGCGCTATACCACTAGAATCCTTCACGGAGGAGTTAGGCCAGTGCACTGGTGGAGAAAACAATCGGAGAGCTCTGTCCCGCTACTGACGATCTACTGCAGAACTGTCTAGTGTGGCTCTCGGAGGTCGTGTGCTCTCCGTTTCGGACGATTTCTTCGCAGAAGCCTTCCATCTTCTGCTGGTAGAGGTGCGCTTTTTCATCCGCTTTCGAACCGATCATGAATGGTGCAGGCTGCCCCCAGCTTGAAAGGTCAATTTGGCCCCAAAGGCGCGCTGTTCAGCGGATGGGAAAGCAGAAGACACAATCCGACATATGACTGGTGCTAAACACTCTCAGCTCGCTTCGTTGTTCACTAAAGCGAAACATCTCAGGTGCATCATCGAACTTGGTACCACCGGCTCCATTCTGGGATTCGATGTCGATACCACTCACTTCGATGGTATCTTCGACTCTTGCCTCTGATTCTCCTGTCTCATCGACTGCACCAGGCAACGAGGCTCCCGCCGTCTCTGTCGATATCTTGTCAGGGCTGCCCGGTGAAGAGCCAGGGAAGGATGACGCTCGAGTGAGAACACCTTTGCTGCACTGAACGAATCTCATATTGTGCAGTGGACGGAAGCATTGCCAAAGGTCTCTCTGGGTCCAAACGCACGCCATCTATTCCAAATCCAGGAAACCGGCTGCGTTAACTTTGTCAAGTTGAACATGTATCCGGATGGGGGCATTGTGAGTCTCACTATCCATCGGGCGCCACTGTGCCTCTGAAATCCGCAGGCCAGGTTCCGGGTATACGGACGCGTGGCAGCTGTTCATCCGCAAGATCTTGGAGAGCCCTTCGACCTGGCACATGTTTTCGCGGGTGGCCGAGTTCAATTCACGTCAGACCAGCACTTCGGCGTCGGCTCAAACCTCATTCTTCCGGGTCGTGGAAAGGATATGGGCGATGGATGGGAGACCAAAAGGAGTAGGGAGCCAGGTCACAAGGATTGGGCCATCATAAAACTGCACGTCCGTCTCTTTCCAGCGCCCGACGGTCATCACTAACGTCTAGCAGGGGAGCTCCTGGTCTTCTGCAACACGTCGAAATCGATACTGCTCATTTCAAAGGCAATTTCCCCGAGAGCTGCGAGATCCATGCCATAGAAGCGAGTGACACTGTCGACTGGACGGTCGACCGCGGTCAAGGAGACGGCTGGATTCTCGTCCTTCCGCGCACAAAACTCGGTCCGCATAGACAGCACTTCTTGCAGCTGGAGAACACAGAGAACAAGCTGTTTACCCATGTCAGAGTTACCATTCATCCCGATGGTGGGATCAAGCGAATCCGAGTTATCGGTTCGCGGCAGAGCACAGGCCCGTTAATTGCGTCGGAAACTGCCACCGTGCAGTCCTCGGTCCCCGAATCGAACGACATCGTTCCTCTCTCCTCATCATCAAGGGCGGCTATCCCTGTCCTTCCATTGACACCTGAAGCTTTCGCTCCCTTCGGCCAGGTTATCCAAGCGTACGGTGATCACTCTGCAGCACCAAAAGGCACCAAGATCACACCAGCGAACCAAGGATCGGCCAGCAAGTTCCACAAGCTATCGTTGTTGGATAGTTCATATCCCGCAGGCTCGGCTGCTACCGCTGGATTATCGGTGTACCGATGCAGTCCGCTGGCTCAGATCGAGCCCAATGGTACTACAAAAGTAGCCGTCCTGGAACGCCACCCGTTCACGAATCAGGGTTTTATCCCCATGGGAAGAGGGGATGGAGAGGGTATCAACGACCCGGGCTCTTCGTACCTCGTCGTCGTCGCAAAGACGGGAGCTGACGACCGTCCGGCCATGTCCACTCTGAGAGCATTCGTAGCATCAGCTGCACAGGGAATCGTGTACAACACCGCGGTTTGGCGTAAGTCAAGCCTGCTCTTCTTCCAAGACGGAAGCTGACGGACCAAATAGATCAACCCATGACAGTTCTTGGGAAGGTAAGTGAAAGGTCTATCTTTGATGTGTGTGTGTGGCTGACCAAGCGACATTCAGATGATGGATTTCACGTGTGTGGAGACGCAGATTGGGGATGGAAGCGTGGCCGACTGCGAAATTTTCGACCTGCCGGGCGAACAGATTGTGACATTAGATCTAAAGCGGGCGTTGATATGGTAGGCAGTGTAACCCTCCAGACAATGTGCTTAGATGGATGTATGTATGAGGTCCAAGACAAGTCATGTGTGCGAGTGGTGGTCGTTGTTTATTTGCGTCAACTTTGGCCTTGACCATCATCCATATCTTCCATCGCTCTCCCTCCTCCTCAATGGAGTCCAAAAAGCGGCCTCACGCAGAAGAGGTCAGCTCCGCGGTCTCCAAAAAACGAGTTCTCTCCACTTCCAATGGAGTCCCCTACGTGAACGGAGTCAACCATGATCATGGAGAGCCGGATGTGGACAACCTTGAGGTACCCTCTTTCCACGTCTGTTCATTCTTATGAGCCTCTAACCCACTCCTTCTCTCTAAGCTCTTTCGAAAGGAAGCTATCTACAGGCGAATGAAGCACTACTCGCGCGAGCACGAGCGTGGCCAGATCCGAATTGCCGAGCTCGAACGTCGCAAGAACGCTTGTGAGGCGGGTCTAGCAGCGATGTCTGCATGCTGGAGCCAAGTATGTCGTATCCACCATTTGTGACACGCCTAATCTACCTTCGTTTAGCTCGTACAGGCCATCCGCCTGGTCGCTCAGCCAGATGACTTACCCCCAGCAGCCCCCCATGTGCGAGGTATGTTTTCACTACTCTTTGTGTTTCATCTCCAAGAATATATCTCAGACTTATTCGACATGTCGTCGCGTTTATCATACGAGGACGCGCCTGACCTAGTCTCCGCCTTGGAAGACAACATGAACGCTACCCGTACGCTCGTCTCAAGATTTGTCAGCTTGGGTAGTCAGGTTCAGGGTGGGCAAGATGTTTACGAGAAGTGCCAGAAAGCTCAGACCGAGGTAAGTTTAGATGTCTCGAAACGTTGTGTCCACTCAACCGCTTGCTAGTGCTTTGCGCTACGTTCCGAAATTCAGATCATACGCGAGAAATGGCAAGACGCGGAGTCGAAGGCTCACAGCTATCATGAACAGCTACTTGCCGCGGAGAACTCAATTGAACGGCGTCAAAGCAAAACTATCAGGCCGACGCAGGCATCCAAGAAAGCAGATTGCGAGTCGCCGGAGGAGATTAAGGAGGAGCAGAAGGAAAAGCCGTCCTCTCCAGTTGTGAGTGGTCTGGTTGATTAGTAAGAGTCCGTCGTTCTGATATGCTTCCTCTAATTTCTGTGCAGTTGCCACCGCCTTTACACATCAATGGCTCCTCCGACATGGATGTTGAAGCTCAGTCTCATCTGACGAATATACGAGACACGGAAATCGAACAACTTCGAAATCAAGTCGCGGAGCTTACTTCTGCCAGACTCGACCTGTTCATGAATGTGATTACTTTCGCCCGCCCGTTTGAATTTCCTCACCACTAGGCACAGACCCGGTCACCCCCATTAGACCTCGTAGCGAAATCGCCGCACTATAGAGTGCTTCTTGAACACTCTGCATTTCTTACGCACAGTCTTTCGGAGACACAGGCCGAAAACACTCGCCTGGCGGAAGAACTGCAGACCGCGCTCGATTCAAGGAAACAGTGGCAGGACAGTGTTGAGGTACGAGGACAGTCTTTCCTTCGAACTGCGATTCAAGGTATGACAGATGACGGCTAATCAAACCAACCAAGACCTCAAGTCGTTAATACTGAAACGCGACAACGAAAATGCGCGCCTACGTGATCAACGGGATCAGTACTACGCTGAGTTGAATGAGCGGAGAGCCAAGGATGGTGTCAAGACTGCATCTCTGAAAGAGCTTCAGGCCCTCTGTGAAGCCAGAGCCGTTTGTCCTATTTTTTTTCAGATTTTACACTGAGTTGTTGACCACCATCGTTTCCAGGATCGAAATGCGATGCTTGAATCCCAATTGTCTCGTCACAAAGCTCAACTCGCTGCCACTGCCAGGAACGAGGACTTGATGCATTTTCTCCTCGGAGACCAATCCAATGAACAGTCGTATATCGATGACCTGAAGAAGCGTGTCACGTCAGTCTCCAAGCTCATTTACTAGCTGCTTGGGGCTGATATGTCATTCAGAGCGGCGGAGCATCGCACCGCGGCCGTAAATCAGACGCTTTCTATCTTTCAGGACGACCATCCGAATGTTGTACAACACATGCAAGCCGAAGCAAACGCGCTCCAGGAACTGGCGACTGTCAATGCATCATTGGACAGATATGAGCGGATTCTTGGTGACCCTAAGTCATGTGACCTATGGAAGAGGTTAGAGTTACAAGACGAAGAGTTACAACGGTTGCAACTGGTTAATGCTCAATTGAGCAAGGTGCGTCGCGCAGAGTCATCATTGAGCGGGAGCTGACAGGATGACAGGACAAGGAGGCCACCTACAATGAAATGATTCAGCTGGGCTCTGCTTGGGAAGCTCTCGACCGTCAACTGAGAAGTAAGGTGTTCGACTTGAGAGAAATGGAAGAGCGACTCTCCAAAGTGACCCTCGAGGTATGTTCATTGATGACATGCGTACTCCTGAGCATTTCGTTTATCCATTTTCTAGAAAGCTAAATCCGACAACAAATTCTATGCTTCGATGCGAGACAAGGAGTCAATTGATCTAGAGAGGAAGACATTGCTGCGGAATCAGGAGAAGCACGGGAAGACTATCGAGCGATACATGGAATCGGAGCGCAACCTTGCTGCACAAGTGGTCAGTTCAGTAGTGCGCGCTCCGCCCGTTGCACTCATTCTCTTCAGATGAGTCTTGAAAGAGACCTTGCCACTACTCGAAAGCTATACGAAGGCCGATTCACCGATCTTTCTGTACTTCGCGGCGAGATTCGTGAGGCTCAACTCCAGCAATTAGACAACACTCAAAAGTACACCGAGGTAAGTTGAGTGACTTGCAACGGTTCTCGATCTTATCGTTGTCTGATGCAGTGTCGAACTCTCATGACTGAGCAAGAACGTGAACTCCTTCAGCGACACTCCGAAATCCAGAGGCTTACTGAAGAACTCGCTATGTCGAAGAAGCAAATCGACCGTCACCTCATCAAGTTGAAAGAAAGAAGCGCGGGGACGAGTTCGTCTAGGGAGGGTGAGCTGGAGGAAGAGCTGGATAGGACTTTGGTAAGCGACAAGATTCTTTTGATGCACACATCTTGACCAGGTCCAGAAAGCGTTTAAATGCACTGCATGCAAAGGCGCCCAGTTTCGGGATACGGTTATCACCAAGTGTTGGCACAGTAAGTGGTTATCTCGGTTCTCGAACTTGACTCTCATTTCTGCAGCATTTTGCAGGTCTTGTGTGGATGCCCGGTTGTCAACGAGACAACGCAAATGTCCATCGTGTAATGATCCGTTTGGAGCTGCCAATGTGCAACAGATTTTCTTACAGTGAGCCCCGAGGCGGCAGGCTCTTAATCTTATATACATCCCCCCTTCGTTATCAATTTGTATTCTATTCATTTCAGCAGCCAGAGCGCATGCTACAGCAGGAGCTCATGCCACAGAATATTGTGCTTTGAGACCATGCGACCGTGAGGTGGAAATTGCAGAAATATTTCAATTGAAATACTACGACGAGCGGTACTAACGTTTGACCCAAGTATACTGCAAGGACATGGGTGAACGGGAATGGCAATGTATGGGAAGCACGCACTCCTTTGCGCGCTTTGGCACGACCTGTTTTCTTTCGTTCCACCATACGAGGGTCACGACGCAACAGTTTCGCTGGGTCGGATTAATGCAACAGATTCGTAGAGGGAAGACCAAACACGCACTTGACTGTAGCAGATGAGTCAGATTTGGCTGGTGGATTTTGATTCCTTTCGCAATGCCATGTGCCAATGCTCCAGACTGGCCAGTGCTTCCTCCGCCACGAACCAGTGTAAAGATGTTGTAAGCACCTAGAACACCGGCAACTTGCAATGGTCGAACGACTCGCTCGCGATCACCCGGGACTGGGAAGTATTCGCCTATCGGGATGTTGTTGATGAGGATATTGCTTTTGGGTACAAGCTGAGGCTGCTGAAATCGCTCTGGCTGCGACGCGAGGAGCCCCGCCGCCTCGTCCAGTGACCCGACCTTCTCCACGTCAATTGTTTCAAGTTTGTCCACCGGCTTTGCAGTCGGTACCATCCACACACGAGCCGTGCTGGTCTTCCGTTTTCCGAAAGAATAAGACCGCCCGAGATGGTCGACGTGAACTACCTTGCCCTTCCCACGGTACAGGTTCGACTCCTTCGTCGAGCTTTCGAAGACGTTGAGCAGGTTCTTCGTTCGCGTGGCAAGTTCGTCACAGCCCGCCGCTTTCGCAACGGCGTAGTACCCGTTGAGTTTCGTGAGCAGGCGGGTAAGGGCACGGTACCGGGTGCTGGTCATGGCCATTCCGAGGTCCTCGCTCATTTCCCGCGCGCCCTTCCATATAGAGGGACGTTTCGGAATCGAAGCTCGCGCAAAATCGGGGAGAGGGAGGAGTTGTAGCATCTTGAGAGCCGAGCGCGTATGCTCGACCGCGCCTTCAATGTGGGAGTACTGATCGTAGTACGAAACGCGTCCAGAGTAGAAAGATGGCGACTTGGGGGCTTCCCGTTCATCTTCTTCCTCTCTGCGCCTTCGCGGGGTTTCGGACTTCACATCTTCGAGTTGTGCTGGGGGAACGAAAGGAGCACGAGTCGCTAGAGAGCGTATGCAGCCATGCAGTGCAGGGCGACGCAAGGTGATAGTCCCTGACCGGAGCAGACCCTGCATTGGTCTGAGAGAGAGAGAGCGAGTGGTTTAGACCGTCCTAAAATTATGTGGCAACTCCCGTGATCCCACTCATCCATCCCCATTTGGTACCGCGAAACTGCTGTTAGCACACCACCTTATGGCTGCGCCCGAGCACAACTTTTCAGGCGCTCTTGCCACTTGGAAAGGTATTTGAATAACTTGGTTTTTGTCTCGTCTTCTGATACACGTCAACTTAGAAATCAATCTCCTGGAACTACAAAAGACACTCGACGCGCAAGGGATTCAACTTGTTGACAACCAGAAGGAGAGCGTTGTGGGGAGGAAGGTCCTAGCCGACAAGACTAAAGGTGCGCATATTTTCTGGCCTCGGTCCTTGGATCTGACCGCGTCTTCGAAGAATTCAAGAGAATTCCCGACTCTGAGAAGGTTGAAGCCTTCAAGGCCCTGCTGAAAGGTTCTGGGAGCACAATCCGGTTCTGCCGTTCAAAGCTGACGTGATCCAAAACCCTAGCCTATCAGTCTGAAATCGACAACCTCACAAAACGGGCCAAATCCTCCGAAAATGCATTCTTGGACGTGTACAAGGTCATCGCCGAGGCACCAGACCCGTACCCTTTGCTAGAAGCGGCGGTCGTAAGCATTACTCTGAGGTTTCCCATAGAGTGCTCCTGACTCGACGGCTAAAGGATCAAACCGTCAAAGTCGCTGAAGCGCGAGACTTGGAGGCGGAATTGAAGCGACTGCGCGAAGAGAATACAGAGCTCCGGCGACGGGTCAATGATTTCTCGTCCGTAGAGTCCGCGAAGAAGAAAGCAGAGCTCAAGGTCGAGCAACTGGAACAGAAAGTGCGTGTATCGTGGCTCGAGTGGCCGTCGAAATCAAGCTTGCTGCAAGATGGAGGAGTCCATACTCGAGAAGGTCGCCCAGAAAGAGAACGAGCTAAATGCGACCTATGACGAGAAGATGCGAAACTACGAGGAACGCGAGCAAGATCTTCAACGACAAGTCACACTAACGAAGAATCAATTGAGGGACCTGCGCACGTCGAACGACTCCAATCAGGCCAAGCTCATTGACCACGGGCAACGTCAAGGTTTACATCACCTGTGTTGATCCAAAGTCTGCTCGGCTCATCGAAAATTGTAGACCAGGAGGTTGTTGCCAAACTTGCTGAACTGGATATGATCGTTGCCGACTTGGAACGCGCGAACAGTCGTGTCGTCACTGTCGAACGCCGGAATGTGCGAAACCACGCCAAAGATCATCAGTGCTATCGCCTGACTGTTTCCTATTAGGAAAATCTGCGCGCTGAGATAGCGGCAATCCGGACAGGGACGGCCGGTTCAGATCGGTGCGCTGTTTTACGACCGTGTGGAACATTGCTTAATTTCGTCCCACTAGAGTCAAGTCTCTGGAATCTCAGGTGGCTGACTTGGAAGTGGAGACAGAACGCTTGTCGCGCAGTCTGGAGCTTCAAAAGCAAGCAGCTGCAGACGCAGAATCTGATGCACAACACAAACTTGTCGAGCTATCGCGGGACCTGCAGACCAAGGCCACGGACATCGATCAATTGAGGCTAAAGCTTAAGCAATATGGTGACTATGATGAGATCAAACGAGAGCTCGAGATCATGAAAGTGCGTGTATCGACCCGTCCTCCTGCAACACATGTTCATGCAAGTTAGTACGTCGAATTCGCCGGTCTGGATGACGACAATGACGACGATGGCGATGCTGAGATCAAACTTCCGAATCCGAACGCTCAGAAGGCCAATGCCGAGCCCGGTAACACGTTGGAAGGACTGTTGGCCACCAAGAATAAACGTCTGCTCGAGGAACTGACGAAGATTCGGGTCAGCTTACTAACATCTACCTTCTCGATCTTCTGCTCAATGGATCAGATCTTGCACACTGAACTCGAGACCACGTTGCATGACACTGAGGCGAGTTTGGCCACGGCCAGCAGCGAATTGGAAAGCAGCAGATCCTCAACGAGAAGCTGGAGAATGATCTTCTGTCTATGAACTCGCACACAAATGGAGACGCAGCAAAGGATGAGGACGATGTTCTGGGCGGTCTGGATCTTGGTCGGAAACCAGTGCGTTGACTCAGCATGGCATCTTGTCCCAAAGTTGTTGATGAGCCAGGAACAACCGGTGAAAACGACACCGATCCCCTTCTCGTCTGCCGATACGACCATCCTGCCTATCGTAACGAGCCAACGAGATCGCTTCCGTCAACGGAATGCTGAATTAGAGGAGGTGTGTGACTCTTCAGTTTCCCGCTGGACGATTCCGCTTAACCAGTCGTGCGTGGCAGGAACTGCGCAAACAATTCCAGATCATCTCGGAGCTTCGGACAGAGATCAAAAACCTTCAGACGGACAACCTGAAGCTGTATGAAAAAGTCCGCTACATGCAGAGTTACAGGGAAGAGGGTGGAGGAGCCACGCGACCAGTGACGTCGCAACTGGATCCATTGCCAGCGCAGTCGGGGACGGACGACATGACCAAGTACAGAGCTAGGTATGAACAAGCCATCAACCCCTTTGAAGCATTCCGCGGAAGGGTCAGTCGCCTGCTCTATGTTTTTCCAGCCCGACTGATCTTAGCTGCAGGAAGCCACGCGAGCTTATCAGAATCTGAACCCCATTGAGCGCGCCGTTCTCGTTCTCACAAAAGGGGTTCTCGGGAACAGGCGAACACGCGCCTTCTTCATTGTCTACACGTTGGGGCTACATCTGCTCGTCATGTTCACCACTTACGAGTGCACGACCGGCTCGGGTCCTCCGTTGCAGAGACAGCCAAACCCGTATTAGGACTTTATGAATATGTATGTATATTACAATGGATGATACATAATGCATGCTACAGGTAATCCATCTCAGCCGCGGGTCGGTTTCGAGATCTTGGCATGATGGAATGCTATGGCGCGTTTGGCCGCATTCAGGACTGGATTCAAACCCTGTGCTCCGCCTCAGCACAAAGGAAGAGAACATCCAAGCCAAAGGTTATTTGGCTTACAATTTCAATTTTCTGGGGATCTACACTGTGACCTGGGCCCATGGAGACAAGCGCGTCGACTTTTTCCTGCGTCTTGTATAGATATCCATCATCTTTGCGGCTTTAGCGGCTCGTTGTGTCGGCGTTTGCGGCGAGATCACTTGGTCTGCGCTGGGCGGATAGGTAGCTCCCCAAAACTGTCTCAAGAACTCGTTCGTTGCGGCTTGGCAAATTTGCATCTGGCGGAACACAGCGGGAGGAATGTCATCTGGAAGACTATTCAGTTCTTGGCTCGACAAAATGAGAGATGGTCACTTTTTCGCGCTTTGACGTCCAGCCGGGACGCAACATTTTTTGTCATGGCTAACAAAGCACCGTCAGCTGGCTTGCGGTCGACTTGAAGCTGCTGCGATTGAATACTCGAACGAAAGATGGTCAAAGGCGGGCGTACCTGGATCAGGTTTGTCTCCCAGCTGTTCAACTCTGCTTGGGTTTTTCGCAGGAGGCTCTCAAGTCAAATGGCTCCAGAAAGTTTGAGAGAATAGCTGGCACGTGGAAAGGCACACACACCCTCTGTCCATTTTCAGCCTCGGTATCGGATGCAGAGACTCCGCCCTCAAAGTACCGCTGCCTGTCTTGCATTTCAAGCTCGATACCGCTCAGAGCTCTAGGGTCATGCAGATCATCGAGATCAATTTGCCCGTATTCTCCCTGAACAGGATCAGCCAAGTCCGGTATGAATTACGGAGGAAGTTACGTCGGTGTTGATTTTCTGACGTTTTGCAGCAGGAATGTCACCCCTATGATCCTCAGTCAGCAAAGCTCTGCGGACAGACGGAACGAAACTGACAACGTCGCATTCAACAACCGTTCGGAATGTTCATTGAACTTCCTAATGAGAGGCAGAGCACCGCGTTGCCTGCCCGGCAGCATGGTTACATCTTTTTCATTCCCAGTCTACAGAGCGTGAGTGTGGAATGGTTCTTCCAGGCCAGGATATATGAACCTCAGCATGATCCTCGTTCGTAGCACCAAGATCGACAAAGAGTTCAACTCGCTCATTGCGTTGGTTTCTAGGTTCTAGGCCTGGTTCATGTCAGGTTCGGAATAATCAGCGATAAAGGGTGAAGGGACGGACCGTCATCGATCTTGGGCATGTATTGGTCCAGGATGGGGTCTTCTTGTACCACATGTTGTACTTCAGTCGACCGGATAGAAGCGCGCAGAGCATGATACAGCTTGGATTTGAAGTACCGTGCCCAAAATTCCGCTTCCGTGAGCTGACGACAGCGTCAACACAGGTTGAGTGTGAGTCATGGGCTTCCGACCTTGCTAGGGACGTTTTCACGATGCGCTTTCGCAACAACCGGATATTCATCGAATATGTCATGGATGAGCTGAGGGGTCATGACAATCTTGATCTCTCCGTCGACCGTCTCTGGACGAGGATCCACAATTTGACCGGATTTACCCTTGCGTTGGGATTCAGAAGATGCGAGGGAGAATAGAAGATGCTAGGCCCAGACGTGTTCAGAGCGAGATCGTTGTGAGTCAGATAGCCACGCACCTCGCGGCCGTCCCAAAACTCAGTTTCCGTCAACTGACCACTGGCCACTAGGTCTCGATGCAGTGACGCGAGTGCAGGGTTGCTCATCAGCACTGTCTTCCTCAACCGCAGGTCCATCGCGGCGTCGATCCCCGGTATAATCGTCACATTTCGCAAGTCGCTTGACGAGACAGATACGGCCCGCGACGGGGTCGCCGAGGGTTGTCGGGGTGTCGGGGTCGCGGGCTGTGTTTTGGGAGTAACAATGGGAGCTGGAGTGTGGGAGGACGCGACGGGAGCAGGCGCGCGGGCAGCGACATCTTGCGCGGCTCTATTCTGACTCAAAACTGTCGTGAGTTCCGCCTTGAATCGGTCTCGCTCCGCAATAGCCTTCGGTGACGTGAAAGCGAAGCTGTGGCCGTTATCATCGCCCACCAGACTTATTTTCAGCCGCACTTGCGCTGCGCCCTCTTTACTGGAAAAAAGCCCTTCGTGGCGGTATGAGCATCACTATAGAGCGCGTCGCACTGGGCGGAGTCATACCGTGAACCTGCGTGAGCGGCACACGAACTGAAGGGCTCTTTCCATCCTGCGTCCACTGAAGGTGGGTGTCTGTGAGTTCTAACAATCCTGATAGCTTTTTGTATGATGCCTTCGCGGCTACAGTTGTGGAAGTGGGCATGTAGTTTGTTGCATGTAGGCGTCCAACGCGAACCCCGTCAATAAGTTGTCTCGATTATCTAATGTGATCACGTCAATCATACATTTGAGTCAGACTCATTATCTTCATTGTCCACCGAACATGGCGCGTCAACTGGTCGTGTTCGATTTCGACTACTCTATGGCAGACAATGACACGGATCGCTGGGTATTTGAAGTAAACGCGCCTGAGATCCGGCGCTGGATCGAGGACAACGAGGGAGGGATCCAGTTCACGGATATGATGTACGGCCACCCTGCGTTCCCTCTGCGCTGCTGTCCTTCTCATCGATGAGTGCGAAAGTGCGCAAGCACTTCGCGATGCACATGCGCGTGGTGTCACACGCGAACAGCTGGAGAATGCGTTACGGATCATGCCATTCGTCTGTTATCTTTCCTCTCCCCAGTTCTACACTCACATGCGATCCTAGCATCCAGCCATGGTCCGTGCTATCAAAAACCTCAATGCAGGTGGAAAAACGACATTTTTCTGCCTGTCCAATGCCAACTCGATCTACATCTCGACCATTCTCAAGGTGAGGCTATCTACGCGACCCACCGAATAATATTTACGAACGCATCATGTTCATCAGGAGCAAGGCCTCGAGTCGATGTTCACAGAAATTGTGACAAACCCGGCAGAGTGGACTGAAACGGGTCTGCTCGCTCTCCGGCGGCGCGTTGACCCTAGTGGTCCTCAGCATGCCTGCACGGTCGGTTGCAGTGCGAATATGTGCAAAGGTTGTGCACACCTCGTTTGCGTCGCCAGTCACTGATGTCTCGAATAGGGGAGGAACTTGAGACCTTTTATGCGAGACATGAGCCCACGTTCGACCGTGTCGTCTATGTTGGAGATGGATCGAACGACTTCTGCCCGGCACTCCGTTTGCGCAGGTAAGCCGACTTGATATTCGGTGGTCAAGGGAGCGAAGTAATTCGGACTGCAGTCAAGATTTGCTTCTCTGTCGCACGTTCGGAGGCCTTCACAAGCGGATCGCGAGGGACGGCGGGCTCAAGTGTTCCGTCAAATACTGGACAGGAGCCTGGGAAGTCGAAGAGGTCTTCAAAACATTGGCATAGACTGGAATAGACTCGACGCAGGAATCCCCGCTGTGGATGGAGTATACATTGCTGCAAAGATCATGTCGTTTACAATATATACAGCTGCGAGGCTGGCTCACAAGTCAGTGCGTGAGTGAGTGAGAGAAATGGATGAAAAGGTAATGATTTAGACAACAAGATTATCTCGGCCAAGAGTCCCCTGCCCCATTGCTCGCTCTACGGCCATCCTTCATAACCGAGCCCAACTGCTGCTGTTGCTGCTGCTGCTGCTGATCTTGTCCAAACGGATTGCGTGCCGCTCCGACTGGGGGGAGTACACCCGAGCCGTAGAAGGAGGGCGGCACCGCTTGGGCTGGGGGGACGACGTTCCCGGCCATCCGAGGGGCGCCACCGGGCGAGTACGGCTGAAACTGGTCGGGCTGCATCGGCATGAACAACCCACCGATATCAGCACGGGCATCGAATCCTTGGCTGGACTGGCTGGACTGGGCAGGTTGTAGCGACGGCGGACCTTTGACTTGGGGCGGGCCACCTTGCCCATATGTTGCTGCGTAACGGTTGCCTGACGTCGTGACACCGCTCGTATAAGCCTGCGCTGGACTGGTGATCGGGGCAACAGACCCATATGGACTAGAATCAGCCCGTCCTGCAGCAGCAGCGGACCGAACGTTCGACATCACCACATCCCTCCGAACGGAAGTCTCGTCGGTTTCTCCCGGCTGGTAAACATGGGCCAGCTTCGATGTCGGGGGCTGGTATCTACTCCAGTTCGGCTGCCCGCCAGCAGCCAGATTCCCGCTCGCCACCAGTTCTGCCTGTTGCTGCAAGAATTCGAGTTGGGGATACGGCACAGCCGCAGCAGGCTTGCCACCAGCCTGTCGTCGCTCCCATTCTTGCATCGCATCGTCCCGATTGAGGACCGGAGTCAAGGCATTCCTGCCCTGGATCACATCTTCATTCATGTGCCTCAACCGGGCCAACGCCGGCGGGACTGGATCCAACTGATTGTTGATGGTATTTGCGCGCGCACGCGACTGGGATTGAGCTTGCGGTGGTGCGTTTGCAGTCGCAGCTGGATAGTACGACGCGTTGTTTGCTGCTGTCTGTGGGGAACCAGAGTAGCTGCCGGCGGCGACCATAGCACGATGATTGGCGGACGGAGGGAGCGAGTACCCGGAGCCCACCTGGCTCTGGCCTTGACCTTGGTAACTATTCTCTGGCGGCGACGGGTAGTTCGATTGGGACTGGCTGAGCTGGCTCTGTTGTTGGCTGCTAGCCGGTGTCATGTACGGATTCCTGAATGCTCCAGCTTGATTTTGCTGGGCTTGTTGTGCCGCAGTGTACGCTTGGTGTTGGCCGAGATGGTGATTGTAGCTCGCGGCGTCGGTGTATGCCCGGGTTCCTTTGGGTTGCGAGGGCACCAAACCGCCGTACGGTCTTTTCGGGTCGACAACGGCTGGTGCAATCGGGGCCGGTGGAGCAAGCCCATCAGGCTGCATGGACGGATTTTGTCAGTCACTCCATCCTCGATTGGAGACAGGCACTCACCACAAACGGCTTGACAAACTTTTCACCGGTGATGAAAGGATGTAAACGCGCCTGCTGGGGCGTCCATCGGGTCACAGGATTCAGATCTAACAACCCTTGGCAGAAGTCGACAAAGGCCGCTCGATTGTTGAGTTCTGGAGCGGATCAGCAGCAACCCTCACAAACAGCAGGGTACAAGGCACCTTTCTCCACCTCGTGAGTTCTTCCGGTCTTGGTCTGAGGCATCGGCGCTGTGTTGATGATCTCTGGCAACGTATTGGCTTTGAAGTACTGCTTTCCAGGCTGTTCATTGGTCCCGTGTTCCCGAGAATACTGCTCGAGACTTTTCAAGCGCCATTTCTTCTCGTTCTGGCCAGTCGTCGGGTTGAATTGATCATGTGAGTCGAAGAACTGGGTTGTCTGCTTCCCGGTAGACATCATCGAAGCCGGCGGCAGACCGAGCATCTCCACGATACGAGTCAGTTGGTTGTATTCGCTCGTGCCCGGGAAGAGCGGAAGACCGAGGAACAGCTCAACCGCAATGCAACCCAGGGACCACATGTCAATGCTGGCCGTGTATGGCATCCCAAGCAGTACTTCGGGACTGCGATAGAAGCGCGACTGGATGTAGGTGTATACCGTCTGCCGCTCGTGGCACGTGCTGCCAAAGTCGATGACTTTGATCTGCGGCGATTGCAGGCTCTTGAGGAGAATATTTTCCGGCTTCAAATCGCAATGGATAAGCCGAGCCTCTTTGAGAACAGTCATCGCGTCTAACAGCTGGGCCATGAAGACCTTGACCAGTTGTGTCGACAGACCCTGGAACTGGTTTTGCTTGATCAACTCGTACAGGTTGGAGCTCAGAAGCTCGAAAACCAGGCAAAGATGTGAACGATGAATGAACGAATCACGAAGTCGGAGGATGTGATGCTGGTCGTTGGGATCGGAATTTTTGTTCAGCTGTTGGGTGTCATCTTCGATTGACACGACCGAAGAACAGCTCACGCACCATTTCGAGAATAGTCACTTCCATCATACTCTGGTTAAAGTACGCAGGCTTGTTCTTTACGACTTTGACCGCCACCACTTCGTGGGTCTTCATATTTTGACATTTGACGACTTGCCCAAAGGTGCCTTGGCCAAGGATGTCCAGAATCAAGTACTTGTGGCCATCCTCGGTGCCCAGCCAATCGTTGACGTAGAGAATGTAATCGTAATCTTCGTTGTCGTAACCCTCATTGTGGCTGGGTTTGCTCGGCTTTGTTAGCACACGACGAGGATTGTGGGCCGACTCGTAACGAAATTGCGGGTTGCAGATGTGGAAGGTTTCAATGAGATTCGTCGTCAGTTGTCGCAGAGGCTATGGTCGGAAATCAGGCGGTAGTAACAAGGGGAGAAATGTATCAAACACACCGACAGGTAGGTCCCATCTGCGGCCATCCTACGGCTCGTTGCTGGAATATCCGTGCGTGGCTGGAGATCGTGGGCCCCGCGAATCCTTCTGAACCCGGGAACTCGTCGTTTCTGGGGAGGTGGGTCGACAGCCATGGCCGAATCCGGCGTATAATAGCCTGGGGACGGGTGTAGGTACGAGAGGGGCGTTGACGGATTCGACACCGATCCTTGGCGAGGAAGCTGGTCAAGATACTGGTTGCCCTGGTTGTAGTTCGGCGTGTAAGGTGTACCGGGCTCCGCCTTGACCTGCGAAAGCGTGCGATTGTGGGTCTGAGGATTTGACGACGTATATCCGCGCTGCTCGGCTTGCGGAGGACCGTACGGGTACTGCGGTGTGGACGGTGAGTATTGCGCCTGCTGGTGTGCGTAGGGATCCAACAGCGCCGAATTCGGGGTGCGGAGGGGTGAGCGTGGAGGCTCAGCGCGTTTGGAGTAATACATGGGATCGGATTGAGGTTGATACTGGTTCTGTCCATTGCTGGAGTCGTTAAAGTGAGGATAGAAAGAGGGGTCAAGCTCCTCCTGGTTGTGGTGTCGTCGACGAGCCGAGGCGGAAGCACCCCCAAGGCTGTGTGAACGAGCGATGGATTGCGATGACCCTGGTGGCGGTTCTCGGTAGTACGACGCCTGCGCAGCACTAGCCGCTGCCGCCGTCGAAGACAACGGGCCATTTAGGCTGGAGTTGTGTGGTGCGTTGAGCCCATGGTCCACTTGTGACGACCACCGCGGCAGGTCAAAGTCGTTGTCCATAAGGACGGAGTTGGGTAACGTTCTGATTATTACTCCCAGTTTGTGACTTCATTGATCACTCTACTCCTTATACACGACTCTCAAGAGAAGCAACAATCCTCCTTTCAGCCAATACAGCCTCAGCTCCGCTGACATCTAACGACACGAATACCTGACTTTTCAGTCTTTTCGCTGCTTTTTGTTTGAAAAAAATGAGCGAGAGCAAACTGCTAAGAACGCACCCAGTCTGACGGCCATCGATAACGTTGCATCGTTGTCGGACGTACGAAACAACGCTGTTGCGCTGCTTTCACCGTTCTGTTCACTATTTAATAAATCTTCGTATTTGTGCTGTGTCATTGCTCACCACGGGTGGCATCGCTACTGCCCAGTCTTTGGCTAATCTCCCGGCTTCAATTGCGGTCGGCACCTCTTCTTCGCTCCCGCAGATCCCAGCCCAGAACATGTATGTGCCATCTAACACAGTCGTTTCAACGACGATTCCAGGCTGTATGCTGGACTGTCCTGGAAAGAATTGACGCCTCACGACGATGCTGTTACGGTGGCTCATGTGCCTGTTTGGTCGTGCGCCAAGTGATGAAACGCTGGCATCTCCAATGTATAGTTTCTACTGGTATGCCTGTTCACCCGTTCTGTCCCCATCCATCTTCCCCTTTCATCGGTAAACTTTATCTTTCACCCTAAGGCCCTCAATTCTACTTGACATTATACTTGTTACCGGAGGCACAATCAGAGCAGTTGACCAATCGCCTCTAAGGCTAAATAAACACACGAAATACCATCATTAATTTCCTCCGCCAGAAATCACAGAGTATCCATTCACAGATACTTCAACAGAATCTGTATCGCAAGCGCCGCCCGTCGCGATTCGCGATGATTTTTGCGTGGGGGAGTGACAACCCATGCACAGCCACCGACGTCAGCGATCGACCAGCATCGTACTTTGCAATCACAATCAACTTTGGTACTCGCAATATGTCTCAAACCTTACACTCTGCATCGCCGGTCAACGACGGTGAAGTCTACTGCCCTTTGCATCCTGAAAAAGCTATTCCGCTTAAAAGGAGTGGGCCCAGTGCAAAGAACCCAAACCGGTGTGTCAAGTTTCGGTGACCCAGGTCAATATCACCCGACTCGGATTTGACTTCGAGCCTAGGGATTTCTTCTCATGTAGGGTGGGCAATGGTAACACTGGCTGCTCGTTCTTCAGTAAGTCGGTATATGCGAATGGGTCTACTGCTCAGCATCTCATGTTCTGGACACCAGAATGGGCAGACGAGCTCCCCAATGGATCGCCAGTCTCCTCCCGTATTCAATCTCAGAGCTTTCTGACACCGCCTTCCACTCCGAGCAAACGATCTGCATCAGATCGAGACAGAGACAGTCCGAGCTCTTCACATAGCAAGTCATACACTCCGAGCAGTCCTGCGGCGATGAGACGACTGGAAGTGATACATGCGTACAAAAACAGTCCGCGTGCATCTGAGAGTACAGAATATCCCCGTTCTCAACCATCTCTGTCAAGTCCTCCGCAAGATATACCGCCTCACCTACCAAGTTGGAGTGAAGTGACGCCGCCTGCTTCTTCCGAGCGTCGTGGTACGAAACAGCGCATCGAACCGCTTCGATTGCCCCAGAGCCCCACTTCAAGTGTTCGGTTCTCGTCCTCAGCATCGAGGTATTTAGACAATGCCATTTATTGACATGATGTTGATACACATTTGCCCTTCGATTACAGCTCAGGACGCTCGGTGAACACTGTACAGGTACGTGATTGTATGCTGTCCTCGCAGCCGAGCTTGACTCTTGTCAAGAAAGGCTTCCAGTTCGATAACAGTCCTTTCCTGGTGCCTTCAGGGATCGCTCAGGCGGATGGTGAAGACGAGGACATCATTGCTGCTGAAATCGTGGATACTAGCCAGCGCGTTGCGGCACACATTCAGAATCTCCAGCGGAGACTGTCTGCTGCAGAACAGAGCAACAACGCCAAGGCTTTGCGACTGGCGGAATTGGACCAGGAATGCAAAGAGCGCGTTTTGCGATGTTTCTCACTTGTGGCACGATACCTAACATTTTTCGCCAGGTTGCGAGCGCGCAATGAAGATTTGGAGCGATTGGTACAGAGCTTGACCTGACATGTATGTATTGAAACCTTTTGATCGAACTCTCGACCGATGCGGAAATGAGCTGTGATATGTTCGACAATCATGCAAATGCCACACTTCTGATGGGACGTATGCGCTGAAATCTCAGCAGCCAATCGTGTTTCGGTCTTGGACGGTTGACTGCCCAGACTAATCGGTATTCTGTGGAGGGATCGCATCGGCTCTTCTTCGCTCTGTTTCAATTCGGACAATCCGCGGCAGGTATTTCTGGCCCGCGTCCCCAACAGAAGCAGTGGCACGTGTTGTGGTTCTGGCCCGATCGACCATCCGGCTCCCGACCAGTTGTCCTGTCTCTCTTTTGAGGGTTGAGGTGATCATATGTATCTTCGTTCTTGTCCTCAAGAGAAGCAGCCCCACATGTCCAGGTGCGGACTTCCGCAGCAGGCATCCCGGCAAACATCACCGCTTAACAGTGTGCTCGACGATTTGCGCTTGGGACGACATAAGCCGGACACCGGGTTTCGGAGAGCACATGCGATATGCTAAACGGGTCAAAAGTGGATTCATGACCCGGTACTCGGCAGAGTGCTAAACTTGGTCCAAACTGGCATGGTACGTGGTACATTGGAATGATGGTTCGAGATGATCAATGAATGGCTGAGTATCAGATAGATTAACGTCATGTGATGGATAGTCCGCATACATTGTCCGCAGCCAGTAACCAGCACGCATCTGGGCTGGTCCGAGTCTCAACAGAACACTTGCTTCCACCACTGGACAAAGCGTGTCCACCAGCCACCTTCCCAGCCGTCCGCACGCGCTAAAGAACTGACCCACATGTTGCCTGTTCCAAACTGAAGAATCTGGCCTTCGCGACCCTCCTCCAGATCCTTCGGGGCCTCTACTGCGGGGAACCGGGGAAGCGCTCGTCGTGTCAAGAAAGACGGGAACAACTTGACGAGATCGACCAGTTCCGGATTGGTCAAGTCGGGTGACGTCCATATCCGCAGAAACTCGTCTTCGTCCGTGTCATCGATGGCAGAAAGCAGTGGATCATCAACGCCACTGTCACTCACAAAAGGAGTATCCTCCCCATCGGTCGAAGTCGGGGTAACCAACAGCGCCGACGTGCCTGACGACGGCGAGGACGAGAGTGAGTGCGACATGGCTGGGGTATCGAGGAATGGATCACTGGGCGCCCGCGGGCGCTTGGGTATCGGTTGGTTGGGAGCTGGCGCCGTTTGGGAAAGGAGGGGCTGCGACTTTGATCGGGAGTGCACTGTACTAGAAACAGACGAAGAGAAGTTATTGGAGACACGTTTCGACGATGGTAATTCTGTGAATCCAAGGACTCCTTTCAAAACATCGATGGATTCGAGCATGAAATCCTTGCCGCTAAGAAAAGTGAGCTAAAGTCGTGATGCCACAGTCGGCGACGCACCCCGTTTCCCGCAAAACCGCATCATCAAATTCCCATTGAATCCTGTTCCTTCCGGCACCACCAATAGACTCGGGTACCACCTGAAGCCTCAGAATCGCCCACACTAAGCTTGAGATTAGATACCGATGGCATCATTTCTGAGCCAAGGTAACACGTACAGGAGCGGAAGAAAGGCTCAGGTCCCGGCATCCCCATAGTGCACCATGTCCGGATGAATCGCTCAAAGCGCTCGAACCGTTCTAAAAAGGGTGACAAGTCAAGTATAATATCATTAGCATTCTCGAACGATAAGACAAGAATCCAAGAAGGACGCACCCTTCCGAGCCACGTTGCCGTGAGGGTCAGCACGCGCATGGGGCATGAGGGATCCCCCCGGCTGCGTTGCCGCCAAATGGGCACGAAATTCAGCTGTTTTCCGTGCGTTCACGGAACGATGGTATGCAGAGCGGATCGAGGCTTGTAAGCGAGAATAAGGTGCACGCTGTGACGAAGGGAGGTTCGCAAGGGTTTGCGTCATCAGCCGACCGCAGGCCTCGTCCTGCGTGAAGTACCTGCATCCAAATGAGGCCGGATATCGTCTGTCTGGCAAGCGACGCCACGCACCAAGCACGGCAGTATTCTGCAAACTGATCCAGCTCTCCTCGAGCGACACCTATAGGCGTAGCGGACCTGTTTCGCACATTCGGAGAGGCCGCCGAGCGCCCATTGATTGGTGTCCTCGAGCGACCGAATGTAGGGGATGTTGGAGAAGTTAGACGGGCTTTGGGGGATCGCGGGCTCGTCGGTCGGGATCGGGGGCTGGTTGGAGGTGATGTGGTGTGGGCCTGAGGTAGATTGTACAGGAGGGGTTCAGGATGGTGGCTGGTACCGAGAATGGACGACGAAGAGTTGAATGACGATCTGTCCATGTTCAGTGGTGGTGGCCGAGCGCGCGGCGCTTCCAGCCGGAACGAGCCCGACATGGAGATAAAGACGAGGCGAAACGGGCGTTAATGTAGACAGCAATTGTGTCGAAGTTAGCGATGGTGTGTAAAAGTCAAAGGAAGTGAGTCGTGGTGTGCCGAAGAGTTCGTGTCGATAGAGATTGAAACAGCCTCGCAATGGGCCGACTTGGCCGAAGATATCGTGGTAAATAAGGCATAACACGCTGCCCGAGTGGCGGACAACCGCCTAGCTACCGACCTCGTCCAGTGTTTCGACTGCATGATTAGGCTCTCTTCTTTGTTGAGGCTCTGGATTGATACAGTTAGTACACACCTCGTTGAATTTTTGCCTTCACATTTGGAAGTGACACGAAAAATTTAAATGTCCATTCTGGCCGTAGGGACTGTGTGACACGGAACACGTCTTGGCGGCTTGTGGGTCCTTGTACTAGGTGCATCTCACCGTTGGGCCGCTATTGTAAGGTTATCTGCGGACTACGTATATTAAATCTTTCCAGCAGGCGGCAGCAGTGATGCATCAAGAGCAGCCAACATCCACGCACGACCTGTCACATCACATGCCTGTCACGGACGCGTTGTACTCAGACTGGACTCTGATCGTTTTTGCGAATGCGGACAAGCACGGCCGAGGCTGAGTCAGACACAAAGTATTGTTCACTCGATCGGCAGCTCCACATATGTGGGGGAAGCGACTGGAGCGAAGAACATGGGTGACAACCGCGCTAATTCGACAACGACGACATGCGCAGTTTGATGCATCAGCGTTCCACCAGCGATTCAATTCTGAATGCGCCAGCCAGCTTACGAGAGCGGGCTGAAAGCGATCGGAAGATGCTTCCACGTCCAGCATCAGCACTGATATGACAAGCAGAGGTTGTGGGCTTCTGGAACATTCACGCCAGTGTTTTGATAGCACTTGCCTTGTGACCCCGCGAGGCTCTGTCGAATCGAGTCTTGTTCCTGACCGGTGTGCCGGTACTGAGGTTAGCAGGAGTGCTCGCATTGGAGTAGCAGAGAGTAAACAACGGAGTGGAACGGCAGAGAGTTTCCGGGCAAGTGGCTGGCTCTCGATTTGTAATATAGCGGCTGCCGGGCAGATGGTGCCTATCAACCTGGGCCCGGCGTTACATAACCGTCCGCCCGAGAGACTCACATAATCCACTGTAGCCCCAAGACTTGGAGAGGACGACCTAGGGGAGGGGTCATTGCACCCCGACCACGTTGACGTCCTCAGTCATGCCACGGACCAGAAAAACATGGAGATAGTCTGGTTTCCAGGGACGCCGAACCGAGGGGATAATAACCCCATGTCTCATCAGCGATCGCCAAGAACGAGATCTGTGCGGCATCTGCCGCCTAGATGTCCTGCCGTAGAGATTGGACAAAGATGCGATCTAAGTCCGCTGAGCTACGGCAACGCGGCGAACTGGCTGTCCACAAGGGACTGGACGAGCAGAGAATAGAACGCAGCCAGTGATAGGCTGCAGTCGTGAGACTCCGATGACCAGAACAAGAAAAGGGCTGCAAAGGGTTCCGTCAAGAACAAACCCGGCGGCTACAAACCAATGTCTTCCGGAATGCCGCGGTTCTGTCAAGATCTGACGATGCCGGTCCCAGTTCTGTTATAAAAGAGGAAGCACGTCTCAACCAAAACCTGAAGCAATCATTCGTCGGGACTTATTCACGACGTGCATGGAGAATTGAAGCGCAGCCAACCAAGACAGGTGAGCATTCCAGTCCAGAAGCCGTAATGACCCAATTGAATGTTGTTTATTTGGCTTCTATTCTGCTATTTTATTTCCATTTGATGTTATAAGTACTCTTGCAGATGAACTCCGCCCCGTCATCCCGCGCCTCCAACGACCTCAACCGTTGGGATCTTGCGGACATCCTCAATCCCTCATCCGCCAATCCGCGTATCGATACCACGCGTGACCGCAAAATGTCCCTCGACTTCCCCCACTCCCAACATGGCAATGGCATGTATGAGCAAGTCGACACTGACCAGGGATTTAACACCAGTCCAGACGGCTCTCACCATCACCATGGCTTTGACGGCTCAGCCGAAGGTCTGACGATCCTCGCTCAGATGTTCTTCTGCTCATGATACACACCAGGGCACACCTTTGGGTCCGGATACCGCACAAACGGCTCCTCGTCGTCCTCGTTGGGCCCGCGATTCGGCGGCCTCGGCTCCGACAGCATATATCCTCCACCCAGCTTTGCTGACTCGCCATACACCTCGAACGGTCACTCTTACACCGACATGGGCTCGTACAACGGCAGCAAGATGTCGCCTTTGACACCGACTGACCCAGGCGGCCTGCACCACTCCGCTCCCTTTGCAACCAAGGACTTCCACAACTCAAACTATCCTGATTTGAGCGGTCCTGATCGGCGTTTATCGAATGTAGGGCCGGGACACTTCTCGACCGAGTTTGGGGACGACTACCCCGCACCGTTCAGTTCTTCCCATTTCCCAGGGCCTGAACGTATGGCCCACCGCTTCCCTCCCCCGGACAACCGCTTCCCCCACAGCCATGGGTCCGACCTGATGCGCGGGGTTGCTCCGAACGCGACGCACTCCGGCGGGGGCTTCAGGCACGACTCGACATTCGAAGAGATGCCCCATTACATGTCTGGATCGGACATGGGGGGTCCACGTGTCTCTACTACCGTGGATGACACGCTCAGGCAGATGCATTTGCAGCCGCGGTCGGCCGGGTCGTCGAGCGACCTGCACAGCCTCGTCCGGTGCGTCAGGAATGTGGTTGTGGTCTTTTTCTTTATGTTAACATGACAATGACGACAGTCCTTTCCTTGAGCAATACGTCCGGACAACCAATCGGCTGGCTTTCGGGGAGCGCACAGTGATTGTTATGTCCAGCAAAGTGGCCCAGAAATCATACGGCACGGAAAAACGGTGCGCGCAAATCAATGCATTGCTGGTCTCGGAGACTGAGCATAGTGCACAGCTTTCTTTGTCCGCCGCCTACCGCCATCATGATCGGGAATTCATGGTGGTCTGAAACGTCCCGTCGCGGGGAAGAGGGGAAACTGTGTCCACCGCGCGTGGTTATTTCCATATCGGGTGAACCAGTTCCTCAAGAAGGCTCAATCGAATGGACGGGCTCGTCTGGTAAAACATTTGATCCCAACGAACCCCCTTCAGGAACCACCTTCTCCGGCCGATGTGTCGGCAAACAGCTGTTCATCTCAGATGTCGACGAAAAGAAAAAGAAAGTCGAGGCTCTGGTCCAAATCACAGCCCCGGCAACCGACGACGAGCCAGATCGCATCATCGGCACATTTCCCAGTCGCCCGATCAAAGTGATCAGCAAGCCCAGCAAGAAGCGTCAGAGCGCGAAAAATCTTGAGCGTGAGTTTGTCGTCGCTATTTCAAGGGCCAGACCTTATCCCACGCAGTGTGCATCAATCACGGCTCGACGATCTCACTGTTCCATCGTCTGCGCTCGCAAACGGTGTCCACCAAGTACCTCTGTGTGTCCGGGTCCAGCTCCTCGTTCAAGGGCTCAGATGGGGCCCCGCTCGCGGGTCTGGACCAACGTAGTCGGCCAGCGACGCCGTCTTTCATCGCCAGGACCGCCAGCTGGGATCCGTTTGTGATGTACATTGTCGACGTCAACAAGCCGTCGGGTGGGATCGACTCGACGCCCCCACCGCCGATCCAGCCGGACTATCCATCCCCTCCTCCCAATGCCATTCCCTTCACTGCAAATGGGTCGCAGATCCCGATCTACTACAACCAGACTGTTGTGCTCCAGTGTCTGACCTCTGGCGTGGTCAGCCCCGTCCTGATCATCCGCAAGGTCGACCATCAGACGACGGTGGTCGGCGGAGGACTGCAGGATGGCGCGAAGGGTGTGGCCGACCACTACTGCGCTCCTGCCGAAGTCTGCGGGGACCCTGTGTCCCAGCTGCATAAAATTGCCTTCGAGGTGTACGACAGTGCACGTGCGCTCCCAGATCCGGGAACCCCCGGGCATCGGGAGCGTTCTTGTCCTGCATGGGCGAAAAAGTGAACACGTATCGTCCGATGGACGGTCGCCAATGGGTCGGGGCAATGAATACTGGCACCGGATCGCCGACGCTGCCTGGGTCCCCCATCGGGGCCAGCGGGAGCAGTTATTTCCAGGCCGGTGGTAGTGAGCCGACGTCACCTTCTGCTTCACCCGATTTCCTGTCGAATGATGGAGGACGCGTGAAGAAAAAGCGAGGCTCGACAAGTGCTGGTGGTGTCACGAAGACGACTGCCAAAGGCCGCCGTCGTCCCAGCTCGGCTGGATCGGTCAGCTCGCGGCGGGGGTCGTCGAGCGACTCGGGTGTCTCGTCCGGTGCTCTCTGGCAAGTGGACATTGGGGAGACCAGTGTGTGGACGATTGTGGGCACTGGTAGGCTCTTTCACGTTGGATTTATTCTTCTTGCTCTTCTAACAGCTCGTGCAGATCAAGTCAGATACAATTTCTATGTGCCCCCGGTTCTTCCTGACGGCCAGGCCATGAAACCGCTCACACCGTTCCCTTCTCTTGTCAAGTATCTCCCACCAGATCGTGCTGCCGAGGCTCCGAAGCACCACTCGGCCGGTCGCTCGGTTCTCACGAAGCCGAATCCGCATGCGGCGAAGATGCTGACGGTTTACGGAGAGAACTTTTCCAAGACTGACCCCGTGTCCGTATTCTTTGGGGCGGATCCGTCGTCATATGTCGAGGTCCGATGCAACGAAGTGCTCGGCTGCTTGCCACCCGACACTCCGTCCCAGAAACGCCGGCCGCTCATCCTTGTCCGCTCAGACGGAGTCGTGTTCCCCTCAAATGTGTACTATCCCTGATGTGTGAATCTGTTCCTCGTTGTGCCTGCTCGTCTCTGCTGTCCGATCTATCGCATTTACCTTGTTATCTTACTGTACGCTATCTGGAGGAGGATCCTAGACTGTATTTTTGTACCGCTTCCCGTGTATATTAGATGCTTCATGATTGTTCTACTTACTCTATATATACTTTGGGCACGTGTTTTCCTCCAGTCACTGTCAGGTTATTTCGATCTGAACTCGACCAAGATGTGGTCTTCCCTCTCTTCAACACCTGGGATGGCTCGACAGCTCTACATTGACCATCTATGGAACTGGACACCCGGGACCTGGGTCTCGCGGATAGCATACACGTCCCGCGTCTTGGCTTTTCTCCTCCTACTGCCTATCCTCGTTCTCACTCTGTTGGTACGCGAGATATCCCCCGCGCCGCTATCTCTCCTGATATCCTGCATGTTCAGGATATTGCGTCGTACGCGATTGCGCGCACACTAGGTGTGATAGACGACGTGAAGGCATCGACCAGCGACAAGGAAACCATCCAACAGACCGACCTTCCGCTCGTCCAAGTCGCAGAACCCGTTTCTCCACCCTCCGAGCCTCTATCTCCGTCCCCGAACTCCTCGAGCTCTGAGGAGAAGACGGGTGACGAGAGTGCGAACGAGACGAGAGAGTCCCTCGATGGGTTAGGCTTGAGCATCCCGTCGCTTCCGCATGCGTACTTTACGTCGGAGGATCACAGCCTGCGGCTATCCGGTGTCGGCCTCTTCTCCCCTGCCGCATCACGACCGCCGTCCCCAACGATTTCACGGAAGACGTTACCGGCCGAGAAGTGGACGGCGGACGAGGGAAGCGTGCTCCTCAGGAAGAGAAACGCGATCGGGGACGCCCGTTAAAGTGAATTTACAACGTCTGTATTCTCGACTTATATACTGTATTATTGATACATGCTCTAAAAACCAAAACGAAGCTGGTCTCTCGTGAAGACGGGCGGTTTCCATTTGAGACATTCTGGGTTTATCCTCCTCCTGCGTTTGGTGCGCGCCTTCTCGTAACGCTCTATCACAGCGTTGTTCAGGCAGATGATGTGGGACCCCTTGAAGTGGCGGAAGAGGCCCAGGGTGGCGCATCTGGAGGGTTAGGTTAGCGGTCTGAATCTTAGGTCGAGAAAGACTCACGTGTTGGTAACATCGGCATGGGTTATTGAAGTCCTCTGGGCGATGTCGTCTATGCTCATCTCCGTCTCACCATCACCCATGCCCATCAGCAGTTCGAGGATGGTGTCTGCCCAGTATGATCTGTAGCTCAGCAGGCCGAGATCACTGAGCGGTTTCTCTGGACTTCCCAGCTTGCCCTCCTTCTTGCTCAGTTCATACGAGAACTCGATCAGCAGCTTGCCGTAGCCATATCGCTGGTGTTGAGGCAGAGTGAGAATACAAGCGACGTTGTAGTTCTCCGCACATTCCTTCTCTTTGGAAAAGTACCCAATCACATGGCATCCGGTCGAATCTCGTTGCACCTGTCAACGGTAATGAGTGGCACGGTCGCTCAGCGAAAGAAGGCACAAACCATGACATAGTACATAAATGGTGTTACATCGTAATACAGCGTTTTACTGAATGCGAGGTCAGCTGGGAAGAGCAGCTGGCAGAAAGAGCACTCACTGGTCAAGAAAACATTTACATAGTAAGCTCAGATTTCTGCACCAAGTCAGCTGGCGCTTTCCGTCGATTTCGAAAAAAGAAATGTCGTCGCAGCGGTAGATTTCATTGCCCGGAGGATGCAACATGTTACATCGCAAGCGGTGTCGTGAAAGCATCATGGGAGAGGGAAAGAAAGACAGGCAAAATTCGCAAATATACAGGATGGGGAGGTGGGCGTATTCTTGGGGGTACGGGGAGAAATACCAAGCGTCGACTTCGTGCTTTCCAATCTGAATGCGATTCAGATTCTTAACGCGCGCGATTTCCGAAACCGACTGCGTCATCGAGCCCGAGGTGCGAAGTTTCTCGATCTCCTGCTCCTTGCTGAAGGTGTCGGGCGCGGTCTGCTCCTCTATTGCAGCTGGCTGGGCCAGGCTTAGATCGAAAGTCTCGCCCTCTCCATCAACGTCCATCTCCCCCTCTGCATCTGCATCCTCGTCGGCTGGTTCCTCTTCCTCCTCTTCCTCCTGTTCGTCGTGTGGCACTTTGCGTTTCAAAGAGGAAGGTCCTGGTGAGGGAGAGGCAGGAGAGAACACGGATATCGAAGGGCTTGGACTGGCAGCAGGGGAGGCAGCAAAGGCTGCGTTGGACGTGGCCTTCTTTAGCAGGTTCTGCGCGCGTGGAACCTTGCCAGGCGCCTTCTTGGTTGCGGGAGCTTTCTTGACCGGTGGTGCTTTGGGCCGTGGCCACTCCAGATCCCGACTCAGAATCAACCGCGACCCTGTAACCCACTCATCCAGACGCTTGTTGAACGTGTCCCAGTGCACGAAGAATTCCCATTTATCTGCAGGGTGGGTGTCCTCCTGTTTGACGACTTTGTAACGAGATGACGCGCTGGACTTGTCGCGGATGGACAGGACTTCGGCTAAGCGTTCCTCCGTCTCTCCATCCGAGCCCGGACGGTAATGAATATCTTGCAACCGACACTGACGGTCTGCGGTCGAATGAAAAAGCGTATACCATTCACAAAGATCGAATGCTTACTTGGATGGTGTATGTGCCACCTGCTGTAATGGGGGGTGGACCCAGATGCACGTCGTCGCTCGTACTAGAAGGGGACATGAGAGCTGGGGACGGGACGCAATGGGCTTTGTCGTCGCGGCCGTCCTTGACTCAGACTGCGAACCCTAACCCCTGTGTGTTTCTCAGAGATCACGGGACGTTGACTGGAATGGGACCAAGACTGGTGAACTTCCGTGTAGGGATCCAACAAACAACTTAGAAAGATCCAGATGATAAGCACTGTATAAGATTGCGCCTTTGGATATAAGTAGATAGAGGCAGGCGATAGATGTGACCGTAATGGGTGATAGCAGACAGGATACATGGATTTCAAAGCACGATAACAATGTGAAGGGTAAATTAAGGTCTAAACCCAATCGAATTCACTAGGATGCTGTTAGAGAAAGAAGCCCCGCTACGTGAGAGAGAGCCCACCCAGTACATCTTGAGAATAGATAGTCCTTTCCATTGGCATGGATCATTCCATCTTTCAGAATGCACTTCCATTTGCTTTTGACACGGGCAACCTGACCTCAGAAGTTAAACCTCCGTGTACGAAACGAGGGTCGCGTGCTTGCTCACCTTGTCATAAGTACAGAACACGATATCCGCATTAGCTCCGGAGGCTTCTTCCAAGTCTTCGTCCTCGGTGTCTGAATCGTCGAGATCGCTATTGATCGCTTCGGAGTCAACAGGTGCTGATGTCGACGCAACAGGCAGGGGTTGAGGCAACGAGGGATGCAATGTCCGGGGAGCATAAGCTGTAGGAGGCGGTGTCGATGAATCCTCAGAGTCATCCGAAGGGCCGTCTACTTGAGGGACACTGGGTGGCCGATTGGATGTTGGGGGTCCAGGGGGAAACGATAGAATACTGGTCTGCCCGAGAGGATTGGGGCGACCAGTAGTCCCAATGCTAAGTTGAGGCCCTGGAAGGAGCGGTAGAGTGTACTGTGCGCGTGGTTCAAGATGTGCCGAGAGTCAACAGGTTCAGATTTGACTGGAGAAGTCGAGCTACTGCTCTGGGGAAGGGCAGATGGAGGCGGCGGGGCATAGGCAGAGTGAGGCAGATAGGGGGCCGCCATCTGATGGTGGGGATGTGGAGGATATTGCGTAGCTGGAGGAGCGGCTGGTGCCACGGGTTCAAAGTCAGCTACTCTCGAGGCAATAACTTTGTCTTCCCATTTCTAGAGCAAGAACCGTTGCAACCAGTGCGAAATAAGAGTGGAATTGCTCACATGCTGTAATTCAGCCAGGACGTCCTCCGGGACGCCGTACTCCTCGAACTCGGGTCGAATGGAGGCAATGACCTCGTCGATGACTGCGCGGTAAATGGAGGGCTCAAGAACGAGATGTTACCCTGATAGAATACTTTCGGGATACGTTGCTGCTAAGCTCACCACTATCTTGTTCGACATTACTGTATTACAACCGACGGTGGATTCAGACTGTGTACCGTGGTGAGGGTGGAGATCAGGAGGTGAGGCCTTTTATACTAAGCTGACCAACAGGTGAGGCCCGGTCTAGGCCATCAACCTTTACCGGGCTGTGCCGGGCATATTCGGCCCGCTCAAGCAACCTTCCACAACAACTGACAGGATCTTCCCGATCAACGCTTTCCGATAAGCCAATGCTTGAGGTGGACTCGTGGAAGGTGGAGTGCATGAAGTGACGTCATGACCATTGCTCTATAAATTCGTCATATTGGAGGGATCTCCAATTCTCCAAACCCAAGCCTTTTCACACACAGTCCGAATGTACGCGCACAACTTTGACGCAAGCGACGGTCGTTCTTACCCGTTTTAGCGATGCCCCTATTCAAGTCGCATCCCGCGGGACCTGACCCGGTGGTTGCCGCCGCAGTTTCACACCCACCGCGCAAGGGCGGAGGATTTTTCTCTCGACAGCGTTCTCCAACCCCGGAGCCTATCGCACACCAACCAGCGCCCTCCCGAGGCTTCTTCGCGCGTCGACGTTCTTCGGAAGACTCGAGCTTGGGAGGACGCAGCTCAGGCAGCGATCACTTGGCTCGCACCGCTAGTTTGCGCACTTCAAATAGCCGGGCTACTGGACGGAAGCCGTTTGACGTCCACAAAGACCCCACGATCATAGCTGCGAAGGAAAAGGTTGTAACAGCAGAGAAAGCAGAGGCTGCTGCCGACGCAGCCCTCAATCAGGCACGCGCCATGGTCCGCGAAGCCAAAGACCATGTCCGATTCCTCGAGAGGGAGGCAGCAGAGGAGTAAGCGCAGTTTTCGGAGCGAGTCGAGCGTTTCCTGATCGGTTTTCAGACAAAAGCGGGCGAGAGCCAAACAGGCGATAGCGAACGACGTCAGCAAGAGTGCGCGTGGTCTTGGCCGCCACGGGCCGTAACTACTACACAGTACTTATATACCCTTCCCTATGGTTGTAGATATCGATGTAATTGCGTGCTTCTCAAGGTTTGACAAAGAGATCCGTGAACTTGTCGACAGGCATTTTGGAGAACGAGTCAGCGTTCGACACCGTTTCCAAGATTCTGGTTGCTTGGGTCAAACATGGGATGAGTTTTCAAGAGAAGTGAACGAACTTGGCTTGATGTGCCTCGTCAAAGTGGTGCGAGATGTGGCTACGGTTGTGTGAATGACCGTCACCGAACCAACAAGAACACATACCGCTGGAACTTGTTCATCAACAGAGGTGTTCCCTCTTCCCGTCGTCTCTTGTGGCCGACGGGATATTCGACTGCAACCTCTTCCAAGGTGGTTCCGTCATTCAACTCGATCAACAACGCGTTACCGATCGAACGCATGGCCGGCTCGTGGTATTCGACGCTGAATCGCTTATCTTCGACGCAGTATATCTTGGCCCGGAGAGCATCAATCCGAGGGTCAGCGGCCGAGGCATCAGTGCTGAAATCAAGTGAGCGGATAGTCAGTCATGACAAGTGCCAACACTTACTAGCTCTCGGAGGTCAGTTCGCCAAAGATAAGCGGGTAGGCAACCATGTAACTAATGGCGTGGCTATTCAAATACAGTCAATTTGAGCAGCAAGATGCATCAACGATGAAACGCACTCCCGGTCCGCAAAGTTGTCCAGCGGTCCCTGCTTGTCAATGATCCGGATGGCGGCTTCCTGAGTGCGGATGCGAACGCTCTTGATATCTTCAGCGGTCTTTCCGAGGGCCTTGAGCTTCTTGTGGAGAATGTGGGCAGCCTCAACAGCGGTCTGAGCGTGGAATTCTGCCGGATACGAGATCTTGAACAGGACGTTTTCCATAATGTATGAGCCATAAGGGATCTGGAACTCGAATGGCTTGCCCTACAGCGAGGGGTCAGCGGAAACACCACACGATAACCTCTCGTGCCGACCTTGAAGAGAACGTCGTAGAAACCCCAGGTCTTGGCAGTGAGCACCGACGGGAGACCTTTTTCGCCTTTTTTCACCAGCAATGCGAGATTGACAGCCCGGGAGCAAGCGTCACCCGCAGCCCAAGACTTGCGAGGACCAGTATTGGGAGCATGGCGGTAAGTACGAAGCGATTGACCATCGACCCAGGCCTGGGACACGGCATCGATCGTTTGATCCCGGCTAAGACCGAGAAGCTTGGAAACAACGGCTGTGGACGCGACTTTGACCAGGACGACGTGATCCAAACCAACGCGATTGAATGAGTTGAGCAGCGCCAAAGATCCCTGGATTTCGTGCGCCTTGATCATGCCTTCCAAGATGTCGTGCACGGTCAAGCGTTGGCCTTGTCGCGCGAGATGATCAGCGACAGCGAGAATGGACCCCAGGTTGTCAGAGGGGTGACCCCCTGTGAGAGCATGAGCTAACGCTTTCATTTGAACAACAGATAAATTCTCACATTCAGCAGCAAGGAAACAGTCGTTGAAGTCGAGCCAACGAATGATAGTGCCAATGTTGAACGCGCCACGAATAGGATCCAATTGGTAGTTCGTTCCCGGAACCTTGGTGCCTGCGCCAGCTGTAAGATATTTGGAGCAAGTAAAAACGGGAAAATCACACCATTTGGAACGACCGTGCCCTCGACAACCGGTCCCAACAACTTGGTGCACTCTGGGAACCGCAAACCCTCCAATCCACAGCCAATGGTATCGATTAGGCAAAGCCGAGCTGTCTCAAACGCGAGGGGCGAGTCTATTTTATGGCCATGCACATAGTCTGCAATATCTTGCAGGACTTTGTCAGGCTCTGGCCGCAAAGTGGATTCGCCAGCGTGATGCGACATGAGTCGGAGGGTGGTGTGGGGGAACAGGCCCTTCTGTTGCACAGGTGCACGCACGCGCTGGAAAGAAGATGCCCTGAGCGCTCTTAAAAAAAGCATTACAGGGAGTGGTAGGACCAAAGCAAGGTTCGGTTCGGTCGGGTCAGAAGCCGCACCGAGCACGGGTTGATCAGCTGCCATCGTATTCACATGCCGCTGAAGGCACTGAGTACATAAAGTTGGACTTCTTTTCGATCTGGTGCTGCTGCATGTGCAGTGTGCCGTGAGAGCCTGGATCCCGAAAGCGTTTCCTTTGCTTCGTAGAGTACCTGACGATGGATTCGAGATACTTGTTATTGGGCTGAAATCACGCCTGATTCAAGAGATGTCACCGATTGCTCATTGCAATAGTTCCATAAATTCACTGATTATATTCCTACGATTCGTAGTTTCGAGAATACATGGATGATCCCGTCGTGGACTTGAATGAACGTTGCTGAGGTCTGCTGAGGTAGGTCGAATGACAGATGTGGGGCTCCAGACTCCACGATCCCACCCCGAGGCTGTCAAGGGCTGTCATCAGCTGCTTGATGATCAAGATTTTCCATCAACGCATCACGTATAAGACACGGCCCGGATGCACGTCACCGCCTGTGGGATTAGTCATCATCATCAAGACTTGTCCAGTACTCACTCTTTCGCTCTCTACTGTTCAATTGCAGAAGAATGACCTCGGAAAGCGCCTCGCCCGAATCACAGTCACCGCAGAGCAACGTTCACCTCAAGAAGCGCCGGCTTCAAAAGTCTTGCGACTCGTGTCGGAAACGAAAGAGTAAGCTTTGACCTTCGCCGATCACTGATTCGGTTGACGCTGTTCTAGTTAGATGTAGGTTAAATGCTCATTCATTCGGTTCTGAAAACCGATATATCTGCACAGGCGATAGTGCCAACATCCCGGATGGAAAGTGCACCAACTGCACTGCATTCAACACTCAATGTACTCATACGGAGACGAATCGCAAACGCGGGCCGAAGAACAAGTGCGAAATATCGATTGCATTCACAACCCATCTGACAAGCAGCAGGCATGTCGAAGAACTGAAACAGCAACTCTCAGCATTAGAGGCCAGACTGCGCAGTGTGTGTATCCTTTCGTCTCTAAGTTTATCGACATGAATTTTTCTAGGTTCATCCCGAGGGGACGCCCGACTCCAGCACTTCCGTCCTCAAGTACCCAACAATACCACCTGATGCTTCTCCCGAGCCCGGACCACCGCTTCCGGAAGATGATCTGTCCCATGACGAGATATCTGAACGATTTCGACAGTTCTCGTTGGGAGGCCTAAAGCACAGATTTTTTGGGTCGTCGAGCGGATTCAATCTGGTCAAGAATGTCATTGATATCAAGGAGGGCATCTCGGGGAGCCGATCGACCACAAGATTCAGGCGGCCCGAGTTCTGGATGATACGACCGGTTTGTTTTGCTTCGATCGAACACTGATAGTAGTGTGCTAAACGGCTGTATCTGAAGTGGGAAATTCCGAAGGACGAAGAAGTCCAGTACAAGTATCCTGCCCCCGATTTGCAGGCGCACTTGCTGCAACTCTATTTCACCCACATCCACCCGGTTTTTCCGGTACTTCATCAACCTACTTTCGAGCGCTCCGTAGCACAAGGCTTGCACTATGAAGACTTCCGCTTCGGGGCTATACTACTGGCTGTCTGTGCCGTAGCTTCACGAGTGAGTCGATCCGTGGACATATGTGGGGCGTCATTGACATGTCTAGTACTCCGACGATCCCCGTGTTCTGGTTCCTGGGTACGACTCGCTCATCTCCGCGGGCTGGATCTTTTTTGAGCAAGTTCAACTCATCCGCAAGTCGCTCTTTGATGAGCCGTCGCTCTACGAGGTGCAGCTTTATTGTGTGAGCGCACATCCTCCATCTCAGTTCTCTGAGCTATAACATGTCAACAGCTAGGAACTCTCTTCTCGCTCGGGACATCGTCTCCGCAGGCATCCTGGTTGTATCTCGGTCTTGGTGTTCGATTTTTGCAAGAAAGAGGCGAACATCGACGCAGACGGGATAATAAGCGACCTATTGCAGAATCCGAGTCGTGGAAGCGAGCATTCTGGTGTGTCTCCTATCCCGAAGACGATATCCGAGTCTTATATGCAGGTGTCTGCTCTTCCTGGACCGGACTGTTTGCAGTTTCCTAGGCAGGCCAACCGCTATTCATGTTGAGGAGTGAGTGGTTTATATTTTCTCCTCACAAACCGTCCCAACGAAAGCAGTTATGACGTAGAACTGCCTTTGGAAGTCGACGACGAGTATTGGGAATCTGAAGTTACCGACAAATCCCAAGCATGGAAGCAGCCAGAGGGGAAACCATCGAAGATGACTTACTTCTCTTGCTTAATCCGGCTGTGCGAGATTCTTGGCTCGACACTTCGACGGCTCTACGCGTCGAAGAAGTCTCGAATATTGATGGGTCTCACTACTTCAGACTGGGAGCAGCGCGCGGTCTCCGAACTGGACTCGGCGCTAAATCTATTTCTTGGCTCTTTGCCCGACCATTGTGCGTTCTCCGTCATTTCCTATGTGTGTTTCCTGATCGATTTTAGTACGATGGGATGCGTTTGGGTCTGGCGTCTTTTTTGACCAGTCCACCATTCTCTACGTCTTGTATCATCAAATTCAGATCACAGTATGGTCTTGATCCTCTCCAGAAATAACCTACTCATGATTTCACAGATACATAGGCCATATATAAACAAACCCACGGTGCTGGCCTTCCCCTCTTTGGCAATCTGCACAAGCGCAGCTCGATCCTGCATTCATGTGGCTGATGTCTGGGTCTCTAAACAACGAAAAATAGCATTGTCCATCGTTACAGGCGGGGTGTTTGTCTCAGCTGTGCTACTACTCCTGAACATGTTTGCTGTGAAGCGATCAGGGATGGTTTGTCATCCCATTTTATCTTGGAGAAGAGGATCAGCTCAACCTTATTTCTAGCCGATCGATGTCGGCAAAGAGCTAGCACATGTCCATACGGCAATGGCATTTCTGAAATTCCACGAAAGAAGGTCGGTGTCGTGCGACTGGGCGTCGTTCCATTCTGATGATGACTAGGTGGCAGTCTTGCGGACGACTCTGGGAAATGCTGCAAGAGCTCCAGACTCGTCCCACCAACGGGCCAAGTCGCACTACACCCGGAAATCAATCTGAGACTTCGGGATCTCTCGCTAATCCGGTCTCTCCGGCTGAACCAGCCAGTGCTTCCCCGGAGTCTCAATCAGAGCAAGCTCACCGTCGGTCGATCGTCGCAGACATGTGCCCTACGACCAGAGCGATGATGGAACAGGCTGCAGAACGCAAATGCATCGAGGAAGCTGGAATGTCCATCTTCGCTCAGGAATCCGCCAACGTCGGCTCCGTCGTATTGGAAGGATACTCACCGCCGCAATCAAACGCCATACCCCACCCTCCGACGTCGCATTATTGGGCTGATGTGTATGGGGAACCCGGGGCAATGCCAGCTCAGCCATCGGCATCTGATCTGCCGATGGATCAGCTCTACACTTTGGTCGACGAGCCTTACAATACACATCATCAGTGGCCCAATTCGGTTCCGGCGAATATGCTGCTCGACGAGAACTTCTTGTCCATGTGGTCTGGCGCTCCCACCGACTTTGGGTCAGAGTTTGCTCTACATGAGACGGGAACGGGTGTTGACACTATCCAGGAATATCCAAGAATGGAACACATACATCGAGAACAGGACAGACACCTTTGGACCTAACATCCCCTGGCCCATTGATAATACAAACATGGCTTAGTTTACATCGCATCGCACATATCGCTCATGTACAATATACAACAAACATATCACATACATCATACACGGAGGATCAGACCTCTTCCAAATACCCCTGCACAATCAAATGTTCAATATCTGAACGCCTCACCATGAATCGATGTCCCATCCTGAAATCGATGGTCCCCGACTCCGTTTGGATCACCCCACAATCGCGGACAACACGCACGAGAACGTGCAGGTCCTTCGGTGGCTGAGTGATACTCGCGGTGATATCCAGCTCGTCGGAGAACTCAGCGCGGAAAGTCATCACGGACGCATGGTACGAACGCAGGTAGTCAACTTCGTGCGGAGACAGTTTGGAGCGGATTGACGTCGCCTCCGCGGATAAGAGGGGCGGGAGGGACGCGCCGAGGGACCAGTACAGGGAACAGAGAAACGTCGTCCTGTGGTGATGGTATGCCAGGAGGCACCTCTTATTGCGCGCGATGGCGGTTTGGATGATGATGAGAGCGGGGGGCGGGGCCCCGGTCGCGTCTGCGTTCGCGACCATCAGGGCCACGGCCGCTTTTTCGAGATCGCGCTGCTCGCGGATGATCGAGCGCACGAGAGGGTCGTTGTACTTGAGCAGGGTATCGGTCTGTGTCGAGCGGCGGGATTCCATGACGAGCTGGGTCGCGAGGTCGCCATATTGGCGCGTTTCGCTCATGATGGCTCTGTGCGCGGAGAGACGCGTTGTTGAGTCGTGTTTGCCAGTTACGCATGACGACATAACAGCACTTGGAACTCGCGATGAGCGTGGCGTTGGACGCTTGCATTATTCTGACTTCGTGGACATACGTTGTACTCGCACCCTATACCAAAGTCGAGGAAAGCTTCAATCTTCATGCAGTCCACGATCACCTCATGTACGGCGTTGGGCCAAGCAGTCTACCCAATGTTCGTTGATCGTACCTGCGTTTCCTTCGCTCGCAACCGACTCTCAAACCTACCCGAGTAGTATGACCACTACACGTTTCCCGGTGCTGTCCCGCGCACATTCATTGGAAGTGTTCTGTTGGCGTGGATGTCCCAACCCGTAATCCACCTCCTGAACCGCTTTGGCATCATAACATCCAAGTTCGACATGCAGATCATCGGTCCGTTGCTTTGCTGGTTCATCGAGGTCAACCTGACTTCGTACAACCCCAGTTCGACTCGTTCTTGCTACACTCAATGCCATTGGGCTGTGTCTCATCCGACGCGGCGTATCACGTCGATTTGGACGTCCGACGGCCTCTTCTACACGATCGTCACTTGCTCGCAATTCCATCTACCCTTCTGGATGGGCAGAACTCTTCCCAACATGTTCGCGCTCTTTCCGGGTGCGGCCTGTCCTCTGCTGTGCCGGGCACGAGCTCAATCTACTTGTTACAGTCAATGTCGCGGTTTACTTGCTGGTCGATCGAGCCCCCAACGCCAACAAACCTTCCCAGACAAGCGTCGGCGCGTCCATCGCTTTGACCGTGTTCGCGGCCGTGGTATTCCGGGCCGAACTGGCCGTGTTGGGTGCAGCTTTGGCGTTGCAAGCGGTGTTTCTAGGTTATATGTCGTTTCGACGCGTATTTTTGGTTGGCTTGCTTTCTTCTGCGATCTCGATCGGTGATTTCTATTTTCTGGGACGAACGCGGATCGCGTTAACTAATTCGTTCGCAGGATGCACAGTCGGTGTCGATTCATATTTCTGGGGACAGCCTTGGCTGTGGCCTGAATGGCAGAGCATCTATTTCAATGTCGTCGAAGGGAAGAGCGAGGAATGGGGTGTAAGTCACTTTGACTTTTGCTTCTTTCGTCTTCTGACAAGAATTCCAGACATCCCCGGCTCATGCCTATCTAACCAGCCATCTTCCGAAACTGCTGTTGACCGCATTGCCTCTCTCGGTGTTCTCGGCATTCTCCTCTTCACCGAAGCGGCTGCTGCCACTAATATTTCCAAGTGTTGTCCTCGTTGGAGCGATGAGTGCGCTGGGCCACAAGGAATGGCGCTTTGTTGTGTACGCTGTTCCCGTGTGGAATATTGTTGCTGCGCGAGGAATGAGCGTGATGTCAGACCCATTGATCCCATTACCGACAAGTTCTCATCGCAGACTGCAGGGTATCTCGACGCAAATCGACCTTGTTTGGGCGATTTTTATTTTTGGCTGCTTGTGGAGCCATCTGTGCCAATATTGTGGCGACGTTGCTTCTCGCCAGTGCAGCATCCAAAAACTATCCCGGAGGAGAGGCGATGGATATCCTCAACTCCAGGGCCCAAGGTTGTTGTTTTTGGACCGGATGTTTCAGTTATTCTGATCTGGATTCTGAACAGGTAAAGTGCATGCTCACATCTGCAATCTTGCCCTGCAAACAGGCGCATCTCTGTTCACGCATGAACATGCGTCCCCCTATCCGCCATACCTCGTGCCATCAAGCCAGGAATGGGTCTACGACAAGACAGATTCGCCTGCAACATACTCACGCTTCACCCATCTCATCACCGAAGAGCCCGGCCGTCACAAACATCTGGGGAGCGTGAAGGCCTTTGAGCGATGGGCATTGGATCTGCCTGCGCTCAAATCTGGCAATGTGCTTGCCCGAGCCAGTGGTGTCCTGCATCTCGAGAAGCGGGAGAAACTATGGGTATCAGAGAGATGATCTTCAAAGCTGGTTCTTTACAAAAATAAATTAAGGGTATAGTTCAATGCACGTGGAGCCTGAGCCCCCTTCTCAACTTCCGGCTATTCTCGTTCATGGCATCTGCAAAGAATCGTTCAGCAGCTCGTTATGCCACGGTCATGCACTGACCAGCACACGCTGATCGAAGCGTTCTTGTGATTGATCGAGCTCATTTGGCGATGAGATGGCACTAATCGGCACGAATCAATTGTTTGTGCAGGTCTCGAACGTATGTTATTCACTTTGGTGCAACAGGGAACTGGCTCAGCTGCACCGCCTCCCCGGTGAGCACGAACCGGTGCGTCAGACTCTCGGGAACATCGACGCTCAGAGTGTAGTCTCCGGGATACAACCAGAGATTGCCGCTCTCGTCCGCACGAGCGATGCTTCCGAGAGTGACGCTGATTCGTCCCACAGCAGCCGATCCGGCGCCCAGCGCATGCACACGAGTGTATCCGATCAACGACTTGTTGGGGAAGGGCCCTGGTCCCGCAGTCGTTTTCGCGAACAGAAGGACGACGAAATCCGATGCGGTCTTGCCCGTGTTGTGAACATTGATACCGAATGTGTCAAAGACCCCGAGATCAAGATGCGCGGCACCCCGTGCGCTGGTCACCAGAGCTGAGATGTCGTACACCGAAGCGGGTCTTGTCTGCCACTTGAGCGCGAACTTAGTGTAATGCAGTCCGAAGCCGTAGTCGATCACAGGGGTCCCAGTGTACCACTGATATGTCCGACCAGGATTTCCCGTAGCATTGTTAGGCCGAAGGTTCATGTCGGTCATGGGCACCTCGTTCACGTAGTCAGCTGGATATTGCATCAGCGGCAAGCGGCCGGCAGGCGCGACTTTGCCGCTGACGATGTCGAAGATGGCTGTACCACCACTCTGGCCTGGATATCCAGCCCAAAGGATAGCTCCAACCTGGAACGCAGCGTGAGATTGAGGCAGAGGAATCAGACCTGACCCGTTTTACCTTCTTGCTCGACAGCAGCCACGAGTCATCTACCTGCCCCGCACCGCATTGCACCACCACAAAAGGCTTGCCGACAGCAGCCAGTTGCTGAATGAGCTCGAGCTGCACCCCTGGCCAATCAATGGTGGTTCTGTCCAGGCCCTCTGCTTCGACAGAATCGTCTGATGCCTCGTCAGTCGACATGTTTGGGCTCTTTCGGCTCGACACATACCGATTCCACCAATAAACACCACAACATCAGCGGCCTTGGCAGCCGTAATCGCATCTGCAAAACCGCCGGTCGAGGTATCGGTCACGCTCGACATTCCCGGCACGAAGTCCACCTCATATCCTGCAGCGCTCGCGCCCAGGGCTGGTGTGATCAGGAATGGGGGAACACCATAGTAGTTCCCTTGCATCTGGTCCGTTGCATTGCCCCACGGCCCAACGATGGCCATCTTCTTCAGACTCTTCTTGAGTGGAAGCGTCCCATCGTTCTTCAGCAGAACCAATCCCTCGGCGGCAACAGTATAAGCAAGTTTCTCGGCAGCCGGAGTGCCGACTTGCTTCCACGAGATCTGGCGGTACGGCTGGCTCTCCGGGGGATCAAAGTATCCCAGGCTGCACGAGATTAACGGGATGTACAGACTGAACTTCACTTGGCTCACCGCACAAGGGACGCATACAGCCGGACCATGGCCTTCTCAATGTCCGAGCGCTCCACCAATCCCTCGTCGATCGCTGTCTGGAGGTAGTTGTAGTAGATGCTTCCACAGTTCAGATCCGTTCCAGCTTTGATCGCAACCGCGGCAGCCGCCTGGTACGAACTCGTGTAGTTGTGGTTTTCGAAGATGCTCTGAACAGCATCGCAGTCGCTGACTCTCCACGAGTCTTCGCTCAAACCGTAATAACCCACGAGGATATCATCAAGGATGTATGGATCGGCGCAGGTGGGGACTCCGTTCAGGCTATTTGAACCATTAGACCACACGTAGAAATGCCAAGGAAGCAAAACTGACCTGTTGTACGAGCACATGACCGCGTTGACCTTGGCGTCTCTCACACAACTTTGGAAAGGGCGCACGAAATACTCGCTCAATTCCTGAGGAGTGATGATTGCATCGAATTCGCGCTGAATGATTCCATCCCAATCATCCATATCGTCTGCAAGCTTTGAGAAAATCAGCGGCAGCATAGGAATTGCGGACTTACAACCGGCCCAATGCTTGCACACCGCGATGTTCTTGATGTACGGTTGTGGATTGATTCCTCCCTGGAACCCGTCGATGAGCTGGTAGACGTATTGCCCACTGTGGAACGCGTCCTCCCCCGGACATTCCTGCCCTCGGCCCCAGCGTGGATCGCGCCATGGATTGATGTTCGGAGCGAACCAGTCCAGCCCAGCGCGTGCAGCGTTGGAGAAGGCGCGGGCCTCAGTGCTTATGGTGGACGCGACGGACTTGACGAGCTAGCGGAAAAGGAGTTGTGTTCAGACGCGAGTCACTTCTAGGCGACCAAGTGCCAACTCACCTCATCATCGAAGGCGGCTCCGAGTACAATTGGCATAGGAAACTATCTGAAGCCTCAGAAGCTGCCTGAGAGAGAGAGGAAAAGGAAACCGACCGAAGTCGCGTAGCTGAAATCTCCGCTCCCCGAAAAGCTGACGCCTGGTCCGGTCCACGCGACGCCATGCAGGGCCTCCGACCACCAGTTGTACGGAGGAAGCCCGAGCCGGTCGACCCCGTCCGCCTGGTGTACGCTGTTGTGGATAAGCTCCGTCGTCGTCATCGCGGCAACGAGAGCCTTGGCGCGTGTAACGGCGTCTTTGGATGTATCGCAGACCGTATTGTTCTTGAGCGGCCCATTCACGCAATCGGGAAAGTTCGACGAAGCAAGGGGAGCGATGGGTATGGTGGCTGGCTGGATGGTCGCGCCCGAAGTCACATTGGAGTGGATGGGTGTCTGGGCCTGTTCAGCACCGGCAAGGGCCTGAGCTGCCGCAAGGAAGGAGAGGAAGAGAAACATCCGGTATCTTCACGACGTAGCTCCGCGCATTGACTGATATAGTTGCGCACTGACGGCGAAGCTCTTCTTCGGAGGGGACTGGGGGGTTCTTTGGAGCGTGCTTCACTTCGATGTCTGCTCCCTGGGTTGTGCCGGACCAGGTCGGGCCACTTGCCAGTGAGTGTCGCGTCCAGGTGATTCTTTACATCAATCATTCGGGTCACACGACTGCTCATGAGCCACGGCTGGCAATCTCTCGTTCTTCGTAAATTACATCCATTAAATACGCGTCCTTGAGCTTGAGCTTTTGAAAGACCCTCAAAGGCCTATTTGCGGCTGATGTAGGGCTACTCTTCGTCCAAAACTCCCGCTGGCGCTCAACGGCTGGCGGCCCGAGTACAGCGTAATAGTCATAACCGCCGTGATCAGATTCATACACCTTCCGCGCTTCGAGAGCCTTCGCCAGGACCGAGTTGGCTATCGAGAGCCGTGTCCGCGTTTTGTCGCTCACGGGAAGCCCTGCACTGAGTGCCATGCATCGCCATCTCAGGCATAAGAGAAAGAAAGAACGCGTTCTGAGCGGCCACAGTCGCAGGTAGGCCGGTGAGCGTTCGGATTTCTTCGCGGTATACTTCGATGAAGGATGAAAGCGTCCTGGACGACCAGATAGAGCGGTGCGCCCTGGGATCTTTTCCCCACATCCTTCGATGGCCTGATCGTTCTTGCTTCCAAGTGGGGTATCATAGCATGATCTTGCAGAACCGTGGCATGTGACCGTTCCGCTCAGCTGCCCTTGATTGGCCACATTCCCAGGAAAGGGTAGGCTGCGCCATCAGGGATGTAGAACGGGAGAGATTCAATGTGATTTGTCGCTCGGTCCGTCCGTCCCAACTGCATTTCAGACTGCCGGGTCGTCCCGTTTGAACAACTGACCTCGAGAGTCGAGAAGCACGTTGACTTCGGTATCTGGATTTCGGAAGCCCTGCCGCAGGGATGGCTCTCCCTGCACGGTCGGCTCATCTAATGTAGACGAATCTCTCTCAGCTTGATCGACTCTCCCTGAGCGATAGAATATACCCCAATATGTTGTCAAGACTGCTGCAGAGATAAAGTAGTGGCATGTTTGACCGAAAGATGTCACAGCTCAATGGCACTCCGCTTCGACACGCAATACTTCCGGGCTCGATGGGCGGCAGAAAATCCAGGGGTGCACCTACCTTGCCACTGGCATCTGCCTGCGAGATGCATCACAGCTACCAGGGCGGTGCATAGTCGATCAGTGTCATCAGTGGAGGTGAGAGACACCTCTCCCGACTCCAGCTACATGTACGAGACGAGTCGTTGGCCATAATAAGTTCCGGAGGGCAAGTTGTCGACAAATACGTCGAGGAATTGCCCACGGCGGAAGCGGTTGGATCCAGCTAGAAACTCGATCCCGAAACTATCAGGCAGCCTCGGTCGGAGTCGGCCCATAAGGTAGAGTGATTGCCTGTCAGCCAGGAGGGGTTGGCGGGGGGTTCAATCTGTGAGTCGAACACGACGTTGAATGGGTCCGATATCCAGTTTCGTACGGAGCAAACTGGATGAGATTCGGTCAAAGTAGTCACAGCTGTGTGAAGAGTGCCGTTTTCTCGACCACGCAGAACCGGCTTAGACCAGGGACAGTGGGCACAAATCACACATCCGCACGGAGAGAGCTGGAGGAATGTGCAGTAGAACGAACGAGAGAAATACTATGAAGCACCATAGCTTTTGCAGCCCTTGAAAAATTCGACAATTTCTGCTCTACTATGGCGGGTGCGAATGAGCTCGTTTCGACGTGACATCATCAATCATTATCTAAGCGACGGTGTGATTGGCATCTCTCACGTTACCTGCTATCACAATTTTGCGCTGGTCAAGGCCGAGGTCTTGTTTATCATGTCCAGAACAATCGTTGCCTCTCTCTCCGGCGTCCCTGAAATCGTCTTCTCGTACTGACGCACGATTGCGGGGCCTACTGCGGCATCGTCTTGCCCGTACACGCCGTGAAACTCGTACATGCGTCCTGTCTCGCGTGCGTCTGTGAGAACCCTGTTTGCGATCGGAAGACGTGTCGCTTCGTATGCCTTCAATGCTTCGTCGATGGTGGACTTCTTGGCGGCACCCAAGGCAGTGGCGAGGATGTATGCGTCCTGGATGCAGCGGCTCAGTCTCACATACTCTTCCCTTGACTGCGATTGGAGAGCATACCTCGATGGCTTGTCCTGCTCCGGCTCCAAGGTGGGGTGTCATAGCATGTGCCTGGGGAGGACTCGATATGTGCGCCGATATCCAGACACGGGGACTCACTGCATCTCCGAGCAAAGCTACGCGATCGGACACGTATAGGGGGAGCGGCCGGAGGCAGGGTATACACCACTTGGTGGGATTGTCGATCTTCTATACGCCGTATCGTGTCCACAGGGCGCAGGGCGTGTGAATTAGATCGCACTTACCTGGAGAAGCGCCTGGACTTCGGGCTCCCATCCACGGTAGCTCTGCAACCGCGTTATTCTTGATCGCGCCCATGCTTTTCAGACAACTGGACTTACTTCGAGCACCTCTTCTTTGCTGCAGCTGGCAACCCACTCTGCTCCGTAATCCGTGTATTCCGAGTTGTAGTCATTGGTTGCGAACGCAACGACGTTGACAAGCTGTCCTCGGGCCACAGTGTATGCGACAATGTGCTGCTCAACGCGTTTCAGTTGTTGTCTTCTGTACTTGACAGAAGCACTCGCCTTGTTCTGTCCGCAGTACTTGGTTGGGGCATCATTCACGTGTGCGATTGGTGGGCGGAGTTCCTTGGACTTACTATTACGGGCCGGTCGAGGGTCCTGTGTTTCGCTCCGGCAGACTCAAGCTCAGACGAGGGACTAGGCCTCGATAGGCAATAGCGCCGCTCCAGCACGGCTCGATTAGGCCGACAAGGTCCGGCCGTCCATCTGTCTCGGCTCTGCTTTGGAGCATTTGCCTTCGCACGACAGACTTGACCCCATCACAGCCGACAAGAACGTCACACGTCGCGTTCGTCCCGTCGGCGAAAGCGATAGTCGTTTGTCCGCCATCTTCTGGCTTGGAATATGATAGAACTCGTTTGCCGAAGTGAGCGGCATCCGAGGGGAGATGCTTGACCAACATATCCAGGAAATGTGCGCGATGAAAGTTGAGACCTCCGTCTAGCAGGACAATTCAATACGAGTCGGTGCATGGCGCGCCGCTAGCTCTACTCACAAGGCACCTTCAGTAGCGCAAGGTTGAATCCCTCGGGCAGGTCCGACCTTCGATACTCGAATCCGATGTCTGCCAACGTGAGCGGGACCCTCCAACCGGACCTACTGAACACCTACCAATCTCAGAACTGGGCTTTTTATCGGCGATGTTCTTAAAGTCGTCCGCCAAGCCAAGGAGCTCGAGGACACGCCATGTGCGCCTCCAGATGGTTAAACCCGCTCCAATCTCTTGAAAACGTTCTGCAGCTTCATAGACATCGACTTTGATGTGCGGATACCGAGACAACGCTACCGCGAGAGACAGTCCCCCGATCCCGCCACCGCTGCCAGCGCATTAATGAATCAGCCACTTAGAGGAAGCTGGGCAGACCAGATGGCAACGCGTATGGTCGATGTAGCTTGCATGGGGGAAGAACGGCTAGAGATACAACACTTGACGTATTTACCTGGGGTTTACTAGTCTTTCCAATACCGCGCCACCGGCAATTTGGAACTCTGACACCCCGGAGCTCGTCATCACACCGCCCTTCTTTGTCAGTCGACCCTGGGAACGCACAATCTCCTGCATGCGACGTTCTGCGTCACCGCTATGATCCACTTCCCACTCACGTCCCCGTTTCTTGGCCTCCGCCTTGGCCTCCACCTTGCCCTGCTTAGGCTTACGGTCCGACTCCTTCGGCTTCGGCATCGTCTTGTTCTTGTCGGCTCCCGCGGAAACCGATTTCGGCGCGTCACGTAGGGCAAATGCCTTTGCCAGGTGACCGAGATGCAGATGTCGCACATGAAAGATGTGCTTCTCGCTTGAAGGATGAGTGGCGTAGGCACGCATGTGAGAAAGAAAGCCCTTTCTTGCATACTCTGCGTTCTATTCACAGATCAGCTCAGAGATGTGACCGGTCAAAACTAAAAATAGTCACCTGCTTGTCACGGAGCACCCAGCGCTCGAAAGCAAGTTGCACTTCCGTAGCCCGGGTCTCGTATTCAGCACCTTTCCCCCCGAAGCCATCCTGCAATACCCTTTCAACGGAGACGCCTGACAGCGAGATGCTTTTGTCATCGGCGCTCCCTCGCATCTCCTTCTCGACCCACTTGACCCATTCCGATTCACTGGGAGCGACCATACTCCAGGCCTCGCCGCCCTTGCCAGCACGAGCTGTCCGACCCACTCGGTGGACATATTCAGTTGCTCCACCTTCCGTGGGGAGATCGTACTGGACGACAGCCCGGACCAGCGGCAGATCCAAGCCCCGTGACGCAACAGAAGTGCACAGTAGGATCGAAGATGAGCCAGTTCCCTTACCCGAAAAGCCCCGCAGAGAGGCCAGACGCACCGGTGTCGGCAGCGAACCATGCAGTCGAAAGACAGATGTCTCGGGCAGAAGTGGTGATTTGACCTGAATTGCGTCGGTGGGTGAAGTCTGAGCCTGGTCATCTTCCCCGGAATCCTCGTCTTCATCTGAGTCAGGAGCCGCCGCTGGATTGGCCCCACTCATAGTTGCCCCAGCCAGCAGCTTGAAGTGGAAATCGACCGAGTCTGTGCAGCTGAGAAACACGATGATCTTCGTGCCTCGACGACCTTGCGATTGCGAGATGAGGGACCGCAGAAGTGCAACGAGTGCCACCAATCTCATCTTGAGCGGGACGACCAGGTACTTCTGTGACAGCTGTGAGGGCGGCGTCATCTTTTCCGATACGATCGCTTGGTCTGCGGAGGCAGCCGCCGCTGGGTCAGCCTCCGTAGCCTTGATCATTACAGGGTTGTTCAACGCCTTCCCAGCTAGCTTCTGCACATCCTCCCGAATGGTGGCCGAGCACAAGACAGTCCGCCGTCTCGAATCCCAGTCCCAACCTCCGACTTCCATACTTTTCCCGGCCTCAACAGCTTGTATGGCCAATTTCCTTCGCCCATCCAAGCCTTGGATGATACCCGTGATCGTCTCCTCGAAGCCAAGTTCCATCAGTCTGTCCGCCTCGTCCAGGACAAGCCAGCGGCATTTGCCCACATTGAAGGAAGATGTGTTTTGCAAATGATCGAGTAACCGACCCGGAGTAGAAACGATGATGGGAAGTCCCTTCCTGAGACGAGCTTTCTCATGGGTACGAGTACCTCCTCCGGTCAGCAGACCGGACACGAGCCAGCGCGTAAGGCGTGGCGCAGATCCACTGGCGTCTTCGGCAGACTCATCTTCGGAGCGGAGTCGGAGCTGTAACAATGCCTCGAGGACGTCTGAAATCTGTTTCGCTAGTTCTCGCGTGGGAGCAATGATGATTGCCAACGTGCCAATCGACCGGTCAATGTAGGAGTTGGAACTGAGGGGGAGAAGGTCTTGGATAATGGGCAGCAGAAATGATAGCGTCTTTCCAGAACCAGTTTGCGATTGGATAAATATATCTCGCGATTTCGCGTCGTCGTCCTCTTCCGACCTCGTAGAGAGCACAGCAGAAAGTACGCCGCGTTGAATAGACGTCGGCTGGGCAATATTCATTTTGTTGGCTAGATGAGCGGACAATAAGGGATCGAGACCAAGCCCGTTGAATCCGTCTGAGTCCAACAACGGTGCATTACTTGGCTTGGCCACTTTCCTCGGGTAGGTTCATTCACGGGAGCTTCAATCTTGGGATTGTAAGAGAATAGCGAGGAAATGATTTGGGTCGGTGGGCGATTAGCTTGCTGCCCTACAGGTAAGGCGGACGAGGACGCGGAAGTTTTTGGTGTTTCCGTGCGAGGGCGTTTGGCGGGTCGATTGTCGACGACTTCCGAAGGCCTCTTGGCTTGTTTTGCGACTGTTTTTATCTTGCGTTTTTCTGTCCGTTTCGCTTTTAGTCTAGGCAGGTAAATCAGGGTCAAATCGAAAGTGCGGGGGTTGCGTACCTGTCGGTCCAGCGCCCTCCTTGGCTCCGACCCACCTTCTTTGTTCGCGTGTCATCGCCAATGTCAAGATTGAGGACAAGGTCGTCCATCGTAGCGAGTTTCAGTCGAACTAAAACTTGGAGGGATCGGATGAAGAAATGTAAGTATATCACGTGGAAACGCGATCGCGGTTACCAAGATGCTGACCGGTAGCCGAATCACTCAGAACGGTTATTTGGCCACGTATTCGCTACCACTTTCACTTTCCTCTCATTATGTTCGCCCGGATTTCTTTTGCTTTTGTGTTAGTCTCCGTCGCGGCCTTCTTCTGCGCTCAAACCGCCGAGGCCGCCGCCAAGGGCCCGAGAGTCACCAACAAGGTATTCTTCGACATTGCTCAAGGTGATAAACCGCTTGGTCGTAGTGCGTAAAGTTCACTCTCGCACTCTGTGTCAAACTCATATTGCTCCAGTTGTCATTGGCCTCTACGGTGGAGTACGCTCGCTCGCTCTTAACTCTGTCTGCCTCTCACGGACGCATCTTGTTAGACCGTACCCAAGACGGTCGAAAACTTCCGCGCGTTGTCGACGGGCATCAAAAAGGATGGCACCGAACTGGGATACGGATACAAGGGCTCCAAGTTCCACCGTGTCATCAAGGACTTCATGTGAGTCCGGCCGTATATACTACTGCTTGGTCGTTGATAGGCTTTGCAGGATCCAGGGTGGTGACTTCAGTGAGTTGTGGAAGATGTGGTATCGAAATCAACCTCATTGCTTCTGAAGCTCGTGGTGATGGCACTGGTGGCAAGGTTCGTTCAGTCTCCTCGCTATTAATGTCAACATGGATACTGATTTGTGGCTAGTCTATCTACGGCGACCGTTTCGCGGATGAGAATTTGTAAGGATCATTCAGTTACCGACGCTTTCTTGGCCAACCATTCGCTCAGCAAACTCCGTCACACTGGACCCGGAACGCTTTCGATGGCCAACGCAGGAAAGGACACTAACGGCTCTCAATTCGTGCGTGCTTGCAATGGATTCCTTTGCAATGGATCTCAAGTTTCCATAGTTCATCTGCACTGTGGTTACTAGCTGGCTTGATGGGAAACACGTATGTGACCATTGGATCCCAACGTGGCCCAGTCTTATTGGCAATGGATAGGTCGTGTTTGGCCGAGTTCTCGAAGGAATGGATGTTGTACATGCCGTTGGTACGTTTGCATTTCTGCACGGATCGAATTCCTTTTCAACACGATCATACAGAGAATGTTGCGAAGGGCTCGGGTGATCGGCCTCAGGTCGATGTGATCATCGCTGATTCCGGCGAGGTTAGTTTTCTTCACCTGGCTTGCGTCCTTGCTCTGAGCGTGTCTCTTCTAGCTCCCGGTGGAAGCTGAAACACCTGCTGCTGTCACGGACGAGAAACAGGTGCCTGTCCACGCTGAGCTTTAATCAGCTTTACTTGTTTAAAATCTGCATGCGAATAAAATTTGGTCGTTGCTTTGCTATAGGACACTGCCGGACACGAGACCGCCAAGATCACTTCGGAGTCGCATGTTTCGCAGGCCTCTCCCGTGATTACTAGTGCCAGTGCTACTCTCGAGCACGAGCCAGTGCAGTCGGACGACGGCGATGTCTCGGAGCCATCTTTTTTCCAGTTCGTTCTTTTGGTCCTCATCCTTGCTGGTGCCGGCGGTGCCTTCTTTGTGTGGCTTGGAGGTCTGCGCTGGATTCGTCGGGTGTTGGGCATGCAAGAGTCTGGTTACAGCAAAGTGGAAGAGGAAGATCCAGAGAAGTGAGAAATCACCTACACTCTTTAATCATCGGGTACTATCATTTTGATCTAGGCGTCTGGCTTGAGTCAAGTGAAATTTTTCTGTATCTGTACATATAATTATCGTTCATCTGCAGTCCCATCCGCGGTCGTGGTTTGTGGAAGCGGGCCTGTCTTTGGATCTGAGTGGCATCAGGTGACTCATATCCCAATACGGTGGCCTAACTCTCCTTTCCTCTTCGACCATCTCTCGCCGGTTCTACAGTCTCCAGTCTATCAATATCAAGTATCGCAAATGACACTGGCTCATTCTCCTGCGCGTGTAAAGCAGTATGCTGATCGCGCAGTGCAAACCGAATGTCATGAGCTCCTGGACGCGCACTACTTCAAAGTCGCGACACCACGCGTTGACGGCTCGCCCAAGCCGTATCCTCTCTCCCACAAGTCATCCAAGCGTAAAATCATGGAATCGCCTGTGTTTGAAGCCGCATATAGTCACTCTCCTCCACAAGCTACACTAGTTGGCCCCACTCGCTCCCCCAGCTCTCGCAAACATGTGCAACTTCCCTACAGTCGTCCTTCCGCTCAAGTATACGCCCTTTCTCAGCGCGTCACCTCCCTTCCTGAGCCCTCCATCCGCAAGACACAGCCCATCCATGAAACGCGCCGGGTCTCACTCTCTGAATACCCCAATGCCTCGATTCGCCATTCGCTATCTTTCACCGACAACATGATAGAATCCGCTTCTCCCTCTGTAGAAACTTCCTTTGAAACTCGCTCAGGCTCTGTATCTTCTCGTGCCCGTCGCTCTCTTCCTTCTTCTGATATGCCTCACACGCCATCTCCGCCGTCCTCTCCCGAATCAGTGATGATAATTGGCAACCATATGCAAGTTCCTATCTCTTTCCTGCAGAATAAAACCAAGTCCCGAGATGTGTACGATGAAAACGGTGGTACGTGGCCAGGGTTGTAGTATTGTTGAAAATTTCAATTGTTTCTGCAGGTTGGATATCTTGGAGTGATTCCCCGCCCAAGCCAATTCCTGCTCTTCACGGGCCGTTATCCCTTCCTTATGCGCGATGCCCGTCGTACGTTCAGCTTGTTTACGATGAGCGTTTGGGCTGATTTGTTTTGTACAGTGGGGCTGAGGGCACCATCATCGAAGGGGAGGACCTCTCCCGTATGATCTGGGGTCTCGGCCTCGAGGACCCTGGAAATCAGACCACTCATTCTCGGACGAACTCGGCACATGTCGGTCACTCTAGGACCGCTTCACTCGGAGCTCGTGGTCCAGTTCAGGCAGAGCAAAAATCTCGGCACTACTCCGTCAACGACTGGATTCCGATGCCTGACGAGAATGAATGCGTGTTCCCGCGTGACAAGCAGGGCGGATTGGGATTGGATCTGCGGAAAGCTCTCAAGCCTCAGCCTGTTCTCGAATCGACGAATCAACGCATCGTTGCTCTCAAACCCTCTGCGCCTGCTTTCATTCCTGCCAGCCTGCAAGAGATCTCACCTCGAATCTTTGTGGAACCTCGCGGCGGTCACACCATTCAACCTAGTCTTCGTCTGTCGGCGTTCGAGCTTGCGCAGCAATTTCAGCGTGCTCAGAATACATTACCGACTCCTCCACCGTCATCTTCCCCTCAATGGTCTCCTCAGCTGGCGCAGCCACAGATGAGTTACGTTGATCCGTTCCCACCACTAGATATCCATGCGCTGGTCCCGTTCAAGCCTGGTCGTCCATTAGCACCTTTTTCACCAGGGGATTTTGGGTCGCCACCGCCACCAGGCCCACCCCCCAATACGCCTTTGCCGGCTTTGCCCGTGTCAGGCCAGCCGTCGCCGAGAGTTCTTGGTCGCATGCCTCGCTCTGTCCCGTTCGCGCGGATGCTGCAACGCCGGCTGTCGGCTGTGCCTGAGGAGGAAGGTGTTCGCTCCCCGCCACCGTCTCCACCAAAGCTGGGAGGCCCACCCCGACTTTCTCGCCCACCTCGGGCACCGTCACATGCAACGGAAGATGCGTTCAAACCCCGTTCGCAATGGAAGCACAACAGCAACAAAGGTGTCTCACGTGATCGCGAAGAGAGTAAGGAGAACGATCACTACAAAGAAAGGAACAAGACCCGCGTCGGTCGTAAACTGAAGGTGTGATGATTGCATGCATTGTTTTCGATGTTTTTTCTGTAATCAGGCTGTGTTTTACTGTACAAGATGAATTTTTAATATTACCCATACAATGTTTCGTCTGGAATGGGAGGTGCACCAAAGAGACCTTGTTTCCAGCTTGCTGGCTCGACAAATCCTGCAACCTTGAGATCCAACGTGGCGACTACAGCACTTGCCAACATCGCTGAATCAGCTCTGTTGTCGCCTTCCAGTGCGAATTGAAGGATCGCTGCTGCTGTTGGCAAAGACTGGTCGTCCCAGAACCTGTCTAATATCCGCCGTGTGAGACTTCCGCCGGGGATGAACGGAATCTGGGCCTGATTCTCATCCATCGGACGATGCGGAACCGGAGAGGTGTATTTCGGCAGAGGAAGTGATGCGAGACGGGCCAAGGGCGTCGTTGAGACATCAGGTCTGGACAGCTGGTAGGTGGGTGTGCTGGGTAGATCCAGGACTCAGTGGATCGGCACGGGTAGGAACCGCTGGCGTACATACATCATCTGTGAGTCCGTTCGGTTCGACAAGTCCACGCCGGAGAGGACCAGGGTTGCGGCGATTCCAGAAGTGCGAATGAAGTCGGAAAACGCGGAGACGAATTCCGCTTTTTGTGACTGATGTGCAACTGCTGAGGTTCACAGTAGTACTAGTCGGGGAAGGGATCGGACCTTTAGGACGGGAGATCGTTGCTGCGCGAATACGACGTCCAATCCCGGCGTGCCGTACACTAGTAGGCTAGTTATTTCACTTGCGATCGGCAAGCGCAAGTGCAATGCACTCACGTTCCAAAGGAGTGCAGACCCCCTGTCCGGACTCGGCACTCCCGACAACTGGAACTAGATATAGGGAGTCGAAGATCCCTATGCGCTCCAGCTGGAGCGAAGCGATGAGCAGATCGACCGCTAGCTGAGCGACATTGGCAGTGGACACGACTGGCTGGGGGACGGATCGTTGTTCAAGACGTTTTCAGCGACAGCAGAGACGAGACGACGACTAACGAGAACTAGTGTCTTGCCCTTTAGGTCGATGTTGCTAGTGGGGTGCAAGAAAGGCATTGACGCGCGGCTGATTGGCACGGTCACGTTATCATAATCTAGATCATACGTAGACGATGGGTCCTATTACAACGTACGTACTACGTGCTCTAATCGTTGAACAACTTACATGGATGCCTTGCCTCGAGGCTCGTAGGGCAGAAGCAGTGCCAGTGCCCCGGAGAATATGATCAAGGCGCCTGAAATATAGACAGGGACAGCCGTGGCGAGATTTGCGTACAGAGCAATGACCGGGGCCTAGAGAGAGACCGTAAGAGGACAGCACGGACAGGAAATCGAATCAGACATACGATCACACCGAACACCCGGGTTGCAGTGGAGACCAGAGCATTACCTGTCCCGCGATCCTTGGCGGGAAATATCTCGGGCGAGATGGCATAGAGAACACCGTACATGATCTGAGAGCGTGTCACGTCGTGTCACGTTTGAGAAGGGCTGAAGCTTACGTTACTGAAGAACGTGTAGCCGCAATTCCACCCAAGGAGCTGGTTTGAGCTCCGAGCAGTGGTAGTCGCGAATAAAAACGTGCCGGTTAGCCCTAGTTTCGCGAGGAGTCGTTGAATAATGCCAGGCTGGAGAGTGGGCAAGCTACTTGCCCGATGAGATCGCCAATGTTCCCTTGCGCCCGAGATACCGCTGCTCGACCGCCCATCCCGCCAGGAACGCACCAGGCACGCCAATCACACTCAGTATCGCTTGCTGTCAAAACAAAAGTCAGCCAGATCCGTCGCCGAGGAGTCGCATCACTGACGTTCCGGTAGGCTGTGGAGAGCGAGGAATCTTTGAACTGCGCGCCGCGGCTGGCCAATCTGCAAAAAAGGTCATCGATGAAGTCAACCAAGCCGCTCAACCCACAAAAACGGCAAGAAACTGTTGTACAACGTCGACGCCAACCCAATAATCCCTGCTTTAGATCAGTCGAAAGCTTGGCAAGTGTGAGATGAACATACCCCAAAGCAGTATCAGCAACGTGGTGGAAAAGGCCATTTTCCGCGTGGCAAACAAAGCCTTGAAATGATCCGCAGTCAGGACGGAAGTCCGGCTCAAGAGCGGGCGCTGGATATCCGGTGTCGGCTCGGCTTTCTCATCGTGTCCCGTGAGATCGGCAACGGTCAGACTCGTCGTCGTCGAGTTGTACGCAGCGAGTCGATGTATGACATCTACGGCAGCACGATCGCGTCCGACCCCGATGAGAAACCGAGGGCTCTCAAGCAGATCGAAGACAAAGAACCGAATGAATGCCATGATGAGCGTCAGTGGGCCCAGAATAAACAGCAGATAGCGCCATCCCATGTTATCGGCTTTCGTGCATCCTTGGGCCGTGGAGCAGGAAAAGTTGGCAATCAAAGGCCATGCAATCTTGTGAACGTGATCTCAGCAACTGCACATCCACGCGGCAGAAAGACCACACCATGCTGATGACCAGCTGACCAATGCACCAGAAGATAGACATGACAGTGAGCAGATATTGGTGTGATGCGGGAACGAGGTCTGAAAGCGCGTGAGACGAAAGGTCCACCGGTCGGGTCGGGCCAACATACCGAGGAACACAACCGAGTCCACGGGCATGTTGCCCCCAACTCCGACGCCGACGAGTGCAAGAAGGGATGCCAACGTGACGAAGTTCGGCGAACCCCCCGCAGCGAGACCGAACAACCCTGCGATGATCAAAGTCTGTCGGAGATAAGTGACAGACTCGGACATGGTTCTGGAAGGAATTGCTCACGATGTTGAAGGACCATCTTCGGCCCCATATGTCTGACCCCAGGCCCCAGACAATTGCGCCGACCAGTAGTCCGACATTGGCGGCGAGCGACAAAAACGGTCCAGTGAAGTGGAATTCGTTGATGACGGGTGCGAGGATGAGACCAGTGATCAGCTTCGGACAGGGATAAGCCCGGGAGCCAGGTTGCAGCAAATATGCACTCACAGGCCAGACAGAGTCGGCGAACCAGCCAAAACCAGCGCAGATGAAGAGATAAACCTGGTAACGGCCCATTCCAATCTCCGAGATGGCTTCATTCAGACGTCTAGTTTTTGCATAGTATACAGGGTCAATGACAGAGTCGTCATAAAGCTCTTCCAGTTGTTGCTTTTCAGAGGCCATCCTGGTTGTTGATGAGTAAGGACGAGGAACACCAAGAGCCCAGGCATCCACCGGACAAATATTAATAACTGGTGATTGAAATCAGCCACGAAGCCTGATCGCGTTTATCACATGACAAAAAGGTGTCGGTCTTCCGGAGCGGAATGCGTAAGCCGTGCTTCCTCATGTGGACAGAAAGAACACGAATTTCGACCAGTCACCGGCAGCTGAATAGCAGCGTCGAATACGTAGACCATACGGAGTGTTCATACGAGAAACTCCGCTCATCCGTCTCAGCCGATACAGCGTCATGAGAATCAATCAAAACCGAGTAGATCCACCTCATTCTCTTCTTAACTATGAAGCCGCCTTCTTCGTGAAAAAATTGGACAACTTTGGCATCCCAGTTGTTTTAGCTTTTTTGAGCTTTTCGACGCCAGTCGAAGCTCCAGTTTTCCGCTTTTTATCGGTCGGCGCCGCAGCCGTCTTCTTTGCTTTGACCGGCTTGTCGTTCGCCAGGAGCGCGATGTTCTCATCCTCCATCGTCTTGAAGTAAGAGTCGAGGGCCGCGAAACTGAGAGATAAGTTTGTGGGCGCGATGGACCAGTTGCAAGGAAAACTCACTCGTAAGAGGCTTTGAGCAGCTCGAGAATATCTGGCGGCGTGTACTGCGATATCAGGTCGCATGCTGCCTTGATTCTACCCACTGAAAATTGCAGTCCAGCTGGGGTTCAAACGAGAAACACAAAAACGGACCTCGAAGCAACTCTTCCCTGCCAGTTTCCATCAGCCCGTCCTTCGCTAAGGACCTGATGATAGTACGAGAGACTTCCGTCATTTCTGCGGTCGCCAAGCGGTCCACTTTACATCGAAGATATGAGACCAGTTTTTCCGTAGAAAAGCGGTAAACCGCCAGGTCTTCTGTAGCATCTGATGGAGTATTGTCAGCCCGGAACCTTTGGAAAGTTCACGCAAAGCACCTTGGAAATCGCAGACGCGCTTCATGGCGCTGTGACAGCAAGGGAGGGAAGTCAACGCCTGTACATCGTCTTTCGAGATATGAGTATCTTTGTCGGCAGAGACTTGCGTGGTTTCAGCCAGGTTGTCGGCGGCGTCATCAAATATCTCGTCCATTGGTCGGAAAAGCCCTTTGTCCCCTTTGGCGGTGGGCTAACAAGTCAATGCCATTAGTATCTCAGTCACCAAATTGTGAATAGACCGTACAGGATACACCGCGCGTAGTATTGGGATAAGAAGAAAGGCCGGGTCAATTGGGGTGAGGAGCAGGAGTTTGCCATCTGGCAGTCGATCAATAAAAGCCATTTTGTGTGCGATTGACGACACACCTGCCACAACATCCTGACCTATAAACCAAGACCTTTCGTTAGGCGGTGATACAGCCTGAAGCTCAAGAATAGTTTGATTCGTTCCTTCTGCAGAAGTGCTGGATGGAAGAAATAGACACGGGAGACCTGCATCCAGGGAGGCATAAAGAAGGTGCCAGCTGTGGCTCGGCATGCATACCCGTGCGGGGATGAGGTAGCCTCAGGAATTGAGAGCGACTCTGATCAATGGATCCTGAAACGAATTCTAGTAAGGTCTGGGGATCAAACACACGAAGAGACCTGAAGGCAAGATGGCGACATGAGTGCTCATGAGGAGACGTGTTGTTGACGCGATGTTTGCCGTGGCGGCTTGTACATGTTTACCGTGACCGATCCGCACCTCTTCCGCTAATTAACAACTCCGAGTCACTGATCCAACCAGACTCACCCCAATGGCAGAATTGGAACAGCTCATTCTCTCTGGGCAGCTCTTCGGAAATGCGGAGCGATCTAGCTCCCCTGTGCGAACTCCCTCTCCTGATACCGGATGGCACGACGACGAGCTCAATCTCTCAGACGCCGAGAAGGACTATGATTCCGATACAGCACGCCGTGCCGCTTTCGACAAACAACTGAAAGACCAGGAACGACAACAGGAATCGATTGGTATGGGACCGGGGCGTACGGGCGTCAAGGGCGTCATCAGGGATCGTGATGAGGCCGAAGAGCTTGAACGCCAGAAGCGCGCACGCGAGCTCAACGCGATCGGTCAACGGATGGAGAGGACTAATCTGGGTGGAAAGACATACCTTGAGGAGGAGCGCGAAAAAGGCGATGATGCGGATGAGTTGGTTCTCAAGGAACGTCAACGGACGGAAGACCGGAAGAATGTGTTCGGTCAGGCGAGGCAAGGGAAATTCGGACATCTACGAGAGGTTGGAGTCAAAGGCTTCCTCCCCGCCGTCGAAGGCGAATCTAGGGGTACTTGGGTGGTCGTCCACCTGTATGATCCCGTGCGTAACACATTTTCTTTGACGTGTATAGACTGAACCAGATATAGTCTCTTGATCGATGTTACATGCTCGATGACACCCTAGCCCGTCTGGCTCGTGCCTATGCAGACACGAAATTTCTCCGAGCTCGGGCTTCGGCTCTAGGATTTGCCTCGACTTCCTCTTCATCTCGGTCAAAGGCACCGGTGCATCGTCCTGTGCGCTCTCAAGTTTCAACCGACGACGACTTCGACGAAAAAGATGATGATGAAGACTACGACGACAATGCGGAGGATGTCTACGAGGATGATGACGTTGACGTCGATGTGCTCCCGACGATGCTAGTGTATCGGGACGGGGAACTCGTGCACAACTGGGTCAGAGTCGACTGGGAAGCTGGAACAGCCGGTATTGAGGATCTGCTGGACCGGTGCGTTGCACCCTGTCATGAAAATTGAAACTCACACGACACAGACACCACATCTTACCGCAGAGCTCAATCAACTCGCGGAACTTGGGTCTGCCCAGTGACGACGAGGATGATTTGATCTGGAGTGACGACGAAAATGGACTGGTCTGATTCATGTTCCTCTTACTAGACTATTCATACATTCATGTTTGCAACGGCCAATCTTCGAAAGCCCCCTGTCCGAAGCGGAAAAAGCCTACACTTCCTGAATCAACTACCGCAACAACAACTGTCTTTTTCCAGCCTTCATGACCATAAACGGATGCGCCCGTCTTGGAGCAGGAGTGACTTCCACAGTCGAAGGTCTCAACCATCCCCAGAGCCGCTGAAAGAGGGTCGTTTCAGGGACAGTTTCCTGTGGTGGTTTCGAAGGGATTCTGTTTTGAGGATTGCGCTGCCTAGGCACAGGCGGTGGCAATTCTGGAGAAACATCGAACAGGTCGGTCAGTTCTTTCAGCGAAGGCATCGGTGTTTTTCGAGCACTTGAGAAGAATCAGTCTATATGACGACTGGAGATGAAAGACGACATACTCCACAACAACGACCTGGTAGTCTGGCAAACAGGGCGCACTTTTTCGGAAGGGAGTTGCCGGCTTATGAATATTATAGAAGATCTGATAAGGAGATGGCTGGGATGCTGCTGATGCAGATTCAATGGAAAGCAGAGGCACACTGTGGCCTGCTCGCAGAAATCTGAGACCGCGGAAGAGAGAGCCTTGAAGGCGATGAATCAATGGCTTTGGATCTCAGCAGTCGAATGCGCATACCATAGTAGAAATTGGTGCTCAGAGACCAACGAGGTATCCGGAATGGGTGCCACCAATCGAAACGGGGTTGCCAGATCCGGCTGAAGATAGAAGAAATCATCGTCTGCATTCGCAGCATGAATGGTACCGGTGCACCGTTCTTCAGTGCAAGCGGTCGGAGATCGAATGCCGGAGGTAGAGGATAGAAAGGACTAGGTGCCTCCGCACGTGTAACGACATAACCTAGTCGTTTGAGATAAGCAAAGACCTGATCGAATTTCAGCAGAGCAGAAAGATAAAACTACAAAAGCCCTTGCCTGGTATCGCTCGAGCGTGAGATTTTCTTTGCCGATCATTTCAGCAAAGGCCTGTTGCACGGACATGGGCGATCCCTGGATATCTTCCAACCCTTTCTCTGCCAGTATTGTCCGGTCGGTCTCCTTCCAGCAATACAGCGACCCTCGCTCGATGAGATACAGGGCTTCTTCGGGAAGCAGCTCCATGCGCTTGTGCAGCTTCTCGGTGCCGTCAACCACAGTCGGCCGCGGCACTGAATGTCCCATCGAGCTGAAATGGGTGCCACGAGATACCGTGACATGTGCTCGAGCAAGATCAGGATGCCAGACTGCATAGCTCACACCCTTGCTAACGAAGCGGCATGAGACTCCGATGACTGAAAGCCCGTCGTGTTTTGCACCTTGATATGGTTCGCTGAGCGCGCAAAGCATCCAGCATAGCATTGCGAGAACGATCCAGAATGTGAACTTGAAGGCCCGATCCACCTCCAGCATGAGGTTCGAATTCTTTTTCTCCTCGCCGCGGGATCACAGGACGTGCTGAGCTTGGTCTACGATCGACTCAGCACATGAACGCGTTCAAAGTAGTCGGAGAACGGACAAAAGTTTGGACCAATCTAATACAACGTCTCCCTCCTCATCAGAGCCTTGCTCCACATCTTCTGCGCTCTCTGATACCGTGTTCGTAGGTTTCGCGTCTGGCTGTTCGAGAGAGTCATCCATTCTGCTGAGGAGAAAAGAGTCAAACTTGGCATTCTGATCATTGGCAGTGTGATTGACACATGATGTCTGATGGCCTAGTAAGTGGGTCGCATGGGTGCTAGAGACTTGGACTACCACACAATGTGTTCAGACCAAAACGGATGTTTCTTTCATCTCGTGCGCGATTGACGTGGTAACAAGCTTCACGTGGTTCTCAAAGGCAGGCTTAGAAACCGTCCTGTATTCTGCGCCAAACTTCCTCTTGCATTCCGAATATGATGTGGCCTTCTACCGAGTCAAATATAAATATCACCTAGGACTGATTCCCGATGCGTGTCCGCATCTCTTTGACTGCGATCGTAACCATCTTCTCCCGACATGAACACACGACGAGTTGTTTTCTTCGGTTCCAAAGTCCGAGCTCCGTCACAGCGCACGCACGCGGGGTCAGATCCTGACTTTCGGTACACCAGTCCGACCCGCCGGCACTGCTGGATCAAAGGTCCATATTTTTTGTCAGCGCGTGAGATGTCTGGTAGAGTTCGGCCGAGAGAGAATAATATACCTGTGGATAAAGACTAGGTGTAGTGTACAACATAGATGTGGATAGCAATGCGATCAATTGTCAACGTTCAACGAAATCGGGCCCAATGACGAGCCAATCTCAACATGGCCCGCGGATGGATCTGGAGGTGACGAATGAGGATTCCACCCCAACCAGCCTCTGCTCGTGGACCAGGACTTGGCAAAGACTTGGGGGATGTATAGCCGTGATTTGCCGGTCGGGTCCTGCAGCGAGCTCCCCCGATTGACTTGGGCCCAACTTGCTTGCGTGTGAATATCATAGAACCCTGAAAATTTGGAGTCAACAGTGACTGCAGTGGGGGCTTGGCTGTTCTGAACGTCCAACGCCAACATCGACGACGGTGTGTTATTTTCGTGGCGAACGTGCAGTGTGAGCGGGGCGTTGTATGTCTTGACAGACGCGTAGTACTTGGCGGGGTCGGGGCCGCTTGATTCCAATGTGACATTCGCAACAATCGAGCTAGGGAAAATGAGCGACAAGGAAGAGACAGTGTAGGGTTCCCTCGCCTGTTGCCGTTTTCGATGGACAGGTAAGTGAATCGGTCAGATTCGCCGGCGTCCAATAATGTGGCATTGATGTTGATGGGCCTGCAGGGGAGGCTTTAGAAGCACCTGGGCTGGATGCAGGGAGACTTACCCCTCGACATTTTCCACTCTAAGGGACTCGGAAACGAGAAATGTCCCTGAGATGCTTGCAAAGGAAGTCTTGACTGCTATCATCTTCGCTTGCAGGGTCTAGGAACCATTTAGAAAACAGCGCAACCACAGAAACTTCGCGTTCACATCGCAGCTTATGTGGGAGCCAGATCCCGCCAGATTGATTGTTTGGAAGGCAAGTCCGCCACCGAACGTTTGTTGAAACATGGGTAGAAAAGTGGACACATCGGACAGTGGGTTTGAGCGCCGCGGGACAGTCAATCGGATATCAAAGCTCAGCATATCATCTACATCGATCCCCTCGGGATACTAGAGTGACACGTCAGTGACGGTTTAGGAAACTTGGCCGGTTACACACATAAAGATAGATTCCTGGCCATCCTGTATTCAAACAGAGGTGGACCATATCGAGATATGATGGATCCGATGTATTGACGGAGAATGAAAGCAGCGTCTGTGTACCCACTAAATCATCGCTCGATTCTACCGTCAGAGTGTGAATCCCTTTCCATTTCGAGTGGGTAGGGTTATCGTCGGTGACGTTGGATCGTATGGAAAGTGCTCCCCGGAATGACAGGAGGGTTTCGAAGCTGTTGTCCGAGGGTGAATCTCATGAGAAATGCTCGTCATCGTTCTCACCTCGTAGAATAGACTAATCCATCAAATGCTGCCGCGGGAAGTGCGATGCAGTTGTTTCCTGTCTTCGGTACTCCATTCAAGCCCAGAGCGAAGTCAAGAGGTGGGGCGGGGATGCTGTCTCCGAGATATAGATTCTTGAATGGGGGGGATTAACTTGTTTTCGGTTTTTGAGCTGAGTGTGTTGATGGTGAGATGCATGAGATAGTGTACAGTATGGAACGTACAGTGAGAAAAAGAGGGGTGCCGATGATGATAGTCAGAAAGACATAGATTCCAAGGGCGATGAGGACCGCCCGCCAGATGCGGGGGTCGAACCGGTGAGGAACGTCCTTCGGCCCCTTCGATACAACAGGTGCCGGTGTTTCGACTTGTTGTGCTTGGGACGTTTCGTAGTCAGGAAGGTGGGAAGCGGATCCATATGCCGCGCGCTCGGGAAGACGAAGAGTCGGCGCCTCCACCGACTTGAGTTTGGACGAGCCGTCCTCGTCGTCCGGTAAGATCATGAATGCATTGGGAGAGCGGTCTCTTGTTCGTAACCGGCATGACAAGAGAATTGATGCGGCATGTCATTATAACTTACAAGCAAGTGTATACAAGCTCAGATTATCTTATCTCACAAGCGATGGATTTGAATTTTGCAGTGAGCCTGGGGCAGTTATATATTGACTTCGAGTTTTTAAGCATGTCAAGTCTGAAGGGTTTATGTGTATCCAGACGAATTTCGACAGAGACCGTCATCGGCCTATGATACCGATCCGCCTCTAATGTCTGCATGTTCATTTCATATTCATGGAGCAGACGAAGCATGGGGCAATTCGACTGTCAGTCTGGGTCACCATCAGGCTCGTCGAGCCGAGCCTATCCGACTCGGTCACCTGGAGCCCAAGATTGAGAGCCGATTGAGTCGAAAAGTCTACTCTGTGGCTTCTTCCACAATTTGCCAACTTCTCGGCCCTTCTGGTGCATTATCATGTCAAAAGAAATGGGTAGTATAAGATCATCTAGTGTATAGTCTGAACTTACATTTACAAATGAGTGCACCCGACCACCCGGTCCGCGTCGCCACCGGTTGGCTTTAAGGTCGAAACAGCATATGGTGCCAATGTCCTTGGCAAATCTTCTGAGAATGCGCGCAGAGCTCGTCCAGTTCTTCGGAGTGTACCGCCGACGCTTGCAGATAAGTGTCTGGCGTGCGAACATCTTCATCTGTGCTATCGGCAACTTGAAACCATCTTATTCTCACGAGACCCGATTTGGTTGTTTCATCGCGTCGCCGAGCTCAAGGTGGCGGATGTACTCGGCCGATTTGCCATGTTTTAGATTAGATTAGATTCAAGATCTCAGATAATCGATTATGTAAAATTTGTTTGGCGAAAGGATGGCGTGCTAATCCCCCCGATCTCTAGAAACTATAAGAGCAGATGTTAAAGCGGAAGAAAATCAACGAACCCTATCCTCCATCCTCTCCAACACTTACTGAGCCATGAGTGAAGCTGCCGCAACGTCATCAACCTATCCCAGTGTGGTAAGATTGCCGGCGCTTTCCTTCTCACAATACACATCCATCTTCGTAGTACTCTGGAGGAAACCCGCCCCATGGCGGCGTTCTGAAGGTATATCCCAACACATCCACTGTGTCTGGTCATGGTTTCCAATGCTTCTGCAGGACATTGTCGCACGGGATGAACCTATCGCCGGCAAACTGTCCGAGGAAGCCTCTACTCTGGGAGATGTTGTTCTGACCGAGGTTCGTGGCGCGAAGTATGTGGAGGACCATTGATCAATGAGCGATAGCGTCAAATGTGTGATCTCGAGCTCATTATGAATGGCGGATTCAGTCCTCTGGAGGGGTTCATGAACGAGGCAGATTTCAACAGGTGCGTTCGTAACCTTCCGTCCGACTCGGGATTGACAGCCTTCAAGCGTCGTCGACAACCTCCGCCTTGCAGATGGTGCCCTCTTCCCCATGCCAATCACTCTCGACGTCTCTCAAAAGACCATCGACGCTCTGAAGCTCGCTGCTGGTGTTCGGATCTGCCTGAGGGATCCTCGTGATGACCAGGCACTGGCCATTCTGACGGTCGATGATGTCTACAAGCCGGACCAAGTGAAGGAGGCGGTCGCGATCTTTGGAGCGGACGACCCCGCCCACCCTGCAGTCACTTATCTGCGCAAGAGTGTGCACCCGTTCTACGTCGGAGGCAAGATCCAGGCTATTCGGGCTCCAACTCACTTCGACTATGTTGCACTTCGCTGTGAGTGTATTTGCCACCGTATCTTAGAACGAATGGAGCTGATTACGAACAGTCACGCCCGCTGAACTGCGCGCTCACTTCAAGAAACTTGCTTGGCGTAAGGTTGTGGCGTTCCAGACGAGGAACCCCATGCACCGAGCTCACCGAGAGCTGACCGTGCGAGCTGCTCGCCAGCGCCAAGCTGTGCGTCCATTCTCCTCGGATCTTGTGCGTCACTAACACCGCAAAAGAACGTGCTGATACACCCGGTCGTCGGTCTCACCAAGCCAGGAGATGTTGACGCCTTCACTCGAGTGCGGGTGTATCAGAGCATCATGGAAAAGTACCCTAACGGAATGGGACATCTGGCTCTCCTGCCACTTGTGGGTTTTGCAGATTGTATGCGCTTGTGTCCTAGGCTGATGGCTGTGAATAGGCGATGCGGATGGCTGGGCCCAGGGAGGCTGTCTGGCATGCCATCATCCGCAAGAACTTCGGTGCGACTCACTTCATCGTGGGCCGGGATCATGCAGGTCCTGGCAAAAACTCGCAAGGGAAGGATTTCTACGGCCCTTACGATGCGCAGGACCTTGTGACCAAGTATCGCGACGAACTCCAAATCGAGATGGTTCCGTTCCAGCAGATGAGTTACATCCCTGCTTCGGATGAATACCAGCCCGTGGACGAGATCCCCGCTGGGGTTAAGACCCTGGATATCTCAGGTACTGAGCTGCGCAGGCGCTTGAAGACCGGCGCTGCCATCCCAGACTGGTTCAGCTACGAGTGAGTGTGATCAGATTTCTAGGCGGTCATTCCAGCTAACGGTCCGTGATCCAGATCGGTCGTCAAGACTCTCCGCGAGAGCTACCCGCCTAGACAGAAGCAGGGCTTCGTCCTCTTCTTCACTGGGCTGTACGGCTCGGGTAAAGATGCCATTAGCAAAGCGCTGCAGGTCACGCTGAACGAGCAGGGCGGCCGCAGCGTGTCTCTGCTCCTTGGCGAGACGGTGAGACAAGAGCTTTCGTCTGAGCTTGGGTTCTCCCACGAGGATCGACACACCAACCTGCTTCGCATCGGTTTCGTTGCTGCTGAGTTGGCCCGTGCCGGTGCTGCTGTGATCGCCGCTCCCATCGCCCCATACGAGGCTTCTCGCCAAGCCGCCAAAGACACGATTGTGTCGTCCGCCGGCGCTGGCGGCAACTACTACCTCATCCATGTCGCGACCCCTCTCGAGTACTGCGAGAAACATGACCGGAAGGGTGTGTATGCCAAGGCGCGCCGCGGTGAAATCAAGGGCTTCACTGGTGTCGATGACACGTACGAAGCACCCTCGAAGCCCGCCTTGTCAGTCGATATCAGCGTCCAGAGCATCCCCGAGATAGTGCATAGTGAGTGGCCTCTCATGCGAACAACGATCAAGCTTGCTGATGACACTCTAGGCATCGTTTTGCTTCTGGAGAAGGACGGTCTGTTGTAGAATATATTTAATATTGCTAGAATCTTGTAGAAATCCATGAATATTTGTTTTATCGATTACGAACACCGTCAGAGGCTTTGAAATAGCATTAATCGGCTGATAAGTGGCAAAGACGAGGAAGACGAGGATCGAATTGTGACTCGTCACGTAGTCCCGTGACACTGTATCCTTCCACTCACCATGAACTCATCTAAGTCCAAACTTTCTGCTTTCTTTGAACAGGAAGACGACGAGCCATCGTTACCCGTGCGATGAACAGCAGCCATTCCCATCTAATCAACGATGCTTACCACGGACCTACTAGCCCAGCACAAGCAGTGCCGGCCACGCCGCCCCCCATTCCAAGCCCCCGCCTGGTCTAGATGACGCAAAAGTATCGCAGTTCATGCACGCGGGAACTGTAAAGAAGTCGCGCAGGGAGAAGGAGCAAGAGGCGGCTGAGGCGAAGAAGAAAGAGGAGGAAGCGAGCGCTGCCAAGGCTTACGCCGAGTTTTTGGATGAATTCGACGCGGACCGCGCCACGCGCGCGCAGGGCTTCGTCAGAGGTGATTCGGGGGGTGCTGCGTATAATCCAAGCGGTGGGAGGTACGCGTCGGATGTGTCGAGTTCGAGGAATAGTGCAAGGCGTCGGGTGTGTTTTGTACGCCTCTCAGTCGGCCCGCGTCTGACACCCTGAATCAAAGTCCCCATCCCCCGTGGCCGGCCCGCCTCGTCCGAGAGGGAAAAGAGCTATGGATGCCTTTCTTGAAGAAATCAAGAGGTGTGTGTCTGCGCTCGATGCCGACACGTTCTCAAACCAGTCTTGAGCTTAGAGATCAAGCTGAGCGTGAAGCCAAATACGCTAAACATTCGGGACCTGGCCGCTCGGCGACGGCTATGGCAGGTTGGATACTGCGCGAATTATCTTTGAACGGACGTTTACTCGAGAGTAGCGTATGAAGGGCAAAGCGGAAGCAAGGATAGAGGAGATCCTCAGGTCAGTGGCTTCTTTGACTTGACCGCAAAGGCTGAGCTCTCGTAGACGACCAACCTCTTCGTTGCTAATCTTCCTCAAAATGTGACTGAACAGGGTCTTGGCGTCTTCTTCGCGCGATGCGGACCAGTGGGCTCGGTGCGCTTTTGACCGGCTTGGTCGTACGCTCCTCTGACCTCTTCATGCAGGTCAAAATAATGTGGCCGAGGACAGATAATTCGACAGGTCCAGGTGCAGACATGACAAGTACCCGACGAGCGAAAAGCACCGGCTTAAGCGGCTTTGTGTCTTTCCTGAAGCGCAAAGACGCAGAAGACGCTCTGCGAGAGACCGATGGACTGGAGTGGGGAGGGTCCGTCCTTCGTGTCGGATGGAGCAAAGCTGTTCCTGTTGCCCCAAGAGCAATGTATAGTAAGTGGCGAATGTTTCGAAGGAATTCTGCATCTCATCTAGATACACAAAGCGGCGTCCGCGGTCGAAAGTGGGCATCATCGTCGCAATGAGCGACATCGGAGCCGAAGCAGGACACCTTCACGCGAGCGTCGCCGTGGTCGCAGCCGCAGCCGGTCAGGCTCACGGCAGCCGTATAGCCGATCCCGGCGCAACAGCGACTCTCGCAGCCCAGCGGGGATCCACGACGATGATGATGAAGATGAGGTGACGGACATGTTCATACGTGCTGTCGCAGCAGAAGTAAAAGGACAGGGCTCCAAGTTCGAAGCGAGTCTCATAGATCGGGAGCGGAACAATGCGAAGTTCGCGTTTCTGGTGAAACGAACTGTAGGTCCTCGGTGATCTGGAGCCAATCCGTGCGCTCATTGGAGACAGCATCGCAGACACGCATTTTACCGAGGTCTCATCGAGTCGGAGCGTCCTCTCGACCCGGAGTTCGACGATGAGGTGCGTCTATCATAGCAGCCGGCTCGCAAGGTTTTGACAGTCTGAGGGTAGGGCTACAACTCTGTGTACTCAAGTGACTCTGAGGAAGAGTCTGAACGAGAACAGGGACGCAAGAATGTGCTTGGCAAGCTGGCGCGAAAACGATTCGAAGCAATGCTGCGAGCTCTGTCTGGGAAACGCGGTGAAGTCGCTCGGTGCATGGCATTCAGTCTCGAGCACGCTGAAGCTGCGCACGAAGTCGCCGATATTATCATCGCATCTCTGCTAGTTGATTCTACCGCCGTTCCACGCAAAGTTGCGAGACTGCATCTTATCTGCGACATTCTGAACAACTCTGCGGCGGCTGTTCCCAGTGCCTGGAAGTTCAGACAGGAGTTCCAGGCTCGATTGGGCGTTGTCTTCGACCATCTGGCAACAATCTATCACTCGTTTCCTGGCCGGATCACTGCCGACATGTTCAAGAAGCAATTACATCCGTGCTCGATGTCTGGGAGGACTGGATCGTGTTTCCCTCGGATTTCATTGCCCAGATGAGGGCCAGACTGGAAGGCACCCCCAGCCAGGAGCAGCCGGTCGCAGAGAAGGAGAAGGCTGTGATATCGCCGAGCGTGGCTCCGATGTCCCGTTTCAAGACGAGCACGTTCCAGTTGGCGGACGACAGTGCCCCTGCCGCTGATGATGTTGATGGCGCTCCTCTTGGAGGTGACGATGTGGATGGGGTGCCCATGGATGACGTTGACGGACTGCCCATGGACGATGTTGATGGGGTGCCGATAGATGATGTTGATGGGGTGCCCATGGACGACATCGACGGCGCGCCGTTGGATGATGACATTGATGGCGCGCTGATTGACGATGATATCGACGGCGCGCCGATTGACGATGTCGACGGTGAGCCAATGGAGCTCGAAAACTAGTTGATGTATTGTAGATCAGCGCTTGGACGATTTGTACCATGCTTTCAAATCTTCCAATCCGAATTCTGCATCCACGTCCACATCCGATTCTGGCTCGACCATAGCTTGCAGTGGCTCCTGGTAGTCGGCGAGGGCCTGTCTCAACTGGGCGACGACTTTTCGCTCTAGATCGGCTGCTATTTTATCGGGAAGCCAATGGGGCATGACCCAATCTGACTGTGTTTCGTTGGCATATCCGAGCAGAGAGAAGGCCGGCGGCCTCGCCGTGCGGGCCGGTTTGTAGTGGGCTCCCAGCTCGTGGCTCAGTATGCGACACAATGCGCAACAGGCCGTTGAAAGCGAGATTGGGATCGTATCGGTGGTCGGGAAGTGAGTCTGCTTCAGACTCAGCCTGGGGCTGTGACGCATGGAAGCTGTGGACCCACATAATCAAACACCTCGAAGGCAGATTTCATGCATTCGGGCTCGGGGACGGACGCATGCAAAGTCTCGCGCTGGACACAGAGCAGAGACGATGCCAACGCTGCAGCCTCGCAATGGACTCGGCCTTGCAGATGATGCTCGCTCTCCTGACAGATGCTGTGCAGCAGTCTCTTCGCGGTGCCGACGCTTTTCTGGTCCCAGTCTGTGGATTTCTGCCATCGCCGCACCAGATCGTCTGCATCAACGCTTGGTTCGTTGGCGTTGACAGGTTTTTCAATCGCAAGCTGCTCGACTGGCGACCGAGGGGGCGTGACCACTGTTAACGCGATCCTCGTGTCTGGCTCAAATACGTTTTCGAACATCGTGAACATATGCCGGCTGGAGACCGAAATTGGCACAAGGCCGCGAGGCGGCGGAGGAAAGTCCGGGTGGATGGGCGCGACTCTTCGCTCATCTCTCCCGCTGCGACATGTGTTGGCAGTGGGATACGCGAGTGCTGAGACAGACGCACTCACTTAGAAGGTCCGAATTGCCCATGTCGATCAACCATATATCCAAGTCGATGTCGGGTTTCTCTTTTTGTGCTGACAGAATGATGAGTGTTCGAGCCTGAGTCAGTCCCGTGTGCCTCACCAATCTGGGCATGGACTGCGTCGTTGAATGAATCCAATTCCATCAAACACGGCTCGAGTGCTTTGAGCAACATCATCAGAGCCAACAAGCTCCGGTCGAGTCTCTTGACGTATTCAGATGGAACGCTCAGACCCTCGCTCCGAACTTGGCTCACCAAGTCCTTGACATCGGTGAACATCGCGTAGATCTTGGCCACCCATTTCCTTGCTTCGCTCTGCTTCCATTCGATCTTGTCTGTCTCCAGCATCTTGCTCAGAGGTCCATCCTGGGCCAGCGGAATTCGTCGCTCTCTCGTTCTCATCGCTTTCTTCGTGGGTGTCCAGTTCAGGATCCGACTCCAGTCCCCGTACCAGGCTAGAATGCAGCGGACGCGGGTCGTGATCTTCGGCAGACATTGCACGACGATCCATTGCGCGAACAGGGACGACCGCGGATGGGGGAGCGATGGCAGCCGGATGAGCGCTGTGAGAAAACCCAGTAGTTGATTGAGGTAGGAAACCAAGTCCACAGGTCTTTCGATGTGCCCATCGGACCGATCCAAAAGTGCTTCTCTGGAAACTGGCTATGTGAGAACTGCTGGCATCCAGAGCAGACTTACAGTATGCGGCACCCGCGTTCGATCTGTGTTCTGTCATTCCGCAGTGTTTGTGAGAACCCCATATCGACGATTGAAGAGGACTGCTGATAACAGTGTAAGATGCGATTCAGTCCGCAGGGCGACTGCTTCATACCCCTGGAGTAGAAAGTAAAGAACTAAAGCATCGAGACTTCAGATTGATCCTCCGCACTCGGTCGCAAGGCTCGGCTTACTGAGTGACTACAATCGCAGAAATCTCCTCATGAGCCATAACGGGACCAGGCACGACTGCAACAGCGTCTTTCTCCGAGTCAGATCGGGCAAAACATGTTACAAGGTGTGCGCAGAAACGCTCCAATTTTGGATCAGAGCAGTCCTTCGGTAGGGATAAGCGGGACCTCTTGATGCGTTTCTGTTCCTGAAGTGAGCGCAAGAGTCGAGACGCGTAGTAGACGCTCTGTATCCGGTCTGCTTGTTGCTCCATCGGGCAAAGCGTGTTTTATCTAATCGGTGATGCTGATGATAACATCATTGATCGTATCCTATTTTACTTGCGACCGCAATGAGCCATGCGACGACGACACCTCATCCTGCTCCTCACAGCCGCCATTCTAGGACTCCTCCTGCGCCCCCTGTTGAAACAGATTCTAAAGCCTCCTGCCCATTCCACCGAGCGACGCGTCCCCGACACTCGCGTGACAGTGCATAGAGCGGAACCACCACCGCCGCTTCCTATCCCACCGCACCCCGCGCTCGAAAACGCGGCTCCCGGATGGCACGCATTCAGGCCCCCGCCCAACAACACCTTCAAGCCGTTTGAGCTGTCCCAGGAACGCACTCCCGGGCAGATCCTGCCCTGCTCAGAGGACTGGGTCGCCCACGGCATCCCGTGCCCCGCCCCGCCGACGCGCCTGGACGTGGTGTGGACGTGGGTGAACGGGTCGGATGCGCTGCTGGAGGGCATCAAAGACGACGTCGCGCGTGCTGCCGAGGCTGCCATGAACGTGAACCGCGGGCGGATGAACCGCATCCCGTTCTACGGTGTCACGACGATGCATTTCCGGGATCATGGGGAGATGAGATATTCGATGCGGTCGGTGCTGAAGAATATTCCACATGAGATCGCGGGGAAGGTGAGCTGCGCGGGTGATCAGATCGTTCGAGCGAAGGCTTAAGCTTGCAGTACACTATCCTGACAGCGGACGTCAAAGCAGACGACACGGATGAACTGAGGCTAGGTTCCATTCCTACCTGGCTCAATCTCGATGCTGGTGTACGCGTCTTGCACCACTCGGACGTGTTTCGTGGCTCATTCGAGCGGGATGCGATCGTTCCCTCGTTCAACAGCCTGGCGATAGAAAGCCAGCTGTCAAACCTGCAAGACTCTGCACAAACCATATTCTGTGCGTCCCTTCAAGGCTCCCTGTCACTGTATTCAAGTCGTCGCAGACATGAATGACGACTGCTTCGTTCTGCGTCAGCTCTCTGGGGCCGATTTCCAGACTCCGCTCTACGGGCCTGTGTTCCGAATCCAGTTCGATCTTGCTGTAGAGAGCAAAAGGCCCGGGTCGATGCAGATTGGGATGGAAGGGGAGTGGCCGGCCCTCGAGTATACCAATTGGCTGTTAGGTCAGTCGTTTGTCCCTACCAATGTTCTTCTCACAGACAGCAGACCAGCGATTCGGCCCACATAGACGACGATACCTGCATCACGTTTCAAAAGTACTTTCTACGCCGATTCTCCACGAGGTGGCGAATATCTGGGCGGACGAATTAGGCAATGCTGCCAAGGCACGGTTTAGAGGACAAGGTCTTCAGGTCAATCTGATCTACCTCGTCACGTGGTACACCATTGAGATGCACCGAGAAACATTGTCTGTGCCGATTCAAAGTCTCGTAAGACCTGTCACTGACGTTGTCTGCAGACTGTATTCCTTTATCATGCTGCATGTCGATGCAGACGGCGACGGCCAACTTTCAGAAGAGGAACGGGCGATATTGACTGCGGGGTTGGATGCTTCTGGGGTCACGCGCATACCAGCTGGTGATCGGTCAAGCAAGAACGCGGAATTCGTTGCTCAGAATCTAGAGGCCGCGGGACTCGAGAGTCCCAGGGAGACAGAATACATTTGGCTTGCGGTGGATGGATACCCTCTCGTCTACCGGGATCACGAAGAACACCGCACAAGACCAAAAGCCAACGGACCGCCCAGCAAGGGAGCAAACCAGGACTCGTTCTGCACCATCAAGGAGGATCTCTGCTTCCCCGCGGGAAAAAGCGCGCGTGAGATGCTGAAACGGGTCGCTGTCGAAGAGCCGAGATGCGGCGATTGTCTGATTCTGCACGTCCTGAGAAGCAGCCCGAGTCAGGGACTGGACAGCTTCTTGCCCAAGACACGCGGGCTGCCGAGGAGAGGGATGCATCTCAATCTGGGTAAGAGCTGGGATCAGGTCGAGTTTCCATCCGGATTGGGCCGCGAACACATCGTCAATCTGCTGTGAGTGGTTCAACCGCTTTCGATGTCACGTAGTGTGCTCATCCCTGCCCAGACAAAGATACCACTACGCGATCGGGGACTCCCCGATCGCGTTTATCTCTATGCTCCGCCCGGATGACATGCGCAAGCTGCCTACGAAGGCCAGCCCCACCGCTTTTTTGGCCATCAACGACGACCTGAAGAATCCGGGATCAGTGGCTGCTGCGGACCAGCGCCTGGAAGTTTGGTATAAACTAAGGTTTGGCGCGTCGAAAGGTCGATGGGAGAAAGACGAGAGCAGGGACGAGGACGAGGACGATTGGTAGAGCACACATTTGTTGATTTGTACATTATCATTACTGCTTTCTTCATCTGCTCAGGCCTGCTCCGACGCATAAAACTTCATCAGGTCCTGCACATCGTCCCTGCTTCCCAGGAAAACGGGACATCGTTCGTGGATGCTGGTCGGAACAATGTCCAAGATCCGCTTGGTTCCAGTGGTGGCGATGCCTCCGGCCTGAGCACGATACGCGTCACAGAGGAGTGGAGGGCCACAGAACATGCACACACCTGCTCGGTCAGGAAGGCCATGGGGAATGCTTCATACAGCAGCCGCAGCTTCCCGCTCTTGCTCTTCTTGTCATCCGGGTAGCCGAAGATGCCCCCGTACAACAGAGTTCGGTGGACATCAGCGACCATGGATCCAATGTAACGAGCGCTGTACGGGGTCTTCGGGGCATTGGGGTATTTGATGGACTTGAGATATGCGTTCACGGGCGGGTGGAAGTACATAGAGTTGCCTCGAGTCCTGGTCAACAGTCGAAGCAGCCTCTCGCTCCATAAGCTCACCTTCATTGAACGAGTAGATCTTGCCCCGCGGCGGTATTTTGATCTAACGAACGTTTAACCATACTAGAGATCGGCAGACACAGCGGCACAAACGTCGGGATGCGTCAGAATGAATTCTCCCAGAGCCGCATCCAGCGTATAGCCGTTCACGCCGAAACCAGTCGAGAGCACCAAGTTCGCAGACGACCCATACCTGGACTAGCATTAAGATGACGTCACAGTGCGGCGATCGCCCAAGATTTACATACATGGTGTATCCGGCGGCGACCATCTCACTGCCGGGCTGGAGGACGTCCTCTACGGACCCGAGAGATCCATCGCGCTGGGACGTGGTTCAACAAAGACGAAGCGGAGCGGGAGGAGTGGGCGACGACGCACCACTTTGTAGATCCCAAAGATCGTCCCGATGTTGACACCCGCGTCGATGTTGCTGCTGCCATCCAGCGGGTCAAACACGACGCAGTACTTCCCCCGGTACTTCTCCTCGATGATGATCGCGTCGTCGAGCTCCTCGGAGACGAGCACGGCGGTCTTCCCGGACGCACGCAATGCGTTCACCATGATGTCTAGCGCGCGATGTCAGACGACGGCGGAACCCGAGCGGGACGTGAAGCCACGCGCCATTTGACAGAACATCGAGTTTCTTCTGCTCTTCGCCCTGCACATTCGTCTCCCCCGCGAGTCCGACGCTGCGCGCAAAGTATCGTGAGCACACGCGCACGCAGTCTGGCACGACAGACGGCGCACAGGTTGATCAGACGCGCTTTACGGACATTCGTCGCGATGAACTTGGAGGTCACTTGGATGGCTGTCAGGAGGAGGGTCAAATCGCCGGTCGCGGTCGTCCCCAGACGGAGCTGATCGCTTAGGACATGACTGCGAAGAACCGTCAGACAATCTGCGTTTTCCTGACCTGAGCAAGGAGGCCCACCGAGTCAGGGTGATGAGATCGACGTTGGGTACCTCTTCAGCAGAGGCCATTGCGGTGTGGACAATGAAGGGATTACAGATTAGGAGCAAGGGGTCAAAGTTTGGACGACACTCAGAATGAGATCCGTGGCGGCCCGGTTCACGTACGTACGGGGTTCCGCGCTTACATAACCGTTGGGTGGGTTCGCAGGTGGTTTGTTATCAACAGAATTTATACGATGTATTTAATCCCTCCAGATTCCGTTAGTGAATGATTAGAATTATACTTAATCTTGGCCGCCCCTGCTGCGACGACCGGGAGGGCTCGTGGTCATGCGCAAGATGGCGTCTTTGGCGGCAACGATCTCCTTCTCACCGCCGAGGATGACGATCGTGTTGTTCTCGCGGCTGACGGTGATGTCCGCGCCGGTCTCGTTGCGCAGTCGGAGAACGTTCGCGCCCTTGGAGCCGACGATGCGCGGGAAGGCGGACCGGTCAGGGAGCGTCAGCAACCCGACGTGCGACATCCGCTCGGCACTGGCAATGGCTTCCTTGACCTGTTTTTCAGCCCGATCCAATCCAGCCTGGTCCTTGGCCCGCAGCGTCCAGACCGAGTCCCCGGCTTCGGCATCCTGGTAGTTGGCGCTCACATCCCACTGGGCAGCCGCGCTGTCGGCCTCTGCCTCGTCGATCCGGGCTGTTCCGTTGCCTGCGGGCTTGGGCTGGCTCACAGCTTTCTTGGGCAGGACAGACTGTTCAACCTGTACTTGCGTCGAAGACCGCAGGTTTCGCAAGAATTCTGGCGGAACTTCAGCATTGATTACGCTAGGTGCGCAACAGAACGTGACTCACGGCCCTGCTGAGAGATTACCGGAACGAACTTGAGGGGCACTACGACCGTCGTCGAGGGACCATCCGCAACGGTGGGCTTGACGGAGGCCTTGAGCTGCTCGATGGCCTTCTCACAGGCAGCACGGGAGCCGGAGACCTTGACGATGTTGGCAGCGTCGACGTCCTTCAGATCGGCCGCATTCGCAGGCTCGCCCGCCTGTGCGTAAGAGCGCGAGCCAGGGAACTGCACTTGCGTGCCGGTCTTGTCCTGCAACTCGTTGAGGTGTTGTCCACCCCGACCAATCAGAGCCCGGTGCTGGCTGGCGGGAATCTCGACAGCGAGCACCACGCGATCACGAAGCTTGGCAACCTCCGCTTCCAGTTCGGCCTTGAGCTTCGCGACCAGCTTCGGCTCACCCCGCAGACGCACTTCATCAGAGGCAGCGTCGGTGGGACGGGGGAACCGGATCAGTCCAGCCTGCACCTTCGGGTCAGACGGTCCACCGGAGCGCAGGACGAGTTCCTTCAGGCCTTGTCCCCCAGCACCAATCAGGGTGCGGTGGAACTTGCTCTCGATGGTCAGCACGACTGTCGTTTCCTCAGTCACAGTCTCTGAGATCGCTAGGATCGCAGCCTTGGCCTCGGCAACAGCCTTCTTGGTTCCACGCAGACTGATGGTCGTGACCGCAGATTCTTCCGAAGCCTTGTCCACGTCGATTTGCGCGCCAGTCGAGTCCTTGATCTCATTGATGGAGGCACCGCCACGACCGAGGATACGAGCAACGGCGCGGTTCGGCACAGTGAAGCTTGACGTCTGGTTGGACTCCTTTTCGAACTCATACGCCTCCATGAGCTCTGCTTTGGCCTGGGCAACGCCCTTCTTGCCACCCTTGACGAGCACCTCGTCGGACTTGAGTGACTCCCGGGTCTTGCCTTCGGCGTTGTCGGCCTGGCGGGGGAAGGTGATTTTGACGTTGTACTTTTCCTCGAGACGGATCGCATATTTCCCGCTCGAGCCGATCAGCGACGAGTGGAACTGGCTGGGAATCTTGAGGACTTCCGACGTTTCGTCCGCCAGCCTGTCCACCTGTGCCAGAATGCGCTTTTTGGCCTCTTCGACATTTTCCTTCCGACCGGTGATTTTGACCTTGGTGAACTTGGAGTGTGCAGCCTTCTTCTTTTTCCCGGCAACATCTTTCTCCTTTTCGTCGGCCTCGTCCGACAGATCCACTTTGACACCCAGGACATCCCGGAGCTTGTTCACTCCTGCACCCTGAGCACCGACAATCCGACCAACATATTCCCGTTCAATGTCAAAGTCCGTAGACTACAAATCTATGAGCGTCGTGGAAAGCTTGAACAACATGAACTCACGAAGCTGCTGACGATCTCATCGTTTTTGGCACTCTCGACGATGGCAGTAATCTCCTTGATGGCGCGTTCGACGTCGCCAGCGGCACCGCGCAGGACGATGACGTCTTCACCCGACGGGTCTTGAGCGTCCGCACCAACCTTGATCGACAGGGCCTTGTCCTCGCCAATGATGCTGTACTCGGTCAGTCCCATTCTGTGGGGTTGAAAAGCTGGAACGCACGCGTTGAGAGTCGTTCCGCCTCTGCCAACGACAGCTTCGTGCCAGCGTTTTTCGACAGGAATCGTCTCACTCTTGACATCAGCGGCGTCCTTGGCGAACTTGAGAATCTCTTTCGCGACTTCCTCCAGACTTTTGTTCTTGTCGTCCGGGAGAGGAGATGCCTTCGCCGAAAGCGGATCATAGACCAACAGAACAGAAGACTGTTCAGCAGTCTCGGGCGGGAAAAAGACCTGAACATTCTGCACGTCGTGGAACTGCTTCAGCTTCTTAGCGTTCTTGCCCGTGATCACGCGATGAAGCAGCCAGTCAAGCTGCACCTCCCGAGTAGCACCGATGAGCTTGCCGATCAGTCCTGAGACCTGTCGGACAGCCTCATCGACGTCAGCCTTGTTTCCGATGAGGTCAATATTGAGAATCGAGGCTTTGTCGACGACGCTGGGCTCGGGAGTATAGACGGTGACGCCAGGGTGCGCAGCACTCAGCGTCTTCGGGTAGTTGATCCGGATCATATACGTAAGCAACTGCTTCGAAAGCGCAGTCGGACCAGGAAGCGGGAACTCGTGGATGTACTGCGAGTTAGCCTTGCTCATGACTGCGCCGAGACCGGCAGCCAGATCAGCGCTCGCGCCCCATACGGTCACTTCGTCGCTCTGCTCCTCGGGTTTGGCGACCGAGACAACGCAGCGAGTCTCCTTGACGATTTCACCAACGGTCTTGCCGATGAGCAGTCGATGCTGACGCTTCGGCAACTGGATCTTCAGTGACGTGAGACTGCTGCCGTATTCAACGATGGCACCCTTGATAGCCTCAACAACGCGCACAACCGGCTCGCGGTCACCGCTGATCGTCAGGTCGCGGCCAGCAAGCGTGAACTTGAGCTCTTGACCGGGGCCAGCGAAGGCCTCAAACTCAGCTCGGCGAGAGGTGACAAACGGAAGGATGTGCGCAGGGATGTCCCGAACTCGTTGGGTAGTCTTGGAAGTCTTCGTCGAGATAACTTGATTAATCAGAGCCTGCGCTTCCTCGGCCAGGGGCTGTGGGCCAGTAAGAGTGATGGGGACCGTCGGCTCCTCGTCTTCA